TTTTATACCTATTTTTATTTCCTATATATTGTTATATAATCCGTTATTTATTAAGGTATTAATTTGCCTTTATATTATTGTTTATTGCTTATTATTTTAATACTGTTAATTAGTATTATAATTAATAATTTTATAGTTATATTTAATTTTTTTAAGCTTTTAACTTAATAGATTAATAGGAAAGAAGTTGTTATTATTTTTATTATATTTAATAATTTGCTTAAGTTATCCTTATTAACTTTTTACTTTTATTGTTTAAATAAAAGTTTATAGCTTTTATTTAGGTATATAATCCTAATAGGGTAATGGTTTAATTCCGATATATAGTTCCTATCTAGGTATACTTTTAAAAAGGGAACGTTTAAAAAAGGAAGGTTAATAATATATTTATTTTTATATATAGGCTTACTAGGTTTACCTATATAGTTTATTTTTATCCTTAAGGACTATATTGTAAGCTGGTACCTTTTATCCTTTAATATAATACTTAGTTTTTAATTTAAATGTTTTATGTTAGTGTTTCCTACTATTAAGTAGTTTTATAGGGGTTTAAAGGTATAAATATAATTTAATACCTTTAAAATTCTTAATAATTTATAATAATTTAATATAAGGTAGCTGTTAATATTTATTTAAAGTAAATTTTTTAACTAAATTAGTTAACGGAAAGTAGTTAAAAGGTTAGCTCCTTTTTATATATAAGTTATTACTTTAGGTTAGTTTTTTTTATTATCCTAATAGTTTAGGGGGGTATATAAGGTATATTTTAGGTAGTTTTATGTTAGGGTATCCTTAAAGGTAGCTATTTAAAGCTTTTATATTAATAATATATTAATGTTTTCCTTTTAATACCTTTAAAAAAATGTAATATAGATTAGTTAAGCCTTTTATATATTATAAATAATAATTTATAAAGCTTTTAAAAGTTTAGTTTAATAGAATTACCGCCTTTTATTCCTTATCCTATAGTTTATCCTTTAATTTAGGGTAGGGTGTTAAATATATATTTATAATTTATTAAGCTATATAGGCATTAGTTGGTTATCCTTTATATAATAGGGTAATGGTAGCCCTATTATTATTTATAAAAGTTAAAGTATTATATAAACTTCTTTATACTTTTTTATTATTAGCTATATTAATTATTATTATTTTTTAAATTACTTTTATATTGTTCCTTATATTATTATTTTTTTAAGGATAATTTAAAGATTTTAAATTACTTTATAGGGATAAACGTTAATGGTAAGCTAGTATTTATTAAAGCTAGTTTTTTCCGTCCTTTATTAATTTATACTATTTTAGCGGAATGGGCTATCCTAGTTAGGATATCTTTATTATTGTTTTTATTTAAGTTAAATGGTAGGAGGTCCTTTACTACGAAAGGTAGGCGATTGACCTTGTTATACCTTTTCTCCCTAATTTATTTAACCTTTTATAGTTTAACTTTAAATAAGGCTATAATTTTTCCGTTAATTTAACGGGGCTTTATTAAATAATTTATATAGCTTATTAGGAAAGGTTTATAATAATTAATATATTTGGGTAGCTTTATATAAAGGTTTAATTTATAGTTTATTATATAATCTTTATAATTTTTATACCGGGTTATTTTATTATATTATTTAATAATATAATATTTTTAATATTTTAAATTATAGGTCCTATAGTATTTAATAATAGGCTTTTTATTTATTTACTATAAAGATAAGCTTATAAAAAAGAGCTTAAAGCTTTTAATTAATTATTTAAAAAATATAACTTAAGTTATATATTTTATAAATAGGTTCGTTTTATATTATAATAAGTATACGTTTATTAATATAACCTTTATTTATACCTTTATTTTTTGTTTTATTTAATTTGCTATAATGTTATTATATATTCCTTTATTTAAATAATTTAGGAATAATATAAGAATGTTAACTATAATATAAATAATTTAAATTTTTAGGAGTTTCATTTTTATTACTTTTAGGGTATATAAAATAAATGCTTAATTTTTTAGGGTTATTAGTTTATTTTAAGCTTTAGGCTTTAAGGTTTATATTAACCACCCTACTTTTATAGCCTGGATATTAATTATTTCTTTTTTATTTAACGTTAGTTCTTTAATTAAGGTAATTTAAGTTATAAATAGGGTTAATTAATATAGGAATTTATTTTTTATTACTTTTAACGCATTTCCCACTTGACCTGGCCGCCCCCCCAGCCCATACAAGAAACGTCGGTGCGCTAATCACGTGATAATTTAATAACTTTACAAATATTAGTCGTATAAAATAATAAAATATACCATTAGATTCGTAATAAAAAGAGCTATTTAACAGTAACCCCCACCAAATCTTACGATTTATATTCGCGGAGTTATTAAGCCATACGTTAAAGTAAGCGTTAAAATAATCCTTGCTTAGCGCCACTTTAGCGTATTGCTTAATATCTCGCTTAATAAATTTTGTAAAAAATAGTAAAAAATACCATTAGATCCCCCTTTGACTAATGGATTTAACGGTACTAATTATTAAATCGTACGATTAGTATTCGTAAAGTTATTAGAAATTGAAATAATGGGGTTTTATATAGGTTATTGGGGTGGCCAGGTCAATTGGGTGGCCAGGTCAAGTGGGAGATGCGTTATTAAAACTTTAGGATTTTTTATATTAATAATTATTAATTATATTTTAAATAATATAAATATAATATTTATCCTTATTAATTTATAAATATTTATAATTAGGGTTAATAGTTTATTAATATTATAGATAATTATAATATAAATACTTTAAATATTAATTAAGCTTTTTATTATTTTCCGTATTAGTTATTTTAAGGTAGCCCTACTATTAATAATAGCTTTATTATTTATAGGGTAGGTTAATTACGGTTATAAATAAACTAATATAGCATTTTTAAACTTTATAAAGATTATTATATTAAGGTATTAATTAACTTTATTAATTAATTCCCTAATAAGCTTATATTATAAACTTTGGTTCGTTTTATTAAATAATTTAATAAAGTTATTTAAAATTATAATAAAGCTTATAAAAACCTCCTTCTTTATTTTAACGCTATATTTTACTTTAGTAAAATAGTTTATAATTAAGCTTTATAATAAAGGTTTTTATTTAATAACGTTCTTCTTTATAGCTATTCTAAATAGTGCAAAAGTACTATTAATTTTAACCTTTTTATATTATAAATTAGTTACAAATAGCATAGAAGGTTTTATTTATTTAATAAATTAGGGGTCTAGTGTAACGGGCTTATATTATGGTATAGGAAGGTCCGCTATAAGTAGGAAAAGCTTACTAAGGGTGGATCCTTTAGTATTTTGTGCAGATTACGTTAATTTACAGCGGTATTAGTGTTTTTGGTGTGGCGCACGCCTGTGTACTAATAGTTCTAAGCGTACGGATAATAAATTGAAGGGAAGGTGACTGAGCTACATGTGGTGTAAGGGGATAGATAGTGTGCATGGTGCTCATGCTTCTGCCCGTACCAATCATATATTTATCATTCCAACCATTCACCGTGACGGCTTGGGCTTTCTATCTGCCAGGCGGTCATACAGGTATTAATAGTATGACAGTTATATAGCACATCTGGCCTCACCATTGGGGGCGATAGGTATTGACAGCGTTTGGGAGCTTGTAGAGTCAATCGTGCAGCCGTGGGGCACTTTACTTCACAGTTTCCATTACCCCAGAACACTCCTAGTATACTAACTTACTAAGAGATTAAGCCCATCTCTCTACACGTTTTAAACTCCTTTTTATCCTTCACGGGTGCATAATATATGTGGCGGGCTACCCTTTTCTACATTATATATGAATTACGGTTTATAATAGGATATAAACCCAATTGTATTTCTTCGGCACATAGAGTAGTTAATATCTTAAGAGGCTACCCCTATAGCAGCAGTCACAATCTTCAGCTAAGCATATCCAGCCCCCTGGACCAAGAGCCTGGATGATGGGCAGGCAGAACATATTCGTAGCATTGATAGGAAACCCAGGCGGATGTCTTAAAGTAGAGAAGACATAGTTGTTCACTCCCACATCTCATTATAAGTGACCTCTTACAGTGCTATATCTAATGTATGCAGGCTACCAAATCCAGAGCTCTTCATTTCTATCTTCCAGTATTGGTATAATATAAAGGTATAGTATGGCAGTGCGGTTCCGTAACAGGCCCCCAATATTGCCATAGAAACTTCGAACATGATGCATAAGTCCTACACCTATCTCAAAAACGAACCGAAAGCACAAGGCACGGAAATCCTAAAACCAGTGGACACAAAGTTATGGCTTAATGCGCTGGTGATAATCGTATTTATTCTCCGAGGCCATTGTGAGTGTATATACTCTACAGAGTATATATGATGGGTAGCTTAGCATATCCCCGATATACGCGTAAGTATGATGCTATATAACATACCCACTTCTCCACAACATGGGTATATTTCAAAGAGGTTAGAACATCATCTTTTACCTAGTTAGCAGAGACCACATACTACATAACATTTAAACTATATGTCAGATTGACTCTTGCTAGAAATGAACAGGCCGTTGGTCGCTGAAGTAACAGAGGGGAAATCAACGTTACTACTAACAATTGTGATAAATTACTATTTCTTCCTTCTTCCTTCTTCCTAACAACCCATATCATAAAGGGACTAGAGACATTATTCATTTTCGAACACTGCGTATCATTATATAAACCATGTAACCACCCACTGCCCAAAATATGATTCTCGGTTACAAGGCGATTACTTTACTAGCACGCATGAAATACATTTCGTGACTTAGGGATTGACCTCAGTTGTGTATGATGATATTGTATTCTATTCAATGAGAGTATATAGAGATGATAATATTAAAGCTTATATTTGTCTGGGTTTATTTTGTCAAAGAAGTCAAAATCACACGCTATACCGGTCGTACATAATCAGTATTACAATCTTTGGCGCTAAAAGATGGCAGTCAAGGGAAGGGAGATTATTCAAGCTCCATCAGGCAGCGATGACCTTGAGGGTTGATCAGGAAAAACAACTTCGGCACCATGTCCTCATCCGTCATGCCTTCGAGCGACGACATCTTCGCATTAGGGAACTTCTTGAAGAACCGAGCCACGCCCAGCCGAAGTTCGATCTTTGCAAGATGTAGTCCGATGCAAACTAGAAAGCTATTAGCATATTTCATTCGTTATAGGGCTATGCGATGTATCGAGACCATGAGTTCTGAAGACAAGGGAAGACGATGCAAGAGGGTGTAATTTATAGCTGGGTTCGAGAAGGATGAACGGAAGAGCAGGCGACCTACCTCTGGAGCCACCACCGAAAGGCAAAAACGCGTCCTTCATCGCCTGTGTCGTATTCTCCCATCGAGATGGATCAAACTTTTCGGGATCTGGGAATGCATCAGGGTCCCGATGAAGACTGTAGTTCTGTGTCGTCACCGTGTATCCTGCTGGGATATGATATCCACACAACTCAGCACCTCCCTGCGGGACCTCTCTTGGTAGACCAGAAGGTGCAGCAGGGAACCTTCGAAGGACCTCGTCAATGACATGCTCAAGGTAAGAGATGTGTGCTTGTTGCAAGTCCTCGTAAGCGAAGTCGTCTGGAAGCACTTCGAGTTCCTTCACGAGGCGGGACTTGACTTTGGAATTGCGACACACAGCCCACACCAAATAAGTTAGAGTATTGGAGGTGGTATCGCTGCCAGCGACAATGTAGGCCTGTGCATGATCCCGGATCTCATCTTGGGTGATGCTCGCCTCATCCTCGGCCTTGTAGACTTTAGTAAAGACAGTCGGCCTAGAATCAGGGCCCTCCCTCTCTACGATGGCTCTATGGCGGCTAATAGATTCATCCGCATACATGCGTATGCGCCGGACAGCCGCCTGGGCGGCTGATGACATCGGAAGTGGGATACCAAAGCGATACGAGAACCGGAAGAGAGAAGGGAAGGCTGATCGATACGACCCAAACTTCCCGGCCCCCTGTAAGTCAGTAATATATTGGTTGATCTAGAACAAACGAGTTAGTACCGGTTAACTGTCCTATAGGATGAGACTCATCGAGTTAGAACGGACTTTATTAGTCTCAAGCATCCGAAACGATTCTCCGAAGCTCAGCTCTCCAATAACATCTGTGGTAAGATAAAGCCACCACTTATAGATGTCAGCAGCGCCACGAGTCTTGTGTTCTTCCGCCATCCCCTGTATGGCAAGGTTGACTTTTTGTTCAATCTGCGGCATGAATTCCTTGAGACCAGACTCGGAGAGTGGTGCCGAAAGCAATCTCCTGAAGCGCCTATGTGTAGGAATGTCTGGCGTATTGAAGACGGTGATGGTAAAAGGAACAAAGTCCAAGTACCAACGAGACTTGGGGAATTCATTTTTAACCTTGAAAATGCTTTTGACAACTTGTGGATCCGCAATGTAAACCTCACGAGGGCCAACTCGGACAATAGGGCCTAACGGCAGTCAGTATGGACGACATAACAATGCTGGATTCGTACAAGCCGACAGGACAGGGCAGTTTCGTACCATATTTTTGGTGAAGATTGTGAATATAAGGGGCTTTTCTCCCAGCCATCCAGTGTAATCTTCCGACAACATCCGTGAACCTAGTATACCACGGTCCTGGAACTCGTGAAAGAGGACTGCTGAGGGTCGAGCTAAGTAGCTAGTAGAAACTGATGTCAGATGCTTCGCGGGAGACCGAGACATGAAAGTTTCTTACCAGCAATATGGCAACTAAGCCTAGAGCGCCCAACGTATAGACATGGTTGGATTTCAGTAGTTCTTGTGTCACATCCATACTTGTATCCATGTTGAATAAATCTGAGGTTGTGGTTCTAGATTGCAATGAGAAACTGCTGGATACTTTTCCTGGTACAGAAACCGTAGGATGGCGTTTTACATTTATACACGCATGCGAGTATAGATCAACCGACACCTAAACTTCTGCTCGGTGCCACCGGTCTCACCCTCGGGGACCGTTTCCTTGCCGACTAGAGCGAGTGGTAGAGCGGAAGCGACCAACATTGTAGATAGAAGGGTCACTGTATACACACTTGAGGATACCTACGTCGTATGCGGGCGGGCTAGCCCCCACCAAGATTGCTCCCTCTTTTCAAGAACCGGCAATTGAGCTGGAGCGAGGGCGGCGCTTGTTGATTATCCGAAGTCCAGGTTGGAGTTCAGATTGGAATGATTGGGCAAGGAGCTATACACCCTGGTCACCGATCCATATTTTCTAGGCGGCGGGCATATTTAGTAAAATGTTTTCCATAGCTAACCTAGTCATTATGTCATTAAGCTTCTTACACTAACTAATACACAGATCCAAATGATCGTGATATGCTGTCTGCTATGTGGCGCTAGGTAACATGACGGAGTTGCTAACCCTCAACCCACGACTACAGATTACCAGCCAAATACCCGAACCTGAGGTAATGAACTAGCTTAGAGAGCGCAAAATTCCATGTCAAATGGAAGTATTATCGGAGGTACCGGTGTGGAGTCCTAGACCCTTACATTTGCCGTGAATGGGGCCTACGGGCGAGGAGCTGTCGCGCGAGGTGGCTTACCCGAAAACCCGAGTTCTGGGTCCAATTAGGTAATCCTTGCGACATTTGCGCATAATCACAGTTCACGCTATTCGCCGAGAATTTTTGGCTTAACTGTCAACGGTAGTACATAGGTAGATGGGAAGACGCGCGTGACTGGAGTCATTGGAATAACGTTTGATATGATTATTCTATAGTCTGTTCATAAGCCTCGTTATCTATCTATACCCGTCCCTTTTCTATATCTTCTACTTGTATAGTGGGATTACGATTTATCTCGTCAGTGCCATCCTCAGGTAAGATGATTGCAGGAGCCCCCTGCTCTATAATGGCGGGCACAGATGCGCTGCCACTCGACTTTTCCGACTTTTCCGACTCTTCCGCCTCTGTCTGTGATGGCTCTTCGCCCTGTCGTTTTCTTCTGAAAAGGGAACCCGTCTTACGCAGGGCTTTGGCCACAAGCTGGTACAAAACAACCACTGGCGCACCGACTGTCTTTGCGACGGCAGCAAACCACTCGTCGGGAAACAGGCGGATCAGTACAGCCCATGGCAGGCAGATGAACGCTGATACTATACAAATAGCCCATTGAACGCCGTCGATGGGCTTGATTTCGAAGGCTGCGCCACCAACAAAAATGATGAGCACTTGAAGGCCTACCATGAGCACGGTGATGCCAATGAAGAATTTGTTCCGATGTACGCCTTCGAAAATATTGAACTTGTTGTCTAGACGTCGGTTATTGAACTCGTTGAAAATTTGCATCCAGACGAATGTATTAAAGACCATGGTGGCAAGCTCCTTCTGCTGTGTCTTGTTATTTGGGTCATAACCCAAGATTTGATTTCCTCCAAAGTAAAGCGTGAAAGTCACAACGAGCTGGTATATGGTCTGACCGATGATCATCTTCCACATGTTGACGGTGATTAACGGGGCGCTCTTAGGCTGAGGCAAACGGTTAAGGATCTTGTCTGTGGGAGGATCCGTGGCCAGCGCAAGCGCAGCAAAGGTGTCCATGATAAGGTTTACCCAAAGAAGTTGTACGGCTGTAAGAACCGACTTCATGTCGGGGTTTGCCACGGCTGAGATGAATGCGACGAGGACGGCAGTGATATTGACAGTGACTTGGAACTATGGTAATTGTTAGAAACTAAACGGTCCTTTCTATGATCGAGGAAGCGATGGTCCTTACCTGGAGAAACTTCTGAACCGCGTCATTGACGGCTCGTCCCCATTTCAGAGCTGTAAGGATAGAGGTAAAATTGTCGTCCATCAATACAATCTCAGAGGCTTCTTTGGCGACCTCAGTGCCACATACACCCATCGAGAAGCCCACGTCAGCTGTCTTCAAAGCCGGAGCATCGTTCGTCCCGTCGCCGGTGACGGCAACGGTCTCATTTAGGGCCTTGAGTTTCGCCACCAATATGCGTTTGTCCTCTGGAGACGAACGTGCCAGAACCTGGAGCTTTTTTACCTTTTCGTTCATTTCTTCATCGCTCAGAGCCCTAAAAACAGGGCCTTCCATGATGAGTCCATCAGTGTAAATACCACACTCAGTGGCGATAGCTTGTGCTGTCACGGCGTTATCTCCAGTGACCATGCGAACCGTTACACCAGCATGCTGAGCCAAACGGACAGCTTCGGGAACGCCGGGCCGTACAGGGTCCTGAATACCTACGACTCCGAGCCAAGTCAGATCCTTTAGAATGGACGCAAACTGGACGTGGCCGTCCTCGACCTCAGCGTGCGAAGGAGGCCACTCAGGATAGTCACGATATACGAGACCGATGGTGCGAAGAGAGTCTTTAGCATATTTGTCGATGGTTGACGTCAGCTCCATACGGTCGTCATCAGTAAGCGATGTGTCAGCCAGTGTCATGGCATCGGCTTTGTTGTTACAGTAGCCCAAAAGGATCTCTGAGGCTCCCTTGACTAAGAGTCGGTACTGTGTGCCAACCTTGATAACTGCACCCATACACTTCTTGCCCGAATCAAAAGGCATCATGTGTACCGCCGGTTCGTTAGCACGGAGCTCGGGGAGTGACTGCATCCCTAGGTGATTTTTCGCCCATTCCAGAAGGGCAGTTTCCGTCTTGGAACCGATAAACGTAAATTGACCAGCGTCTTCGCCTTCGAACGCGGTCGAGTTGATAGCTACAGATTGGACTAATGCATCCTTCGTCGCTTGGGGAAGGTCAGCGGCCCACTGAGAGACTGTCTTAGATTTGGCATTCTCGTTCTCGGGCTTCACAAAGCCTGACTGTCCGAAGCTTCCAGCCACAACAGTCATCCTGTTGGTAGTTAGGGTACCGGTCTACGCTATGATTAGCAATCATTCAGATAGTAAGAATCCCTGAGAGCAAGAAGACATGAAGTCCGATGCTGGCTAAGGAGAGTGGTAAAGTGGCTCTGGGGGACTAACCTTGTCTGAGCAAATAGTCGTGGCATTACCCATGGTCTCGCAAGCGCGCAGCACACGCACCAAATTGTTCTCCTTGAGCAACCGTTGCGTCGCAAAGGCTAATGCAAGGGTGACAGCTAGGGGTAGACCTTCGGGCACGGCCACTACCACGATAGTGACAGCAACAATGAGGATATCCAGGAAACTAGAGGCCTTCTCAGGCGGGGAGCGGCTATCGTTGGGCAAATTCGCGAGGAAACGGAAGAGGAGGACAAAGAACAAGAGGACGGCTGCGCTTGCTCCTAGCTGGGCAATAGCAACGGCGAGACGTTCCAGCTTCTTTTGCAAAGGTGTAGCTTCCACATCGGCTTGAACAGAGACCATGATCTTACCGAAACTCGAATGAACACCAACGGATGTGCAAAGAAACGTTCCTACGCCTTCAAGGACCTTCGCTCCGGAAATAATGAAAGGATCGAGACCTTTGGTGTTAGCATTGCCTGATTCCAAAGCCGTCATAACTTGGCCGCTTGGTGTCTTCTTGATCGCATCCGACTCTCCTGTGGCCGAGGATTCGTCGCATTTGATATCGTGACCATCTATCAAAATGCCATCGACTGGCACCAGGTCGCCAGGCTCAAGGTGTAGGACGTCGCCAACGAGGATATCGCGTACGTTAATCATGAACGATTTTCCGGATCGAACCACTTTGATTTCCCTATCCTCCTTTTTCGCGTTTAACCTGACAAAAGCTCGTTCCTTCTGCCAATCATTGAGTGATCCCACCAGGGTTACAATGAGAATAGCTATTATGATGGCAACACCTTCAATCCAGTCAACAGCTGGAGGGGATCCGGGCTCGTGTTCGACTCCGAATGTCTCGTAGAGACCGAGTGCCAAAGAGACCGTTGCGGCTACTGCCAAGAGAATGATGACTTTGTCTTTAAAGGCAATCCATATTAATTTCCACAAGGGGGTAGCTTTCTTTGCTGGCAAAACATTGTTCCCATACACTCTCACCCTGTCGGCAAAGGGATGGGAATCCGGATTTGAAACTCGTTCTGACGATTCTTGAATCTTATCGGATGTCCTCCTAGCGACTTGGTCGAACGTAACCCGTGATCGAACAGTTGTTTCATCAATACTTAAGCCAGCTTTAACGTCAGTCTGCAACCCCTGCTGAATGCCAGACAGTCCCCCCAATGCTCTAAGCGCAAGCGGAGATTTGGGGTTAAATAGCTTGTTCAGTTGTCCAGGGCTGAACGCAAACGGGTTATCTTTCACCTCGAAATCAGCTTCTGTCCCTGGATCAGGACGTAATGCTGACTCGGGGTCTACTGTTATGACGCTGGAACCACAGTCCGATTGCGCCGGCGTCAGAAAGGGGTTGATTGAGGTGGAAGGCGTCAGGAAGGGATTTGATACATTCGAGACGAAGGACCCAGCCGGTGTCACGGCGCGAGTCTCGATCGTGTCGCTTCTTGAGCGACCACTTGCATCTGTCGTGGTTTCAGCGGTATTGCTCCTCGAACGACCACGAGTGTCTACCGCCAGTGTAGGCGGCGCTAGGCTATTGCTAGCCATGTTGAGTAACTTTTCACGCTCTTCCTGGTTATGTGTATCGAAGGTAAGAGCGGTTGCAGTGGGTTAAGAATGGTTAGTGTTTTCGTTCCCAAGCCCCGGCTAGTGGTCGAAGCTGAGATATGTCCTAGGGTTTCAAGTAATACCTCTCGGTGAGCGACGTAAGATCATATGTAGTAGTTGGAGAGGTTCTCCGGGCTGTGTCTGGGGATTCTGCCTCAACATGCGGCGGAATGATGTAGTAAGCTGGGAAAGTCTCACTTTATTAATCCGGGATGAGTGGCTAACCGTAAATAATATGAATATGACGGTCAGATTCTTGTGATATATGGGTGTTGGAAATAGAGTTTGCCGGACAGAGCCTGGGCTTTTGCCTTTTGGGTTGCGTAGAGCTTGGAGCGTCTCGCTAATGAAGGCCAAGACAGCGAGTATAAATGAGGATACTGTCTCCGATCTAGATACTAGGTGCTAGCTTCGTCTGGCACGATGTGCAATGGAGGGCTGTGGAGCCGTTACGCTGAGCTTCGGTGGCGGTAAATGAGTCTCAAGGAAGCACTGTTGGTTGACGAGAGGGAGGATGAGCGCGTTGTGACGAATCGTCTCAAGAGAAGACAATCCTAGAGCCATCCAGCGGCCGTCAGTGGCGCGCATCAGCCTGCCTGCCTCGCAAGAACAAATCCTTCTTGTTGGGCTGGCTGCCTAAGTGCAGCATGGGCGCAGCTCATCAGCAGTTCATGACTACCAGTCAAACCCGAATAAGAGCGAAAAGTCTGGGCTCGGGCGCGAAGAAAGGTGACGTGAGTGAGGCTGTGCCAAAGAGGCAATTCTACGGGAGGCCGCTGACTGTTATCCCTGCGCCAATCTAGAATCGGTAATTATTGCGCTTTGTACTGGGGCATCCTAGTTAGATTGAGATATGGAATCCTGGAAATGAAATCAGCGTTCTGTACATGTCCATAGCAGCTGGATTCATTAGATATCTTGATGATATAATACGGGACCACCGCCATCTGCGCTCTTCCTCTCGCTCCATGACGACGCTTTTCAAGCCCACACATGCACAGCCGGCAACGTAGCCATACGAATGCCATTTAGAATCCCAGACCCAACTCCTCAACGTGCTCCCTCTACTGTCTTGGAGCCCTCTCCTGTACTGTCTCGACGGTCAAAGAAATCTCTGCTGATCCTTGGCGATTGAGGCTGTGTAAACGGCGGCGACCCAATCACATCCGCCGGCGATACGCACTTGACTAACTTGGTCTCGGGGGCTTTTTCGGGCCAATCACACGCCCGGCTCGGTCATCCACCAAAGTTGACCCCGGCATTTCCAGAACGACATTTATCTCGATCCTCCTCCCATGCATGGGCACGAGATCGTCCGCAAGCTACTGCAACAGTAGGCTACTATGTATTTATTAGACACTTGATGCTCCTCTCACTGAATACAGTAATAGGAGCTGTGTTGCTGGTCTTTGGCATCTGATACATATGTCATTCGTCATGGAGGTAATTATATTCGACCTGAGAAGCACATCGATTATTACTGTGACTGTCGACACGAAGATGAGGTTCATCCAATCCGGACTCGCTGTACCCGGGTAGACTTCAAATCCCCGCGCCAAGCCTCCCTACGTCGATGGCGCAACTAACTTGCAATTACGGGCCATTTGGCATCTCCGCCGGCAGCCACTATTGACCTACTCCCGTGGCAATCGGTCATGGTTTGTTTGTTGGGGCAAGATGGAAGGAAAGCGGTGTCGTGGCCAAGGAATTTGGTGTTTTCTACGTAAAACCAGCAGCCAAGCATCATCTTGGTTTTTCGGTGGGACAATGAGGAGATATTCGCCAATTATGTCCGAGAAATTTGTCGCTCCTCCAGCGCTAGAGGTGGCTATGTATGCTTGGGACGGTTTTCATGAGCTCAACTGCCTGATTTGGCCGACAGATGCATGTCTCTTTCATGTCAGATATGTCTGCCCGCGAGGGTGATGCTCCCTTCCGTTGTGTCGTGACGCTATTTTCCTTGAAACAAGTCGGTAGCTTGGAATTATTAGGTAAACCCCAATACCTCCTGCTAGAGTGCAAGGAGCAAGTATAGCCAAGTATACCTTGTGTGGTCATAGGACAAGGGTTCTTGTCAATACTCCCTTTTTATGTCGAGAATACCGCTCTATATACGTACATGATTGGAGGATAGTCTCTTAAGTAAAGGTGGCCTATTTCTTAATAGTGAGGTTTGAATCCGACTTACGAAGCTAGTCCGACCCGTGGCACGATCGCTCCCTTGACTCACGAGGATAATTATTCTTTGTGTGCTTGTCACGATAGTTGATACCGGAAATTGGCCTCGCAAAGTCCCTACCGGCACTGCCTCATTGTAGAGCAACTACTAAATTAGTAACAATGGCTATCTCACCATAATTATGGAGTGGATTACCTGAGCTATTTATTAGACAGGCTTATAATATATCTAGATCCCAGCTCCCTACCCGTACGTCTCACGGCCAAGCTCATATAAGCGGTTAAAAACGTGTTATATTCAAATAACAGCACCCGTTAGGTTTCATCAGCTCGCGCTGTGTCTTGGTATACCCTGGTTTATACATTTCTACCATGTATACTCACTTTAATGTCGAACCGGGGGGCTGGTTGTATCTAGACATCATGCCTAATCGTCGCGAAGTAGTGGGTATGCCATATATAGGCCGTTAATCTTGCACAGGATTAACGGCGTTGTTTTTTTCGTGACACTAATCAACAACACCAAGAACTGATAAGTTGGGGCGTAATCGCATGAACGAGGAAAACGAGGAAATGCGTACTTAAAGCAGCCACTAAGCACTCACAACCACTATAGGTAAGATGTCCAATGTCTGATACGCAACCCATGTCGTTCTATACGTTGTGATGTATAGACAAACATGACCTTTCTCCCATATCTCAATAACGTTTTAATGTGTAACACCTCACAACCCCGTGAAGTGACTCAATACATATACACAAGTGTTTTACGTGCAACCATACATGTATTATAAGAAACAAAGAATCATCCGAGCGTAGTCCCAGTATCTCACGCTGCTCCTAAGTTACGCACTGGCAGTCCCAGGTGACGTCTGTGCCGCACAGACAGAGGCGGAATTTCATCCTTTGGATCGTTTGCAAATTCTGTATCACTCGCATCGCCTCGCCCAGGTTTCAATCTCGGCACATAGTAATTACTACGGTGGACCAAAAGTAGCAAATCCTACTGTATACTTATACTTACCAAGTTAACATCTAACCGTGAGGTACCGATGCTTCCTGGACTAACGTCATCACTACATGTGTAATTACATAGCTCGACTATTCCCCAGCCACTGAAATATTGTTCTACACAGCGGGTATAACTTTCCCAGTTCCATGGGCGTATTACCTAAGAGACCCAATCGAACAGCAAGGTGCGGTATTATATACACATAGCAGAGTATTATATAAGTAGGCCTGGATAAGGGGCAGGAAAGACCGGCAATAGGTAAAAAGAATACCCCAAAAAATCAAACGGAGCATTTAGCCCCAACCTGCCATCCACCAGTGGTACAAGACAAGATATTGAAACTGTGGGGTAGAAAGGGTAAACCGTAGTAGTCGTGGCTATGTCAAGACTGCGCCTTAACCTTCGTGTATCACCATTCCATCATTTTGTTCCAGATGTCCATATTATTCAAGACCTGTCCCAATCGAAAGGGGGGCCAGGTGACAATAAAAAAAGATGCAGAGAGCTCACTCTCTTATCAAAGCGGTGCCGGTAAATGTGCAGAAAAAAAGGTATAACGGCTTCGCCCGAGTGCGCCAAAATTGAAGATGAGATATGGTTCCATACTCTAACCTGCCGCAAAATTCTAGGCTGTTACTATGCCAATAAGGTACAGATCCCAGTTTATCTATACCCATTACTATTCTACTCTCTTAATCTTTGTATGTATGTATATGTAGCGTACTATATAAGCCGTTAATTCCACACGTTGGATTAACGGCGTCGCTTTTCCTCTGTCACAGTATATATAACAACTAGTTGAGCTTGCACTGTTGATTTAAACAGAGTAATATCCTATAGCTATGAGATATAATCATCCTTAAAGCATATTTTTTCTTAGCATTCCACATCGTATTCCCCCCCCTTAATATTAGGTATTATATAATCCAGCTTGTGAGTAAAAACCGATGCACCGGGTACTCAAATACCTAGTAGTACTGCTATATATGCCAACACAGCTTAAGGCTTAAATACTATGATTTTCTTCGAATCCCCACATCATTTAGATATCCCATTCATTCAAGCAGCGTTAAATCTGCATCGTCCTCACCATTTCCTCTCTAGCATCGCCACCACTACATCAACATTCAAGACATCTGATATTCACTGTGCCATATTATTCCACATGGAATACAAAATCAGCCAAGACGGGAATGAGAAAGGTCCAGACTGTTATCAATCCGATCTAGAAACACGTAACACAAACAATATACTGCACAGCATCAAGGCATACCAATTTAAATACTCCACATATTATACACCTGATAACCCTCGCAAGGCATGTTTTATCTATTAACGCTGCTATAATTTTTGTTGTACCATATCTCAAAGACCGATTCTATGCGCGCTATGGGGGGTATAATTCACATAATATAACTTTTTTTTCCTTGGAGAGCCGCGTTTATGCGACCAAGGTTGCACCGCAGTCAGCCTCGCGCCCAGGCGCATCTATGTGCGCCGACTCAGCCATACGCAAGGCATCTTGAATATCATCGACGAAGAGGTGTTCGCCTCCAACGAGCGCGACAATGCCGCTCCACTCGAGAAGCTTCCACACCTTGTGGTTGCGACTCGGCGCCCGGCTGAAGAACACCCTAACGCCTTGCTGCCGGTACTTGCGCACGATCTCCTCCAATACCTGTGTACCTGAGCCATCCATCGATGTGACGCCATGGATGTCGAAAATGATGTTTCGGTTGCTGTGCTGGGGGCGCAAACGCGGCAGTGCTGGGTGTGCCATGTTCGTGCCATAGCGTTCTATGCGTCGTAGCCTGCTCTTCAAGTCGCCTGTGTTGGCAAATGTCAGGGGCTCAGGAATCTTCACAATCAAACAGCCTTCGATGAACTCCACTTGTTCGGGGTGTTCCTCGGCATTGGCGAAACGGTCGCTGTTGGGCACACGGCCGAGGATCTGAATACGAGGACGAGTGGCATGGCGCACGACTTCTAGTAGAGACAGGCCTATGCCAATAGCAATACCAAGATTAAGCGAGAAGAGCACGGTAACGAGGACTATGACAGACATAAGAGACAGCTCCTTCCAGCCCCTGATTTTCACGAAGAAAAACAAGTCTTCGGGGATCTCTTCAATGAGAGAATAGGCGACAACCATGATCAGTGCAGAGAGAACCGGTTTCTATATCTAGAATCAGTCTGGCCGTCCAATAGAGATTTCGGCTTGGGGTTGAGATAGGACAAGTAGACTTACCGGAAGATAGTAAAACCATGACAATAGATACAGAATGCAGACGACAGTGATGATACTGACAAAGATCGAACTCATGGGAGTTTTCCCCCCTGTTGATTTGTTCACCTTGCTCCTACCGTAGCCTCCAAACGCAGGGAGAGCCATGAAGCACGCACCAACTATGTTTGCGGTCCCCAAAGCAATCAACTCCCGATTGGGACTGAGCTGCATGCCGTCAATGGTATCAGTATCGCCTAGACTCTTGGCTGCAACGGAGGACTCGAAGAAGCCAAGCATTCCGATCAGAAATGAAGTGCCCATGGCTTCCCGAATGTGAGGCAGGTGAGATAGCTGGAAGGGATTACGGAAAGTGAAGACATGGCCAGACGGGGCTTCAACCTTGCCAAGAATCTCAACACCCTTCCCTTCCCAGTCAAGAAAGTAAGCCAAGAAAGCAGAAAGAACGACAACAACGAGGCGGTCCGGGAAGTACGCCACGGTGGGATACCGGGGTTGTAGCCTACGCTTGATTTCACTGACAACACACATGGTGGTTAGTATTAGCTCTCAGGGATGGTGGGAGTTTCTTACCGAAGAACCATGATGATGACGAAGCTCACAATGCCGATGATCCCTGAAAGTCGATGCCCTTGCCCAAGGTGTGTGACTATGAAGATAAATTTATCGACAGTAGTGTGATGGGGTATGTTGGGTAAACTAGCCGCCAGTTTGTTTAGACCGAGAACTGGCGTCAGCTGGTCTATGAATATCACAACGCCAATGGACGAGATGAAGCCACGCAAGAATGGACGGCTGAGGACGTTATCGACGAATCCAAAACGACCTAGTCCCATGATGAAGACGGAGGCACCAGCTAGACCCACGGCGACACCGGCGATCTTGGAGTGCAATATGGCATTATCATCTTCTCCTTTCCCACCGTCTATGTTGGCCTTGACGATCGAGCCGATGAGCAGAGAGCCGGCGGCCTCTGGCCCAACGACCATCTGGGGACAGCTACCTAGAAGCGCATAGAGGAAGGGTTGAAAGACAAAAGCGTATAGGCCGCCGATAGGGGCGACGTGGGCGAGGTTCTCGGCGTAAGAAAGGGCCATGGGTAGATACATGGAGGCCATGGTGATGGCAGCGGTGAGGTCGCCTATCAGCCACGACCACTGATATTGACGCATCCACGTTAGACACGGAATGTAGTACGAGAGGAACATGGACCAAGAGTACTCTATTCCGTGCCGCTGGGCCAAGGCGCTCGATGTTGCCATCTTTTTATTCTTGATCACTCTGGAGAAAGCCCTCTTCCAGAGTTTTCGTGGTGTTGATGATTGATTCTCGCTTACGGCGTCGGACGCCTCCGAGCCCAGCAATGAATTTCTCTCTGATTCGGCATGTAGATGTTGCAAGGGAGGACTGACTGCCCGTGGAGAAAATGTACCATGGTTGCAAGGACCATCGTGAGCCCGTTCGCTGTGGAGGAGAGATGTTGATTCGTCATAAAGCACAGAGGAGGTTTTGATCTCGGGTGCTGGGTTGGGAGCAATTGGGTCTGGATGAGGAAGACTTGGTGGTGAGTGACTGAGCCCAAGACCCGTTGTCGTCGTCGTCGTTGTCGTCGCCGCCGTCGAGTCTTGAGTCTGGGGAAGCGAAAGGCCTCCTGGCTGGTCGTCGGACCTAGGTATACTAGATTCGGGAATTTGTTGCAAACAGGGAGATGCAGGCTTGCTCTCGTTGTTGGTATAGTCGTCGCCACCCTGTTCGACGTGGTCGGTCGGGCTGGTCTCAGGGTCGGAGTCAGAGGAGGCAGTACGGCTTTGTCGCAGACCGCTCGGGGTCGAGGGAGTGTGGTGGTGTGGTAGCGAGGGTGAGGACGGCGAGGACGGCGGTTGTGTCGTTCTTCGTCTTGGCCGTGAAGGTGGCTGCGAGCCACCGGCCGGTGGCGGTGGTGCCGGCATTCTCTACCCACCGAGGTAGATTATCTAATACTACCTACACCTAGGTGCTCTCAATGCTCTCTCTCAATGCCGTCAATAGGCCGGCGCCGGGGGTAACCAAACCTAATATTCGCCTAACAATGCATCAAAACTATCTAACTTCGCTTCGACAGGACGTGGGCGACGGCCATGCAGCGAGACAGCACGGCGGGGTGAAGAAAAGGCAAGGATGGGGGTGCGATGAAGGGCCGGAGTAAGGCAGATATTGTAGCGAAATTGATCATATGGTTAGAAGGATTCAAAAAGGGCTGCCACGAAGCTGAGTGGGTGTCGAGGGTGTAAATCAATGATATATCACGATTCCGATTCGCAGATTTATTTGGCGGGCAACGGTTTTGTAACCACAGCACAGTATCAAGTGGTACCCTTGGGGCCTTAGGGACCTCAGACCTGTGATGTTTGAGCTGGCCCATGCCTCCCCGGCCATTACCCGGCCCTGGTCCTATGGACGGACCTATCCAGCTGAGCATCATACCAGCTGAATGACCGGAATGAGGATTGGAAGCGAAATTTCTGCATTGTCATCCTCTTGAACAATTTCTCTGAACCATACACTGTTACTGTGCGAGCCATGAACCATCTCTTCATCACGTACAGTAGATCATCACTTAATCACGCACAGTGAGATGGTTATCACCAAGGGAAGGGACTGACGAGACTAGGTAGACTAGGAGATGCACCTTCCTACAGTAGCTTGCAGGTGGGTTAGGTTAGATGGGCTAGGCCAGGTACCTATAGCCAATACCTGGATACATTATAGGTCACGCGTGGTAACAAGAGCCTGTGACCGCAGAAATGTCCGACTCTCTTCTTCACAGAAACCCAAGCTTTTTCTCATAGTCTCCAGCCCCGCGTCCGATCGGCTGGATCAACGTATAGCTGCCTGAATGATTAAACTCCTGTACGCCATTGATTAGATAAAGAGGCGTCATGGCACCATCGTCGCTGAAGTAGAGCTTGGGCCGCTCTCGGCGGTAGAACACCGTCGACCTGCCGTCCGTGAAGTCGACTGTCGTGTTGTACGCCAGCGTCCTATTGTTGAATGTCCACGGTCCCTGCCACTGCCGAGCATACGCGTGGGCGCCCACCCGCGGGCCCTTGAGACCCACGTCGATGTCGATGAGATAGTGCACCAGAATATGCCAATGGCCTCGTCTGTCCTGCCATAGGAACGGGTCCTCGCTTCGGTCCGTGTTGTGCGGCTCGACCGTGAGATTGTAGGGCCCGCTGAAGCTCTGCGCTGTGTAGATGTTATTCTTCTCCACTGCCAGAAGCATCGCGTGGGACTGATTCTGCGGCGACCAGAGCGGCCATGGCGCGGGATTTGTGACGTTCACCAACTGGGCTGCCAAGGGCTCCCAATTCTTCAGATCCGATGAGCTGGAGACGGAGATGGTATTGTTGAACTTCTGCGATGAACACGTTGAGGGCGCTTCGAGATCGCGACCGATACAGTACAGCAGGTATTTGCCATCGGCCAGGCTGTAGATGGTCGTCGGGTTATGGTGAAATGTACCGAATAGTGTCTGCGCGTACGCATAAGGCCCTGCTGGGCCTGTCCTCGACTCGGCTCTTATGATGGTGCTAAATGGTCTCCAACCTGCAAGCCCACAACCATGCACCATCTGAGATGTGATGAGGTGGAAGAGTTTCTTGTCTGATGGATCATGAACGATGTGACCTCCCCACGATGAGTTCCCAGCCCCTTCTTTGTAGAAGTCTGGTCCCGTTGCATTCGTATGGTTATACCCAGTCCATCTCACAGCTGGGTACAGGTCCAGCTCACTACAATCTTCAGCCCGCCAGCCTACATCACAGATACACGTTCGGTTGCACTGCGAGCAAATGCCGTTGAGACTACAGTCATCGTCGGTGAGACAGCCCCAAGATGCCGTGATCAGAAGGCCTGGAATAGCAAGCGACCAGAACGCAGCGATTCCATGCATTCTCATCAACGTATAACACCATTCATTTCTGACTCAAATGTATTATATAAACTCGTAGCTATATCGCGTCAAGTCTCTCATAACCCTGGTTTGAAGATATGGGATCGTCATGTCATGCGGGGTTGGTGTGAATAACCTCCCTGGCAACCCTCAACGCTACCTGACTTTTGTACGTCACATTCGTTCGACTCCAATGTGGTTAATCCACGAACAGGATCGCGACAAGTTGCAGTCATCCCCACAGCGACTGAACATCGACACTCGATCTCATTCGAAAAACCAGATTATATTAAGATATAGCTTTCAATCAAGCCGGTCACTTTCATATGGTGCCTCAGTTCTGCAACTACAGGACATATTTTTTAAGGTGGTGATAGAGATATCATCAAAATGATTGAACACAATTTGAGATCTCAGTAGTGGCGACATAGATTCATTAAGCCTAACCTTGAACACCAATACTACATAAACCCAATACCATAACGCCTAAACAAGCTCCCTGCTCATAGCACAACATGGAGAATCTCACCGAGTGAAGTCCTTCAACAAGAGTTCAAGATCATCCGGGCGGGAGTCAATGTATCCCAAGTCACTAAGATGATCAAGTGACTTCTGAGCATACTGGACAGCAGTATCGTTATCACCGGCTTTCCAGTAAAGTCTAGCGAGCACTTCGTACTGCGAGGCGACCATCGTGGGGATATCCTCCGCTTCGACGAGCGCAAGGATCTCATACGTCGCACGCACGGCCGCCGTGCCGTCTAATTCATCGATCGCCTTCATAATGCCGGCTTGCAACGAAGCAATCTTCTCTCGTCGGTAGTCGGACGCCGCTATTTCCGTCTGCGAAGCTGTGCAGAGACTACACTTGCACTCGAAGCCCCAGCGGCGGAGAGCGCGCTGTCTTTTCTCTCTTGCGTGGTTCAGGGGGATATCTGAATAATAGATGACCGCTGGTTAGCATGTGTCTTGTCTTTATCATTGCAAAGAATCGGATCGGGGATTGCGCACAACTGATCGTGATCTCTTCTCCTATTTCGATATCCCGGAAGGCGACAACCTTGACATCGAAACTAGTTGGACTGAATCGTACAAATGCACTGCGTTATCAATGCTTATTAGACTCTCTTCTGTGTTTTAGGGGAACACTGACGCCTTACTTCGGCCTACAGGCGTGGTTGATCCTCTGTATTCTTCACTGTGAGTATTCTTTACATCATACTACGTCGCTCAGGGCTGGTCGGACTCACAGCAACTTCTGGGTATAGCGCCATATGCGAATCCCCGCCAAGAGTATAAGAAAAAGAGTTGGTGCCGAGTATGTCCTCCATGATGTCGACGGCCTGAGTGCTCGATCGACCGAGTCCAAGAACCCTTCCTGGGTCCGAAAGCTGTTCCGCAGCCAAATGGAGGAATTGGTGCCCAATATGCTGTTGCGTAGCCTTGGGGAATGATAGGTCGAGCACTACGCTCGCCCAATCCGACATGAATGCCTCCGCGCGGCGGATCCTTCGTGTAGCTACTACCCCCTTGCCTTTCGGAGGAATATCGATGATGGCGTAGCTCGGTATAGTATTGTTGAGGCCATGACCCCCAGGGAACTCTTCGTTGAGCATGACGGTGCTCTCCGCTGCCGTCCTGGGCTTCGTGATAAGGCTGATTCCTTGGTAGCCATGCCGTGAATTGCTGTACACGCAATATTTCAGTTTTGGATCTCTCTCCGCGCTGACGCAGTCAGGCTGGTGCGTCCAGGGCGACCAGTCGACAGGTTCCGGCCCATTGTCGTCGTCAATGGGAGGGGGGCACCGGAGCTGGGCATCCTGCCGCAAAGGATGTGGCGGGTCTGAGAGACAGCATTTCTCTGTTAGACATGTGTCCTGAGCCAGTACAGGGAGTGCACCGAGTAGCAATGAGATAGCGGCGGGTTTGTACTGTGAGTTTTTCATGGTCGCGAAAGTTACAATTTATTTCAACCTGAGGTAAGCGTACACTGAGAAGCCGTAAGATCACACTAAATTCTACCGTGCTATCCTTATAATAACGCTGCGGTCGCATGCTGCCAACCATTTGGCATTGTCGTCCATCTGGCCTTATTATTTGACCATGCGAGATTGGCAAGGTTGAGCAGTGATATAACCGAATGAAGGTGGCCAAGCAACGGGACCTCGAGGCCAAGCAGACTCTGTCAGCGCGATCTACGGTTCCTACTTTACCACCCCTCCGCAGTCTCCCGAGGGCAACGTGGAGATAAATGAGTTGAAAATCCAGTCATTTCCCTCACAGGCGGTCTCGGGCCATTCAGTCAGCTCGTTAAGAGGCCGCGTTAGAGCCAATTTTCCCATAGCCATCGTCGTAATATATTCAACTATATGAAGAGATCATCGCACATCTCAGAGCATTATCATTGAGTATGCCATTACCTCGAGCTCCGATTTTTGTCAGATCAGACGGCTACGGGGGTCTGTCATTGCAGGCTATTCGTTGGGACTTGCTCCGTCCTGCTTGGCCATGCCGATCGCCGGTTGCACGGGTGCAACATCCGCAATGATGCCGAATTCCGACTGCTATAGAGGCAGCCATTTCCGAACGAGGGAGACTGCTTCCATATCATGTGGCTTGGCCGGCGGTTAAATAGGAGGCTGTTTTGGGTTGAGGGCTAGGTGGACCCCCCCTTATATGCGACGCAGATTTGTCATAGACCTTCAGTAGATACTAGTAACTGGTATGTATGAATAATATAGGTATATAGATTTCGGTGTACCGCCTATTATATATGAATATGAACGAAATGGGATATATTCTTATTATAGCGAGAGGTGTTAGGAGTGTTGCCTTTGGCATGCTAACTAATCGCAGTCACATATTATACAGCTTGTGAATAATTATTGACCTATTACAGCATTGTTACATAGGTAAGGGAATTATAAGTGTGCCACTAAAGCCGAATCACTCATGTATGTATATATATATATGGTGCGGGAACTGCAACTAGAGTTTGCTATATTGAAACTTGTTGTTGCACGAAGGTCTCTGAAGTCTTCACGGCTAGGTTAAGGCTCTATACAGAGGGTCTCTTTGTATGTGGCCATAGCATCGTGACAGCAGCCCGAGGATTGTGAGAACGTGATATATGGTTTCGTATATACGGTATATAAGGACTAGGCCTATATATCTTCGTGATGAATGAGTAGCGTATCTTCCCGTCTATAAGATTTAGAGATAAGAACTTGGTTAAGCTACAATAAGACTACAGTGGTAGTCAATTTTATGTTTAACAACATCCATATAGATGCCGTCAGGCTAATAGCTCTAGAATCGGATATTTTCCGTGATTTAGTCAGCATCATAACATCAAGTGAGAGGATCTATCTATATTCTAGCTCAACCCCCTCTCCTTCTAGGGTACATAGACAAGCGATAAAAAACAAAGAGAAAATGCTTCATGTTGCATATTCACTTAAGCATGGCCTATGATGGGCCGAGTGCCTTATGTAGGATTTCATCATAATACGTATCGGGTACCTGGGGACGATAGGCTATGCCCAGTCCTCCCGATGATTACCTACCCACGGATTTCGTCCTCCATCCGAGGAAATTTTCATAATAATATGATGTTCAAGCCAAGGACACCATATACCTCGTAGCAGGATCTATATGGAGAAATAAATACATAACTTTACATAGTTTAAGCATGGGACAGGGATACAGGTCTAACGACACAGCACGGTCTCTTAATATAAAGCGATACACCTCCCTATGCTATTAAGCATTGGCTGTTCGATTTACTGAATCATTAGTACCACGGGGAATTTTTTCTTTTTTCTCCATTTTAACTTATTATGCTCTCCCCGGCTGACATTATTTGTATCTAATAGCTTAAAATTAAAGTTGCTCGGTTGAATTTTCTAGGTAGATTTACTATCAGGATAAGGCGCCAAAGTGCATACTGTGTTACATCGCTGTTTGGAGAATTACTCACAGGATGATACCTAGTAGATGGTTTCAAATGGATTAATAACTGTTAACTTGTTTTCTGAAGCTTGGCATTAAATAAACCATCATGATAAAGACATGTAACTCAGAGTGGAACTGAAGCTATTCACAATACAATATTCTGCTAGGGCTGCCAAAGTCCTGATTAGCTATCCAGCCCCCCCAGCATTGGTAGCTTGACTTTGATTTTATATACAATTGGACTGCCTGACCTAACCAACTAGTGTCATTGATCTGTTCATGAAGCGAGGCCTGTATAACCTCACTTTCAATAATTGCGTGCATTTCTCTTCAAGTCATAAAGAGGTGTTTTGCGCTGCGTACGCTCGTAGCCGTAGGCGAATTGCATGGTCGGCTGTACTTGCCCATAACAGTAGTTAGACGTGATAGACCAGAGTGCTACCAATGTATTTTCGGAGATTACTGTGGAGTTATTATCATGTGATGAAACCATATATACTCGAAATCAAGTATTTCATCAGGAAAGGTAGGCATGTCTCGACGATAGTAACTAGCAAGCTGCCTATAATCTTTGGAGCTATAGAGATAAGAAATAAATGTGTGGCATTCAAGGTCTGGTTATACTGGTCAAGAGGAGTGGTCTGGGCTTAATTTCGTCCTTGGAGACAAGAATCTTGGGGAACCGTATGAACAGCGTCCCAGTTGTTTGGCATGCTGCGGAAAACCCGCGCTTAGTGCACCGATATCGATTACATCAACCAAGGCACTTCTATCTTGAGGCTCGGGAGAAAAGGTCCCAGTAGTCTTCGTCTGATTAACGAGCCATCCCCAAATTCCCCCACAGCTGTACTTATCTATGAATACACTAGGTAACCCCGGGAAAAATATTGTATTTGGGAACTCGAGTCAGGTTCAAAAAGCAAGCGCTAAGAATTGGGGATGTGTGGGGTTGTGAGGAGAGATGGGCGGACATGGAAGATGGCTGGAGACGTACCAATGCTCCCCTTGTCATGTACCGTCATACTGTACACATCTCACCGCAATGATAGCGAAACAAGGCATGTGCGGGGATGGACAAGAGACCCTATATTTCTCCGCGCCATGGATTGCCCAGATCGTTAGCGACGGTCTGGTCGTGCGATGCCGGCACACGTCGGCGAGGCGTCGGGTCAGCAGCTTGTTCAAGCTTGTATATACTAGTGCAGCTCGGCCAGCTAGTAACGCCTAAGATGGCAGTGAACTTGTACTGGCTGTCTAGCCTCATACAGTTCACCGTCGCTGTTGTTAACAAATAGGAAAACTTGGGCGGCTATGTGTTTAGCCCCGGTTACCTGGGGGCTCGTGCCGATTTGATCGTGCCTCAAGCACACCGCCATGCAAGGCATCTATATAGGTAAGTCATACGGACTTTTTCGGGATCTTTCTACACTACTTAGCTCAAGATATACCGGCAACCTGGTTGTTAGCTCTATCGAACAACGCACAATGCCTTGTGTGATATGCGTGATTTCACCTCATACATGCATACTAAGCAAGATGCCTACCTATATACGATAATGTCTTCCGTCCCGTTCCTCTCGAGTCTGCATCGCGCTCGACTCGACGATCGGACTAGAGACAAAAACGGCAAGTCGTTAAGCAAGAACCCAAAACCATTACATACAGTAGAATGGGCACCAAAGTCAGCTTGGCAGACAAAGTCGCGTTCGAGGTAGAGTTTACATTGACGAATCACCATATCTGCCTTTCCACATTTTCCACCATCCCTTCTTCGTCTTCTTTCCCTTATTTATCACCCCTACTGCCTTAACACCAAGATACGTCATACCCTATATAACGAGATATTCGACAGAAAACGCTGATCACGTACTAACGTCGTGATCATCTACCCCGGATTCGCAGCCACTTAGTGGGCGACTTGCAGTCTCGGCGTTTGGAGTCCCCGGATCTTGGCCTGAAGATTTTCTTGGTATTTCAACGTGCAGAAACGTGCCCCCTCAGACTCTGGGTAATCCACTCCACTGGGTTGGCTAGTGTACTGAGTTAGTGCACTCTGCTCGTCATGCCTGGTCCTGGTCGATTGCTCCCTTCGAACACATTCATCTGTTTCTTTCTATGTGTGGATGTGTGCATCTGTATATCTAGACCTACTACCTGATAAAACACTTAGAAAACTTACTAGGCAGTATTGCTCACTGCATTTTCTACTGCACTGCGCCGCACCCTGTTTGGACTGGTGCTCACTCACATGTAATAGTTAGCATGCGGTGTGTGGAATATCAATTGTGGGCAGAACCGTGGGGTAGCACAGACTCACGCAGCTAGGTCGATGGCCTATCCAACGTAGGTAAATCACTACCTTTTGTGCTCTAGACAGCTATGTAGCCAGTTCTCTGGAAATACGTGTATGGATGCAGAAGGGATCGTCGCTCGGTTACCGGCCGATATCCTAACAGCATCTCCTCGAAGCGATAATACACCGGCATTGCACACGTGCGAACGCGCGATGAATCTTCATAGCGGTAGATTGAGGAGACTAATTTACTACCTAGTCCAACCCCAACCAAAAGAAGCCCAATAGTAAGTATAGCGCTGAAATAGCTTGTATGGGGTGAATCCGTTGACGACGATCCGTCCAACTTTGTTGTAATGGTACCTGCTCTACGGAATGGTTGCTTACCATGGTACATTGCATAACCCCCAATACCTACCTAGCCCCGTCGGTTTTCGTGGATCTCGTGCCAATGACCGAAAAGTTCGGGAGGTCTCGTGAGGGGAAAAGGACCGGGGGCGCAAGCCAACAACATGTCAAGGGTGACGATTGCCGAAGGATTGGTACAGTATGGTACGACCTCTAAGCTACGGTGTACATATTACGCCTCCAATATCTGGCTTGCCGCCTGGTCCATCGAAGTACGAACAATGAGACCTCCTTTGCTGGCTGGTAGATAAAGAGGTGAGCTGCCGCTGCTCTCTGGTTTCCCCTCATCTTACACCGTAGAGTTGGCGGGCTGGTGAACTTGGGCAGAGGTCGTTTTCTCATCTCTTTCGCGTGTCTTTCTGGTCTGTGAAACTTCACCACAACGACTTCGCTGTTTGTCTCTCCTTCTCCTATAAAATGGCTGGCGGTGTTAAGAAACCCGTCAACATCTTCAGACTGAAGAACCTCGACGAGCCAAAGGCCATCTTCAACTGGCGTCTCTGGTTTGCCGTCGTCTCGTTCGGTCTCCTCGGCGCTGCTCGTGGTGTGGATGAGGGCCTGATCAATGGCGCCTTCAACTCCAAGGTTTTCCAGGCCTCCATCGGTTACGAGAACTACAATGAAACCGAGCAGGCCAACATCAAGGCAAATGTCTCGGCCATGGTCCAAGTCGGATCAGTCGCCGGCGCCCTCATCGCTTTCTTGATTTGTGACCGCATCGGCCGTATCTGGGCAACACGACAACTGTGTGTGCTATGGATTGTGGGCATCGCCATTTTCATGGGTCACGGTAACAGTCTGGGCGCTGTGTACGCTGGCCGCTTCATTGCTGGCCTCGGTGTCGGCCAAACACCTGTCGTTGGACCTGTCTATATCGCTGAGATAGCACCTGCGTCTATCCGTGGTCTTTGCACCTGTGTCTTCACCGGCGCTGTATACCTCGGTATCGTACTGGCGTACTTCACGAACTATGGCGCACAGGTCAATATTGGGGACACAACATCTAACCGATGGGTAAGTAAAGAATCATAAACTGCTACCTCGATAAAGCTTTCTGTGCTAACATGGAACCTTTCGTAGCTCATACCGACAAGTCTTCACATCATCTTTGCTGGTCTGATTTTCATCCTCACCTTTTTCCAAAACGAGTCGCCACGTTTCCTCGTCAAACAAGGGAAGCATGAGCAGGCACTGCAGACAATGGCACGGATTCGTCAACTGCCACCGGACCACGAGTATGTTATGCGCGAGATCACCGAGATTCGCACCGCCCACGAGGAGGAGATGGAGGCTACCAAGGGATCGAGCTGGACCGGTGTTCTTAAGGAGATGTTCTTGATCCCTAATAACGCCTACCGTCTATATCTTTCACTGATGGTGCAGCTGCTATCCCAATGGAGTGGCGCGGGCTCGATCACACTCTATGCCCCCGACCTCTTCGCGCTGCTCGGTATCGAAGGCACGACAGAGTCGCTCCTAGCGAGCGGCGTGTTCGGCATTGTCAAGTTCATCTCCGCCCTGGTGTGCGCCCTATTCCTCGTCGACGTCATCGGACGTAAACGCGCTCTTCTCATCGGTATCACACTCCAGGCCGTTTCAGTCATTTACATAGCGAGTTTCCTAACTGCGACGCCGGAGCTGGGCGTTGTCGACGGGTTTGTGCTTCCCAAATCCGACGTCCCCGCTAGCCGTGCTGCCATTGCTTTCATTTATGTTTCGGGCGCGGGCTGGGCTCTCGGCTGGAATTCGATGCAATATCTTCTGACGGCCGAGCTGTTCCCCTTGCGCATCCGTGCCGTGGCGACCTCCCTTGCCATGACGTTACATTTTGCCAACCAGTACGGAAACGCACGTGCTGTGCCTGTCCTCCTCTTGCCCACGAGAGATGGGGGAATTACGCCCAAGGGTACTTTCTGGTTCTTCTCGGCCATCACCATACTCGGTGGTATATGGGTCTGGTTCTTCGTGCCTGAGACAGGTGGCCGATCGCTCGAGAGCATGAATCGTCTTTTCGAGCTGCCTTGGTACCAGATCGGTCGACGTGGAAACGAAGATGCTGATAGGTTGGATATGGCCATCAATGAGAAAGAGACTGATATGATGGGTGGCGCTGCTGAGCACGTCGACGACCAGGCGCAGGAAAAGCGCGCCTCAAGAGAGGTTCATGTTTAGATTAGAGTTGAGTATTTCCATCATGAATAATGAAAATATATGAGTTCTATCCCTAGCGGGCTAAGTAATATGCTCAACCTTGGTGCGAACAATGGCTGTTCATGTAAGGTTTCCTGATAAAAAGCAGCGAAGATAGCCATGCGCATGGTCTCAATTCGAACATAACCCCTTCAGCCCTGTGAAAGTAAAAACACCTCCCCAGAAGCATCGCTAGTCACATACAACCTCCCAGCACCATCGAACGCAAGTCCCACAGGCCTCACACAAGTCTCCGACGAACACGCCGTCTCATCAGGTGGATAAAACACATCGATACTGCCCCTGACGCTCCAAGACGCAGCCGTAGGCGCATACGCTCCATCCGGGCCTTGCGCAAACGGGACCGCAACAACTTTATACCCGGTCGGCATATCGCGATTCCAACTACCGTGCATCGCGACGAACAAATTGCTGAATTTCGCATCGAATTTGCACCCGAGGGGCGCCGAGTGCGCCTGGAAGGAAAGCACAGGTGGCACGGACACCTGGGCGCAAGTCTCGTCGTTGAAGGACGAGGTAGGGACTTGGACGAACTGCTGGCCGACTTTAAAGGCGCGATCAAAAGAGAGCTCGGTGGGATTCCATACTGTGAAGCACACCGGATAGCCATACCAGTCATCGTTCGGCACCGTCACGTCCCCGAGGTAATTGAGTTCTTCGGCCGGGTTGTCTGCGTGTACGTCTGTCGTTGTGCCGTTGATGGTGCGAGCGAGATTATCAGCGCTATTTTCGACACCCCAGAGCCTACCATACATACCGCGTGTCAGTCACTCTCTCACCTCATTAATATTGATTAAGAAGTCCTTACATGTTATTCCCGTCGAACGCGAGACCGACTTCGTTTCGGAGCCCGAAACCCGCGTTCCAGCCTTGGGAGATGTAATTCCAGCCTCCCATCGGCACGGAGGACACATTGAAGACCTTGACGATGGCCCTCGCGGTCCTAGCATCACTAGTCTCCTCGTCGATATTCCTATCTGAACCGTGAGAGACAACTAGAAGATCATCCCGGTGCGGCGGAACGGCTAGTGTTCTCGTGACGTGGCCGGAGGTCGCCATGCCCGATACGACCAAGACTGGATCCTGGTCGACATCGCCGCTGACGGCATCATACGTCCAGCTGAATACAGAGGAGGACGAGCTCGCGTACAATATCTTCCCGTCTGCACTCAGGCAAATGCCGTGGTTGAGATCGGGGTCAGAGATGAGGAGACGGCTGTTGGTAATGCACCCGTTGGCATCCACAATGTGCTGGGAAAGACCAAGCCCTTCTTCGATAATGAGAAGTCGACCCTTGCCGTCTAATACAAGGTCGCGGGGGCTATGTAAACCTCCGCCTACCTTGAGATAAGACCATCCTGGAGCTGTCTTGTACGGGTACAGCGGGTCTGGTATGTTGGGGCAGGATGAACCTAATGCATGACTGGATGTTATCGTAGCTATTCATAGTATAAGTGAGTATGGCACATCTAAATACAATTCTTTGCGGTGCGACTAACTTACTGGCAACGGTCAACAACAGCGTCGTGACTCTTGATGTCTTCATGGCTAAAACATGTGTTCCGTAGGGCCCGTGTTCTTTGACAGGTAATCTCGAACGGAGGTTCGGCCATTCAATCAAGTTAGTGCTGGGAAGGATAATATACAACTCCGGCCGATCGTGATCATGATCACATTCCAGGCGCTCAAGGTGAAACACAGATCCTAATGCAGACTAAGGTAGCTTGGCTGAAGTCATAACTCGTTGTACTTGTGTGAAGTTACGTAGTAATCGGACCATCGGCCTACGTACACGTCAACATAACTAGGTGAAGTCATCTCTGGGCATCCGAAACCCAGTTCTCTATTTTGCCGGATGCCAGTAGTGAGTGGTTCCGTACCCCCTCCTTGTATATTTGATTCTCGTCATGCCAACCAAAGGGTCGTGATAATGTATTCGATTGAACAAAGTAGACAGCCTTCATATTCCCTTACCATCACACAAATGTACAGCAGGCAGAACCGGAACGGGGTCCAAATAAGGTCCTTAACCAAACACACTAAACACACCTTAAGCAGAAGGAGCCTCAAAAAAACTTCGCGCATAGGTTTCACCTAATCATAACCACAGTTGCCCTAACGGCCAATACAAATCACTGACCGCACATCATAACCAGAACATCATCGCTTCTCAACTGACAAATGATACAAATGGAGTATATGTTACATTACTACACAGGCCGTCCATCAACTACCTAGACAGACAAACATCCGTGGGGCGGGATAAAAACAAGGTCATACCAGAGTTCGTACCAACTCAACTCATAACCCATATAGCCGCTTTTTGTCACAAAATCGACATCCCGTGCTCTCATGAGCTTTTGAAAACCAGTGTTTCTTTTCTCTCTCTCTCTCTCTCTCATCCTCATTTCCTTTACACGCATGTCCACTCCTGTTTGCCCCCCCTATTGCCCGCCAAAGAATAAGAGTCTATTCGTTAAAGTCAAGGAAAAAAAAAGAGCGAGATTAACTTGTTTCTACCGACGTGCTATTAAAGCTCTGTCAAGAGATGCTACGATCTAAGCGAGTGCTCGTTAGTATCATTGTATGAAATGGCGCAACGAGAATAGCGCGCAAGGGGTTATTGTTAACTCACCTCGGAATTAAGTACGCCTTGATTTTCAAGATATTTGCTCAAACCTTTCACCAGCTCCATCTGCTCATCCAGCGACAAGCCTGTGATGGCGAGTTCCATGACATTGCCATAGTTGAGTTTGTGCTGGGCGACGAAAGTCTGATAATATATGAAAGCGAAGAAGCCCATGATGAATTGACAGTCCATCCTATCTGTCATGCCACCATGTCCAGGGATGGAGTCGCCAAAGTCCTTGATTTTGAAGGTGCGCTTAAGTCCGGAAGCGAAGAAGCCGCCGAAGGGCGCGATAAGCGAGGCGAAGGAGGCGAGAACCATGCTGTGGAATTGCATGGGTTCTAGGTCAAAAGAGAAGTTGGTGCCTTCGGGGAGGAAGAAGAGGTCGGGCAAAGTATAGGTTTGCTTTAGGAAGGCGGGGTTCGGATCGCACTCGAGGCCGGTGAAGATGTTGGAGCCGAGATCGTTGACAGGGCAGATAAAGTACTTGGAGCGCATCAGCACGTTCGTCAGCATTGTGCCCCAGATAATGGTCATAACCCAAGCGCCAAGGAAGCCCTCCATGGTCTTCTTGGGTGATATCTGGATCAGCTGGGTACGGCCGAGGGTAATGCCGCAAATGTAGGCGAAGATGTCGTTACATATGACAAGCGAGGCGGGCAGGAAGAACCATATCATGCCCTCAAAGACGTTGTTCATGACGAAATGGGCCTGGACAACGATCAAGTAGAGGGCCATGTGGGTCCAGGCGAAGTTGGTGAACTGGAACTTGAGGTGGCCGGACTTGAGGTTGGCGACGAAAAAGACGAAGCCGATGACGTAGAGCACGAAGCTGATGAAGCGGTGGTGGGTGGCTAGGGGCAGGAGAACGCGGTCGACGAGCACGATGTGCTTGAAGTAGTAGATGACAGTCTCGCCGTAGAGGAAGTACATGGTGGTGACGAGCCAGTACCAGTTGAGGCTCTTGGTCGGGCGCAGTTGTCGGGTACGGCTGGGCACGCTGGCGATGGCAATGACCTCCTTGAACGAGACGATTTGCACAATGGTGATGCACATGATGATGTAGATGTGACCGGAAAACAGGGCTCCGAAGAAGAGCCCGATCATGACAAAGGTCCAGAATGTACGGACGAGGAAGTTGGCCTTTTTCTTCTCGTACTCGGTAGGCTGCGCGGCGGCTTCGTTCGTTTTCTACGTGGCGATGAATACCTAGTGAGCGAAGCCGTTGGACAAAGAGAGGAAAGGAGGGGAGGGGAGGGGAGAAAAGAGGGTGGCAGGAGAGACATACCTCACGGATATTATCCAGTTGTGTTGACGTTGTGGCGGCGGCCCTCGCCCTCAGCGGCGACCCAGAGCCATCCTCACTTATCTCGCTCATACTCGATCTTCTTCCTTCGTGGCCGTTGGCTCGGTTGGGGAAGCGAACCCCACGACGCGGCTTCGTCATGGCGGCGAGTTGTCCTTTTTTGTTTTATATATCGACAGGAGGGGGAGACGACGACGACAATGACGGTAGTGACCGAGACACTAATGCAGGCGCGCACACACTTGTGGTGGTAGGAGGAGGAGAAGAAGCAGATGTTTGTCGTATCGTGTGCGGGCGGGCGTGCTTGTGTGTGTGTGGAAGCGAGCGAGCGACGTTTGTAGTTGTCGGGACGTTTGCAGGTGAGGGCTTCGGGGTATAGGTATTCCTAGATGCCTATGACTGACGATGTCTCTGTCTCTGTCTCTGTCTCATCCGATCTGAACGACGAAAGCTATCACCTACTCACTCTTTGTTGCACATGCATGTATATATGATGTACGGTATGATGTATGATGTATGATGTAGGCAGAGGTAAGGCACGTAAGTAAGTATTCTGCGGACTTTGCGGACCGTGGGGGATCGGAAATACCGGTGCCTTGTACTAAGTACCTATCTTACCTTTTCCTTAATTGACTTTGGGTCTGACTTGGGCTGCTTTTTGGTACCCCACCCACATTGCCCACCCATGCACGCCCGTACTACCGGTACTACATACTTACATGTCGAGGCAGTGTTAAAAAAGATGAGACCCCCTATATTATCCTTTTACGTTAATTACATCTAACTGTACATAGCTGGTATTGAACTTGTTCAATGCTGAGTATTCCTCCTCCGGGAGCTCCAATGTTCCATCGAAATGACCCTGTACTGTAGCCCTGCTGGGAACTCTCCCATCTACCTAGTCAATCCAATTCAGTTCATGCAATGCCCTGACAGAAACCCAGAACACCGAGTGCAATGTGTTCAAACACAACTGATTCAAAATATCAGTAGTAGCCAGACATATCTAACCTTAGATAAGCAGAAACCCCACTACAGACACCGGCATGCTTTGCTCCTAGTATGCCCTTTGTTGTCATTACTGTCGTCATTGTCATCCCCAATCCGGGTATTGGTATTCCCACCCATATAAAACATCCATATAGAACCGCTGTGTGTGATATCCAGTCCGCCTTTGTTAGCTCCCATCAATACCCTCTTCCCAAGCTCCAAATATGCCCAGCCAAAACCAAGCCCAACGACGGGAGGGAAAAAAAAAGAGTTGAATAAAAATAAAAGCCGATTTCGTGAGAAGACTAGATAGGAAAGGGCGCGAGCATAGATAGAGTAGGGTGAGGTCTCATTTGCTCTTGTTTAGCGGCGAACATGGTTATTGTTAAAACCTGTGTCAACCGTTGAAAAACTCGCCCAGTTCCTGTCCCGCCTCTGACGTCACCGCCATCTCGAGCAGCTCGTGTGCCAGCTCCGCCGTATCCTCCGACACGAGGTCGTCGGCGAAGTTCAGCCTCGACAAGCTAATCAGGTACTTTTGTGAGCCGCCCGTCGTCTTGGCCAGTTTGGCCGACACGTCCACCGTGTCGCTGCCGAGCGGTGCCGTGATAACCATGTGAAGCAATTGCATGACGTGCGCCACGAGCCGCTGTAGTCCGCACGGCGCCGCATCTCCATCCGCCGACGAATATTGCATGTCGCCGTCGTAGAGTTCCTCAATGCTGCACGACAGGAGTGTCACGAGCCGCGGAATCATCCATTGGTGTTTGGCGAGCTGTATGAGCCCCAATGAGGATCTTGCGAATGCCGAGAGAGTCTGCAGCGCCGCGAGCCGCACCTCCCGAAGCTGCGCCTCGTCGATATCCCATCGCGGCGTTTCCGTGAGGTGCACGGAGATCCGGTCTATCAGCAATCGCCCCACCTCTTCCGGCTCCTTGTCTGGGTTGATGGGGCCGATGCTGTCGGGGAAGACGGATGTACCGAGCAGTCTCAAAGTTGCGGTGAAGTCACCAACCGGCTGCTTGCTATGCAGAAGCATCAGCACAAATTGTATGTGCACAGAGTTCCAGAAATCAACGACTGGAGATAAGATGCTGCCACCAACTGGTTCCGATGTCGCGCATCCGAGAGCCGTGAGATACAGAAGGGATAGGATCTTAGTCGTGTCAATACTATCCCTGAACTTGATAAAGGCTTCATCCGTCGGATCCCCGGGAACAGAGTTATTAAATCGGGGTATAGCCACCTCATAGCAAGCCTCCATCGCTACCGGTAGCAAGGTAGGAGCAATGTAGGGAGCCAACGCCACAGTTTGTAATTGCAAGGTGAACGACACTAGCGCTACCAGAGAAGTAATAGGAGCCAACTACAATTAGTCAGTAACAAATCTATCATTAAAGACACAAGATACAGCGAAGTGATTGCGTCTTACACAGGCTTCTTTCTTGCAAGCATCCCATATTCGAATGACCTCCAAGCAAAATTGTATGGGCAGCTGAGTGGGGTCATTGGGGTCTCCAGCAGTGCTGAGCTTTGTTAAGAGGATAGAGGCAAGGCTTTCGTTGGGCCTAGATGGGAGCTTGAAATGAGAGAGATACTCCAACGTCAAGGGGCGACCGAAGCCAGCGCTATGGTTCAAGATGGCTCTAACGTACTAGGGGATGATTAGCAACAACAATGCATGTTAGAGTCTGACGTTTTTTTTTTTTTTTTTCCGAGTCTTACATCAAAAGATAGATTTCCTTGCATGGAAGGTGGCATTTGCACAACGCCGATTTCATCTACTCTCACATCGTCAAGCATGACAACATCATCCGAGTGCGTTTCGAGGGCCATGACGGGGCTGTCAACGGCCGGGCGCTTCCGCTTGCTTTTCGTAGGAGTTTTCAGCAGCTTCGATGACGGTTCGAAGACGGAGCTAGCCACCGGACCGGCATTCTTACCCCGTTTGCCCTTGGTCGGGCTACCGGCCATCTCAACATCTTCGAACCCGTCTGAGACGCCCCAGGCTTTCGCAACGGAATTCTTCTTGGGCGTTCCCGGTCCGTCATGACGCTTGGCACGGACGACCTCCTCCCTTAAATCTCGCCTTGTAAACTCGAGCTCGGTGGTTGCTGATTCCTTAGCAGCTCTCGCCGCCTCGACTGCCCGCTCCTGCTTCGCCAATTGTTCAGCCGTCTGCGCTTTGATGATCTGAAGTTCGCGCTCATGGTCTTCGCGAGACTTCTCCAAGCGTTTCCGCACAATGCTAATCTCTCCATCCTTTGTAGTGAGTTTTGATTTCAGGTCTAGGATTTGTGCTTGGAGAGCAGCGATCTCGTGAGATGAGACCCCCGTCGGGCGTGGTGCCTGGGACGGCTGGTATCTAGAGGGGATCGAGGGAGCAGGACGGGGTAAGGGAGGTGGAGGTCGGGGTATCTGGCTGTAGGGGAAATTCTGGCTCCTTGACATCTGCTGTGAAGGTCGAGGACCAACTCCAGTAGCATGAGAAGGGCCGTTGGGGCGCCATGTCTCTTTTCGCTGTTGCTGCTGCTGCTGCTGCTGTTGCTGATTGGGATGGTGATAGTGTGGTTGTTGTCGTTGCTGTTGCTGCTGCTGCTGCTGTTGAAGTGGTATTCTTGTTGGCAATTGGGCCGATCTATCACGAGTGGGCGAGAGAGCAGGCTTTGGCTGGCGAGCATCCTGGACGACTACCACAGCATCGTCGAGATCGTCGTCCTCGTAATCGTAGCCATCGTCCTGTCGTGGCTGAGGAGCAGGCAAGGGTGGGGGTTCTTGGCGCGGATAGGGCTTTTGAGCTTGAGTGAATTGAATGGCATTGTTCTCCAGCTCCTGGAGAGCGTTGGCGTTGAGAGCATCGAAATCATCATCGGAAAAGTCGTCCATTGCGACTCTCAGAGCCAGCTCCAGTTACGAATCGGCCCATTGGCGCGATGGCGCTACGCTAGACGCCCGGCAACCGTGAAGGGCAGGGAAAGGAAAGGCAGGGAAAGGCAGGGAAAGGCACCGATAAATGAAGACAGCAACAGTCCAAGGGGAGAAAGTCGGGGTGTTTATAAACTTGATGTTGATTGTCGGAATAATAACATAAAAGAGTACTTGGGTACCTGCGCTGTGCTAGACGCGTGCTAAAGACCCTAGGTGCATGCTACCCCCACCAAACCCCAGCAAGAGAGGCAGTCTGAGGTTCATATCCTCATCACGTTGCAAAAGATGCTTTTAGGACTCCATGTGTATTCGAATTGAACAGTAGCTATATTATAAAAATTGCCAAAATCGTTGAAGTTATGATATGTTCTATATAAGCACATCCTTAGCCAGGTACGGTACCTACTGTGGTATATGGTACGTGCGGTCGACTTCAACATATCTCCAAAACCACTTCCCATATTTATGTAGGTACGTAGGGATCTGCAAGACGAAAAGGCCAAGGGAAGAGTCTCCTACAAGTTCGAACGGTCTGTAGGGTTTCCCATAGCTCCTACCTACCATACATTGCTTTCTCACATGAAGATTGGGCAGTAAATGGCATTCGATGATGACCCTTCTCAAACCTAGAGAAAGCGATGTCATGCCTGCATAATTCAAAGCGTCCTGGACACCTAGCACCTTTGTGCTATGATGCTGTGATGATGCGTCTGGTGTGGCTATTCACTTGTGCACTTCTGACTACGACAATCAGATGTGAAGAAGGGGGATGAAAGTTGGCTTTCTCCATCTTGAGACATCACCTGCAACGAAATCTTCGCTGTCGTCGGAAGATGTACCATCCATAGCCGTGGATGAATGGTGGCTACGAATAGCCTCGTTCTGTAGTAGATAGACAGGATCTCTCGTCTCGGAAAATTCCGGTGAAGAAAAATGACATAGAGGTCGGACAATCACCTTCAGAAGCCTTCGGTAGCCAACCCTTTTTAGTTTCATGCTGCGAAGGATAGCCTAGGCCCCGATATAGGTAAACATCGACTCACCCCTACCCATACTCACCAAATCGCGTTCTATGAGTGGTTATCAATCGCTGACGTGCCCGGACGCAAAATCCTGAAGAGACAAATCGAGAACACTTGAAGGAGTTGAATACTAGGGAAATCGTATCGTGAGATCCTGGGGGATCGCAAAGATTGTGACTTCACCGAAACATGGGAAACTCAGCTGATAGTCCTACAACGCCGCACAACGGCATTTACTTCCCCGGCTGAATCTCTCGGGCTACCGGGGACCGCTATTACTGCGATTGCCCGACGCATCGAAAACCAACAACTGCAACGCTGCATTTCCCCAAGTGGGTGGCACGCACGCACGACCTGCATCGCCAAAGTACCAACAGGAAACACTAAGATGACAACGGCCGACAACAACAATGACGGACGTACGGAGGGAGAAGACAAGGCCGAAAAAAAAAAGAAGAAATGGCGGTGTCTTTCCTGCTGCCCAACCGCCTAAAGCTCCTGGGATCGGGCATCTGCCTGGGCGGGAATGGAAAAGCGCGTGATGATGTATTAGGTTGCTGGCTGTCTCCGCTATTGCAACTCGGCCTCGTCAGGCTTTTTCTCCTATCACATAGTAGGTCTAGAGCGGTGAGAGAGCGTTGTCTGGTTGCTCATCGTTTCGCAGAAGGGGAATGCTCTGTCACGAGCCCTTGCGATACGGCTGTGGGAACTGAACTACTTGGGCGGTGCATTCTAGTGTAGTCAATGAGCGCTGGTTTCGGCGTAATACGGATGGTTCTTTGTATTATTTTGCAAAAAAAAAAATACAACTAGATTCTAGCTGCAAGTGGAAAAACGAAGGCAAGATACTGTAGAAGAGCCAAGAGATTAGGATCACTGGGAAGTATTGTGGTATTCGTTACGGTCTACCTATTACACATGGTATATCCATCTGATCAAATTCCTCAGAGCTTCATTAGCCACCAGTGGGGTCATTCCTCAAGATCCTGCGACCACGCTGATCATCTATTAACGCATATTTCCCTCCCAATCCTATAATTAGTACGTCTCGCTACCCAGAGCGGACGCTGGTTAGATTAGATGGGCTGGTTCACGTATGTAGAGCCTCAATACAGGAAAGGAGGGGTACATTTGAACAGCTTCATCAACGCATGTGATGCCACCTCGCTGCACATGCCCTGGTCACCGCACCCCCTGTCCAGACATCCACAATAAATGGAACGGCACGGAACAGTGACAAGGCTGTTGACTCACCCTCGTCTAAAGTGCAAGCAAGTGATGATAGAAGACGTAACGTCAACGGCAGGTGGCCGACCATCAAGGTAGGCAGCCTCACAGTAGATGGCGAGTGCACAGCACACACCAAAATGACATTCCACTTCATCACCTTTGGGTGAAGTCGACGAGGTACGGGTTGGAGATGAGTCTTGCGGTCTTGCTCAGCGCGATATAGCAGTGTTCCCGCTTTTCACCCTGGCACGTCTCCCAGACGAAGTGCTCGACCTCGCCCGGGTTGAACTGCCAATACCTCAAGGGCATTCTTCGCATGACATGGAACGACATCGGTGCTCGCGTAGCTCTCTTCCCGCCATTCTCATCGTCCTCCTCTAATTCCTGCAAGCCGGTATAATGCGTCCGAATAGGTAATGCAGGTGGAAGCTCGAGGGTGTAGTTTGACTCGCCCCTTTTCCCCCTCCGCACGGGGATGCGCTCTAATACTAACGCGAGGGTGCGTTCGGGCAATTTCCGCCAAGGCCCGCGGTCGTAGACATCGAGCGAGATCCGCAAGCTGTGCAGGCATGTGGGGTGCTCCGCGACGGCGGCGAAGACAGCGCCCAGGCGGCTGCTCTTGGCCTTCGCGAGCGAGGTGGTGCGCTCGGCGGCATCCCCACGGTGGTCGTCGGTGTCCGGACAGCCAATGACCATGAAGGGTGTGAACTCATGGAAGGGCACGCTAAATGTGAGCTCGAGCTTCCGGATGTGTCGAATAAGAGGAGAGTGACGCCCAGACGGCGCTAGGAACCGATGAGCTGAGAAGAGGTCGTTGAATATGATCTTGTGGCATTCAAGGAAGGACTGTATCACTTCTGGATGCCTTGGCACGGAGAACAAAAAGTTAGCTTTCTAGCTCTGTAAACATATACTAGTCTCCAAGGCCGGGGCTTGTCCTGGAGGAGGGGGAGGAACTTACATCTTTTTACACGTAACCATGAGTGCTCCCAAATCGGTACGGTCGATGGAGGTTGGCCTCCCGTACTCGATCCTTTCTGCGCATCTCCAGTGACGCTGGCCCCATGTCGAAGCAAGCCTTCGTTGCCACATAAGTAGGTCTCCAATGCCCGAGTGCCGTATTATATCCATCTGCTTCTGAATCATATCCGTATCCTCGTCATCTTCCTGATACATGACACAACGGGTGCTGACCCAGTGGCCGTGCTTGAAATGTAAATGCCGCCCATTGGATTCATGGTACATGTGATCGTAAGTTCCCTGCCAGACGTAGGCATAGATCATCGATCTGATCTCGAAAGGGAGCTTTTGAAAAAAGGAGCTGTTTTGTTGCTCATCAAATCTAGCCCTTGGCGTAGGCACGATGGGTATGGGTTTGACTGTTGTGTAAGGCGTTGGCGGAGCCGAATCATTCTTCTCCGTCGTGTTTATATTTGTCGATGGGTCAGGGGCCGTGCATTTTCTCGACTTCTCCAGCTTCCGGCGGAGGTATGACCTCAACCGGGACGGAACACCGACGGCCATTATTACGACTAGTAACAAGTGGCAATGGTTATGTGGGATACTACAAGGAGCAAGTGGGCAGACTGTTGGGAAGTAGAATAGACTGGAAATACTCGCGAGGAGGCGTCCACAGTCCTGCCTTATATCTGGTCCTCAAGACCCTCCCTCGGGAACCCAACGACTCCATAGCAAAGGCAGCAGCGTTCCTATTTGAACCCATCCCATCCGCACGGCTAGGCCACATCTCGACAGCACGGGAGCCAACAACCAACATCTACCAAGAAATACATGATCATGAGCCCCTCATAGCCCACCCATGCCTAACTAGGGCTAGGTAGGTGGGCGACAAGGTATGTTAGTCACCTCTACCCAAGAATGCAGTGTAGAACTTGGCCGTCTTTGGGGTCATGCTGGCTGCCTGGTATGCTTTCTTAGGGCTGAGCTACACGTGTGGACAGCATGAACAGGATGGATATGGATAAGCCCGGGCATGACAACGCCTAGGCTGGATAGTGTGACGCTGGGCAGGTGATAAGTTTCCACGAGCAGAAAATCAAGTAGGGCGCAGTACTGTACATCGTACCTCCACTTACCCCGACCCCTGTCGTTTGACCTACCCGCCCTGCCATATACGGGAATATTTACTTACACTACGGAGTACACGCGCAGACACGCACATATACGCACACCCTCTCTCTCTCTGTGTCTTGCGAGTTTTCAAGGGGCTCTCTTCGTAAAGGTGTGTGAGGGTATGTGTCCGAAACGAAACATTCTACCACTTACAGGTCTGCGATGCAATCATAAAAGAAACAGCGAATAAACAAAAGAACAGGATTCGATGAGACCTTGCTGAAGCATCTTGCGGCCCGTGCTCATATCGGCTGATCATGTAAGTGTACAAACAACCCGAGACAACGAGAAATACACTCTCGCCAGCCTGTCTTACATGTCGTCGTTGAGAGAACGGCGGGCATCCGCCAGAAGCTGGAGTCTTATCGGTCCAGCTGTCTCACGGGTTCCGTTCCGTCGGTATCCAATCATGAAGATGACGTGCTATGCTACTCTACGGCGTAGAATGTAAGGAGTCGGAAAACATGCGTCTTGTATCAGATGGGTCCGGAACAGCCAGCCCTACGATGGCCAGGCTGAATACCTAATTAGATCGTGACCGCTAGACCTCGGCATTCGCGAAGAAAGCCAACAGTGATCAACAAACTTATGCGAGGGATTCACCCGTTGGTGCAAGGTTATGATCGTACAGGATCCAGGGGGCTGTAGTATACTCTCTTCTCCACAGTGACTCACCGCAACGCTCCCATCGTCGTCATCATCATCAGTAATAGCCCGTATCATGTATACCTCCCATGGCTGTAAACTCACGCTAGCCCATCTGTTGTTTGTTTGTGAGTAGTCCCTCGAATCTGAGATCTATATAGCTAGGTTGTGGCGTTGGAGTTTCGTTTCTCGTGGCTCCTAAAAATGTCCACGACGTGGCTCTTTCATCCCTTGTTAGGGCCGTGCACCTAGCGATATAGCTATTGCTTGAATTTGTGCTTTGTGCTTGCCTGTGGCTCGGCCAATTTTGGGAGATACGGAGTAACGGGGTAGCGAGAGACGTTGACGGCTCTTGACCCGAGCTCTGCCCAAGTAGGTCATGCAAATAGTATATGCGTACACAAAGTGTGCGTATCATAATGTGTATGTCTGTTTCACCGTGAGTGCATCCAATAACACCTTCACGTTCGGCTTGGCTAGATGGGAACCAAGGATCAGAGTCCTATCCTGTCTCAATTTGTGCCATCCCATGCCATCCTATCCATATACTCAACCGTCGTATACCCTGCCGCCCTTCCTATTCGACCATTGAAATCAAGACACCATTATGATAGAGCAGTAGGTTCCCGGTATCACTGAATCTATATCTAACGAGCGTAATCATATAAATGCCTCACAGTCTCATATAAAGGTGATGAGATGAAGCTCAGTCTGCTCCATGTTGGAGCTAAGTTAGAATAGTCCTCACACTATATGCGGCTTTCCCCTCTACCCCATCTCACCTCAGCAACGGGCCGCAGTCGGCCTAACCTTAGGTACTTTAAGTCTAGGTTGGCGCATCATCTATCTTCTTCGGTTACAGCGAGCGTTCGGGAGCGCGGTTCCATACTTAGTACAGCTTCCCTGTCGACCGGGGGCGCGAAGGAGTCCCGCTCCACGGCCTTGGGATCAATGGATTCCCCAATTAGGTCGTCGCACCACCAGCCAACGTCGTCGATGAGCTTATCTAGAGGTCGAAGCTGTGCTACGAGCTGACAGCTCCTCAACGAGTAGAAGTGAACGAAGCTTCGCATTTGCGGCCAAAATCCATCAGCCATTCTCCCTATGGTGGACAGATGGCATACCGTCTCTCTGTGTCAAGTCGGATCATCGGCTTTCGTATCAACGGGATTCAAAATGGTGCACTACATCCTACTAGCGCATACTATACTCGAGTCACATTGTGCATGGATGAATGGGTTGGGGGTGGGGAGGGCAGGGCAGAACAGGGTAGGGGAAGTTGGAGGAATTCATCGATGAAGGAATCTAACCGTGCAGCCCATCCATTATCTTTCTCGCTTTATCGTTCTCTAATCAAGCACTGATTGGAGAACATTATCATTGGTCGATAAGTGGCGTCGATGTTTGAAACCGGCACAGGACGTTAGACAAATACTTAATCAAAAAACGCCGGCGCCCGGCCGGCCAGTTCGGCCATCTGCTTCACCCCGAATATGCATGGTTGATCCTGCACAAGGGCGATCTAGTCTACGGCTCAGCAGCAACCCAGCCCACGGGACCACATGACTACAATCCTAGTCTCCTGTACAGCAGCGACAGTGTTGGGTCCAGTGTTTGACGCGTGAAGCGAGTAAAAAACGTGGCATGCTGGTCTATCTAGCTCGCCAATGCGACGCGTGGAGGGTGCAGTAGGATATCGGAGCCAGCTGTATGCATCGAGGTTACAGTATCTAGCTGCATGGCGCTGTCATCTCAGCCATAGCCAGGCGAGCAGCCAAGAATGGAAACACAATGCTTAGACGGACGCTTTCAGCTTGAAGCCGACGATAGCGGGAGCTATTTACTATACGTATCAGGTAGGCTACCGTTACCCCGTGTGATGTATGGACGCACTAAGATCTCACACCTCGGTAGAATGCTCTTTTGGGGGCCTCTCCCGCATCTACGAAGTAAGACACGATCAAGACCTTGGGTGATGTGAGTCGCCGCTGACCACCCCCTTGTGTGTCAACATCATTACTATAGGTTCCCCAAGATTTTTTTGCTGTGTCGAGATGTTATTAGTCGGTTAGGTAGGTAGTGTAGATGCAGAACCGACACCACCGCCGCCGCTTAGTTTCCCCTTTTCAAGACTTGCCTCTCCTTGTCTGCCACACCACAGCATCTTAAGCGGCAACAACGCTGACAATGCGTATTATAAATTCACTTATACAAATACGCCCAAAAGAGCCACAGACATGGCGGGCGAAGGTGGGGGGTGCGGAGGCAAGTCTCATAAGTAGGTACATCGACTTGTGATGTGATTTGGAGGTCGGCCGGCTCACCCCTGGCATTGATACAGGGTAGAAGGCATGAGGCCTGAAAGTTGATTAGTTGACTGAGTGAGAAGAGCAAGTATCACGAAACAGTCTCACAATCGGGGAGCACAAAATGCTGTACTGTATAGTATAGTATTATGATCCATCAAATGTTCAGCAGCTTGCAGGTAGTGACGTATGCGTGTATTTCCATGTCCTCCTTACACCAATTAGACCTCTAGGATCCAGCCTCGCACAGCAGCAACCTCGGTCCACTGCTTGTTTATTTGAGAAACAATCGCCGCCTTGCTCATACTTTGACTGTAGAGAGCGAGCAAAAGGGACGGATACAGCTGAAAACACGAGAATGTCGCATGTGCCAAGTGGTTAATACGTGTTCATATACGTAGCACGTACATTTTCCTCCGTTCAGATCCTTTCTTTCTTTCTTTTATGGATATCGCGGGTTGGTAACGCGACATGAGCGCCATACAATCCGCAGATTCCGAATCTATTTGGTCCTATCCAATCCGTAACGAGCCTGTCCCCTCCCCATCTTCCTATCCCAGTAAATACACGTGTACAGAGTATATACACCCGTTAGATAGCTATGGCTAAGCTGGTAGATGTTGTCAGGAGTCGAGTGGCGTAGATACATATATTCTCAAGTCCCTACTCATAGACCTATGCACGAAATGCTGCTTGTTCCTGTCAACAGCACAAGCTTCATCCCTGCACAGTCAATGATGGTCTGGGTGCGTCCATGTGAATTTGCTTTCCACCATTGGTGCTATGTTCTTAACCCATGTTGAATAGATAGAGGCTCGGGTTATAGATACCTACCTAGTGATGAAGCACCTGGGTATAATCAGCCATATATGGGTAACAACATTGTGGCTCATAGATGGCGCCGATTAACGAGCAATGGGCCGCCGCATAGGAAAGCCTATAGGCAGCACAAGAGTAGGTTTCTATGCAAGGCAAGTCCTTGGCTAGGATGTACTGGTCTTATGTAGGGAGTCAACGACTCGTCCTGATTCATGTTGGATGCTGATTAGACTTCGAGCATTGATTCGAGGTTATGTCGTTGGCTTGTGACTGATGTTCCATGTCTACTGCCAAGTCCTCTTGTACCGCATCTGGTGTAATGTCAAGGGCGTGAAATGACATATCGTATCACTGCCTGTACTCTGAATTTCGGTGGCATACTTGAACCGGTTGAACAATATGTTGCCACATAGAGTTACGGCAGCCATGCCTGAGCACGACTGTCAAGCGGGTTTGATAGGAACGAGTTGTCAGCTATTGAATTGACATAATGACGGAAGGGCGACAAGGAGGCAAACCGCGCTATCTAATGCTGTCTGACAACACAGAGAGAAGCAGAAAATCTGTGCCTCCCTTCGTGGCGGGTCTTAAGCAACACGCACCGAAATACTATGTGCCTTGCTGGCTTGATATGCACCATTGTAATTCAGGCCCGTGACCCTCCCTTGCCTTCGATGAAGTATTGAGTGCTGGTCTCTCAGGGGAAACATTGGCCCCACGAAGAACATAGGCTACGGCGACGTGAGAGATTCTCAAAGTAAGCCATGTTATTCTGATACTCCATCACTTTGTCACCCATGCTCGAAGCAGACAAAGGGGAGTAACTTCTTGGTTTCATTTTGTTGGTAATATTGTAGCGCGGATGTTGAACAATAGGTTACCGTCACTGTGGCTATTGGAATCTTAATCAGCTTGCCATGCAAAAGAAGATTGCAGTCCACTCACTCCCGGCGTAACGATGTATTTCCCAGTTCTATACACAATGTACCGACAGATCGATACTATGAGATTGTGGTTAAGTCCAGTCTAGACAAAGGTCTCCTGAACTTCCCAGTCACGGTCCACTCGGATCGTCAAAGCCTGAGGCTTTGCTGTCTCGATTTCTTCTGTATGAAGTTGGGGCAACGGCGGTAGTCCCCCCGTCACCTTTGTCTGTGTCGAAGGCCATAAACCCAGGTCCGCCTCCGAATCTCTGCTAGATGATTCGTAATAGCAATACCTCGAGCTCCTCTGTGACCCTGAACGCTCAATAGGGCCCGAAGTAGGATCGCCATCTCCTCGTGCAACATTGAAGGATTCGCTTTTGCGAGTCCAAGTGTTCAGAGTATCCAAGCTCTGCCCCCTTGCTACCCCGGGAGCTTCTCCTTGTGCTTGGCTCTCTTGCTGAGTGAACCCGGAGTGGCCAAAGAGATCTGTATCACATATCGATACCATGCTTCTCGTTGTGCCCCTCGAAAATCTTCCAAGAGCTGTGACGATGCGCACGCATCTCCCAGAGCCTTTTGTTGGTGTCCCATCACCATAGTGACGAGAATGTTTCAGAGCGCTATTCAACTTTGAGGCGAAAGAAGGCACGAAGCTACTGACAAGGGGTCGAGTGGTGGCTAATGCTGCGGCGATAATGCCTGAAGATAATTCAGCCACCGACCAGCACGACGACGTTACCGCGTTGTACGTCAGGTCATCATTAGGGCTATTAAGTGTTGTCAGACGAACAATGGATATCGCCGACGTGAAAATCCCAATACTGAATATACCTATCAGCGCCCACTTCTGTGTCTTGGGCAGATTCAGCCCCCAGATCGCCGGGATTGGCAGAACGAGGATGGCTATGTCAGTGACCAAAGTGCCCACGGCGTTAAGATAAACCCCAATCAGCTGATTCTGACACTTTGCCTTCACGCTCTTATCCCAGAGTCCTTGTACAGGAACACATATAAAAATGACAGAGAGGAATTGAGCCGTACACCACCCGCCGATGATAATAATTGCCGCCAGGTATGTAGTCTTTAGTGTGTTGACATGGCGGAAGACACGATAATATTGTGTCAGGAAAGTCATTTTGATGAAGAGCATGGCAGCGTTGTATAATAGCTCATTGATCCAGAATAGCTTCACGTCGCGGGTGTTAATGTTAACGGACAACGAGACAGGGAAATGAAGAGAAAGGAAAATTGAAAGACTACTAATCACCTGAAGGAAGCGAGGAATGTCCACGAGCGGATCTAGGTCATATGTATGACGACCGAGATACCTTGTCGCGCTGATGCTTTGGGAGACGTTCATCCCTATCGTGAGTAGCTAAGGAAGCCAACCGGTTCAGAACAAATTCTACTTCATTGACCAGGGAATCCGATTCCTTCAGTCAGGTTAACGACATACCAAGGATAACACAGCCATCCAGTCGTCCACACCAAGCGATCGTTTTATCACATGGCGTGTATATATTCGAGCGCAAACTGCGAGTGCTGCCAAGCTATTCGTCACGACTCCAGCGATAATGACCACGTTCCCACGAGAATCGTGTGGGAGCCCCGTTGTATTCATGACATTGACGAAGATAGTTTGGTGTATATTGGTACTGGGCAACGATACCTGGCTATCTTGTAGTAAAATTCAACATCGGCGAAAGGATTCTGTCCGGATGAGATGTAGATAGGCTTATACAGATCCGAACTCTTGGGGTTCATTCATCTTATCTACCTCATGATCGACAACTGCAACACCATCCTAGTTTCGAGGCGCTATCATGATACCGCCACCCAGCACCGGTTAATCTCGAGAAACGGGACAGCCCGCCCCCTGTTGTCGGTGTGTTGTAAAGAACCCCATGCCGAGCGTTGGAGTTAGTTAAACGGTAACCACCAAAACTTACACGACGCACCTAAGAGGCAGATCTGTAGGCAGCTCCTAAATGTTTCCGAAATTCATGACAAAATGTATGCATTGTTGATGATTATGCTCAACACTGGTTAGAGCCCTAATTGAGAAGAAAGAAACTCACACATTGTACCGGATGTTGGCTATCTATCGATCACAGCAAGACGATTGGTAAATCGTTCCCATCCATGGTCTCGAGGTTACATCGCGGATCGTCGCATGCACAGAATATCAGCCATGATTCAGCCGGCAAAGACGTCAAAGCGCAATGCATCCCTAGAAACTGATATATAAATTCTTGTCCGAGGTGTGTTTTAGCGGGACATGCCGTTGCTGCGGACTAGGTATGCGTGACAATATCGTATTGGAAGAGGTAGGCAGTGTCTAGATACCTCACAGCTTCATTGGACATCACAATACTGCGACAGGCCCAACAATGCGAAGTCTTCTTCAATGCGATATACTCGGTCTCGAGGATTAGGAACATTGCTAACATACTTAACCTCCAGCCTCCAAGATCAACTTTGTGATGGCGATAGACACATAGGTGCCAGAATGTGGCATGTAGTAAATAGACGCTTGAAGCATCGGACTAAAAGCTGGTGAGAAAGGCTTGAACTGCGACTCTAGACGGGGAGCACCGGTGTTTATAATATAAGAGAAGTCAACAGGCGAATGACCTACCATCCTACAATACGTAGAACAAGGATGAGATGATGACCTACATAGTAGGTAGGTATATATGTAACTCGGAGATCTGGCTAGAGTGGCTTTACCCCTGCAAAGCGAGTATCGGTATATCCTTACAAGAGCCACGTGCCACGCAAAGGTATATACTATGTAGGAAGTGCTTTACTTAAATACCCTGTCAGCCAGATATCATTATATTATGTCAAGAGGGCGTGTTGCTTTCTATTGATGACGGGTCACTCATCACATGTCAGGAACAGAGTGAAACCTAGATGCCTCTTATCTAAGCCAACCTCAACTACCTATATTGATACTTTTCCTATCTTTTCTTTTCTTCCGCCCAGAGTCTCGCCCTACGCCCTATATTTTCTTTTTTGTTTCCTCATGGACACTATGCATGTAGGTACATACTGCATTTGTCCTTATCAGCTGCGCTACATGAATCTTGGTAAGTACCGACCACTCACTCGGGGCTGTTAGCAGATTTGTTAGCAGACTGTTAGCATGTTACCACGTCTAGTCAGAGCCCTAGTATGGCGCCTATAGTGCCCTATCCAAGCCCCCGAAGCCCCCCTAACCTGCTTAGGTAGTAGGCGGTAGATCGACGGGTAGTCCGAGGAGATCCCCATCCGTCCATCCCCCAAGCAGCTAGCAAAGGCTTCTTTACTCTGCCATTGTGGTGGCGCAAATAATCGACACCGGTAGGCTGGTCGGCTGGTCGGAGCTTTGGTGGTAGTCTGGTGGTAGGTAGGTAAGTCAAAGTAGATTCTGGTTGGACGTGGGAGGTAAGCTTCACCAAAAGGAATGATAGGTAGCCCAGTGGCAGTGAATAAAATACCTCCACTAACCGCAGAAATTCCCTCGCCATTGTACAACAAGCCCATGATAGGCCAGATGCTCAGACCGACGGTGGGCTACCGTTCTCTGCTCTCCGCATGTGCCAAACGAACCCTCATTCCAACCTCGACAGTCTCAGCATCAATTCAGTCTCGATTGTGTAGCAGCGGCGGCGCCGGGAACAGTGGTAGCAACAGCAATAATAAGACCGGCCACACCTGGTTCAACAGCAACGACATCACTCGCAATATGGCGCCTTCCGATATTGCCAACTACCTTCAGCATACTCACGACCGCGTGTTTGATCACAACCGCGCCTGGGCCGAGGAGTGCAAGAAGAAAGACCCCGAGTTCTTCGCCAAGCTGAGTGCCGGCCAGAGCCCCGAGTATCTCTGGATCGGATGCAGTGACTCTCGCATCCCCGCCGAGCAGATCTCCGGCCTCGGCGCCGGCGATGTCTTCGTCCACCGCAACATCGCCAACCTGGTCGTCAACACGGACCTCAACGTTATGAGCGTCATCGAGTACGCCGTGTGCCACCTCCACGTCAAGCACATCGTCGTGTGCGGACACTACGGCTGCGGCGGTGTCAAGGCCGCCATGACGCCCAAGGATCTGGGTCTGCTGAACCCCTGGCTCCGGAACATCCGCGACGTCTACCGCCTTCACGAGAAGGAGCTGGACGCCATTGAGGACGAAGCCGAGCGCTACAACCGGCTCGTCGAGCTGAGTGTCCGGGAGCAATGCCGAAACGTCATCAAGACGGCCGCTGTTCAGCAATCCTATGCCAAGAACCAGTACCCCGTCGTGCACGGCTGGGTGTTTGGCTTTCAAGACGGCTTGCTCAAAGACCTCAAGATCGATCACAAAGAGATGCTTCAAAGTATCCAGAAGATCTATAATCTCACCGAGAGCTAAAACGTGAGATGATGAGTCAATTGACTATTACGAGCGCGCTATCTATACTCTATATGTAGTGCTACTCGAGGGCTCTGATGGTATGCGTATATTATTACAACTGCGGTGCGACATGGCTCTATAACCGACGAGGTAGAGCATAAATCGTTCGGTTGGGCAAAGGCGACACGTAGACGACTGGTAGCAACATGGCGGGATGAGTTTTCGGGGTTAGACGGGAAACCTAGGCGCTACAGGAATCCGATCATCAGTGGATAGCCTGCCTACCTTTAGTATGAAAAAGACTGACTCGCACGATTCACTTTGACCTCGTACTAGCTAGCTACATGGGCATCGTGGCCGGCGGCTTTGAGGAAAGTGGCATACTTTCCTACGTTGTATGTCTAGGATAAAAATCAATACACAATATTATAGGTATTAAAGATCCCGTCAAAGGAACCTGAACAATCGTCTATGCGACGACATCTGGTATAGCCATTGACACCAAGCTCTATTTATTTGATATAGCTGCCTACGTGACAGTATACTTTTTAATGCAGGAGAGTGCGTCGTTCGTACGTAAGTATAAATATAAGGAATATATTATAGGTATATATACCGGTGATTATAAGCATACCTATTCCCATGATGGGCAGCTCAATGATCATGGGTTATGGAAGCAGGGATGTTTTTCAGCTTATCGAGCGTCACCACGAGGGTCGGGAACCGAACCCTTGATGATCTAGATTGCCATCTATCTTACCTTACTATAATTGGTCCACCTAGTCAGGTACTGACGGCCTTGGAAACATATTGAGGGGATAACTGACGTCGAGAATGAAAAAAAACAAGCCTCAATTCGTACACTTGCGACTCATGCTGCCCACACGGAGGTTAACACCTTTTCACGTTCTTCAATAGTGAGCGCTTTTTTATGCCTCACCCACCTAGAGTTCCGGAGCTTTTAGACTTGGCGCAGATAAAGGCGGAGCGCCCTAGGTTAGTGAACGGTAGGATGGATGGTACCTATTGCACCGTCACCATCCCAGAGCACTCTAGAGGCACTCGCTGGCTTTTCACCAATTGATCAGCATCTCCAATCCAGACCCAGAACGGTCTCGGCAGTGTTCCCGTCAGTCTACCAAGGCAATAGACAGGGGTGAATCTGTATATTGGATAGTGCTTACCTAGCCGAACTCGTATTGGTTTCGAGCTGAGCCAGAGCCAAGCCGTCATCGTCCAGTGCTATCATACTGATATGCTACAATTGCAACGCTGGTTCTAGACGAGTTGTCCATGCATATTTTTTTTCAGCTCCATTTCGATAGCAGTCTGGGAACGGTGGGCTGGCTAGGCGCTTCAGCTGCAGTGAAACGACTCGCTTGCCTCCGTCGCTCCCGGTTGTCATGCTTATTAGGGATTCAGGCTTCTCTGCTTTTTGAAATGCTTTTAGGTCCTTCTTTGGTCAATTGTCTGTTCGTGTTTTTTTGGTTATCTTTGGTATGGTAGATTAATACAATAATTTCATAATCTCACAACACCCATCATACATCCATAGTGTACTCAACTCTAGGGTGTCTGCCCCAAAGCTGAGCCTATCCGTCGAAGGCGGCTGCGAGAATAATTCCGCTCGCGAGTTCGATCGTTTAGAAGGACAGCCCTCGACGCTCTTTTACTTCGTCAGATACTCATTCATTCGTTTTCGCGCCAACTTTGCTATGCGTTCCTCCTTTGCGGTAGTAGCCGCCGCCTTGTCGGTTGTGCGCGCGCAGTCACCGTCACCATCGCCATCACCATCAGATAAGCGCGGTCTCGTCTTCGTGCCCAACAAGGATAGCCCAGAGGATAACTCGATCTGGGTCCGAGACGGCTCTGATTTGACATGGTACTACAACTACCACCCGGACCCGTCTCCTGTATACGCCGACCAACCGCAGAGTGACTTCGAATTCGTGCCAATGCTATGGGGCTCTCTCGACGACACGTCGTTTCTGGATACCGTCAACGGACTGATCGAAGATGGGCGCAACATCAGCCACGTGCTGACATTCAACGAACCCGACGGGCCGAGCCAATACGGAGGAAGCGATATATACCCCTGGAAGGCTGCCCAAGTCTGGGTCGACAATATCATACCGTTGCAAGAGAAGGGAATCAAGGCCGGGTTACCGGCTTGCACGGGCGGCACAGGCGGGATTCCCTGGCTGCAGGAATTCTTGGGCAACTGTTCGCAACTCATCAGCACCGATGATAACAAGAAGAACTGCTCCTACGACTTTGTGACAATCCACTGGTACGGAAACTTCGAGGGCCTGGCAAGTCATCTTGGTGAATATGCTGCTGCGTAAGTTCCTCACCTTCGTCACCGCCTACATGGCATACTCTATGGATTCTCGTGAACCCAGCTGACATCTCTCTCGCAGGTTCCCGAACAAGACGCAGTGGATCACCGAGTACAACTTCGACAACCAGGACCTCGAGACGACTCAGAAATTCTATCTCACCTCTGCCGAGTACTTCGACCGTATAGATAGCGTTGCGCGTTACAGCTTATTTGGCTCATTCCGTTCAGATGTTAGCAACGTCGGCCCCAACGCCGTCATGCTCAACAACGATGGCGAGCTGACGGATATCGGCTCCTGGTACCTGGGCGGCCAAGCCACCGGCGTAGATCCCCAGTCTGGTCGGGCTGGACGGACACAGACTGGTGTGCTGTTGGCTATGACAGTGGCACTCATTGGTAGCTTTGCACTCTTCTAGACGTGCGTGTAGCTAAAGCATTCAGAAGGTGGACAAGTAATGAAAGAAATAATGGGAGAATGGAGATGATAGCTCTCCAAGTCACGATTCGAGAGCTTACTATTGCTGATAGGATACTCATGGTTTATGGTTCATCTTATACGGGAATGTTTGGAATTCGGTATAGGGCGTTATGAGACCCAGTTGGCATGTCTCCGAACCAGATATAGAGTTTTGCATATACATAGTGCAAAGATACCAGGCGTTTGGGAAAGCTATCTACCTGATAGATAGAAATATAGTATAATCTGAGAGCTAATTTTATGCGGTCTGTCTGATCTGAGGCTAACATGTGCACGATACCTCGGATATATGATAGCAGCTGGAAAGAGAGTGAATGAATCAAGGGGAAAAAATTGTAATAGTCAAAATAACTTCTGATCGCTTTACCGCTATATATCGTTCCACAAATACGCACGTGTAACTTCTTTCGCGCTGTCGCTAGTGCAACTATGTACATTTTATACTTGCTCGTTGACGAACAAACCAGCCATACCCATGCCCGTGCCAATGCACATGCTCGTCAACAGAATCTTTTTCTTCGTCCGGCGACACTCGCTAAGACCAGTAACGATCTGTCGCGCGCCCGTGGTTCCCAGCGGGTGGCCCAGGGCAATGGCACCACCACGCGGGTTCATCTTGTTCCGGTCCAGTTTCAGGAAGTCCCTGGTGTAGACGGCCATTGTGGCAAACGCCTCGTTAACTTCGATAATATCGCAGTCATCCAACGACAAATTGTGTTGCTTTAGCAGCTTCGGGATAGCCACCGTGGGTCCAATGCCCATGATGCGCGGCGGCAGGCCCGCGACAGTTGTGCCAACATATTTGGCCATAACAGGCAGACCCAGCTGAATCGCCTTGGAACGCTTCATGAGCACAACGGCTGAAGCGCCATCGGTGACCTGGCTGGCGTTTCCACCGGTTGTAATAGGTCCCCAATGAGGAAAAGCGGCGCGGATCTTGCCCAGCCCTGCCGCCGTTGTACCTGGCCGGATGCCCTCGTCCTTGGTCAGAGTGACTGTCTTCAGCTCACCATCAGGACCCTTGACCTTGGTGGTGACGGGCGCGATCTCGTCATCGAACCAACCAGCCTTTTGTGCCTCCTCAGCACGGCGGAAACTCTCAGCAGCGTACTCGTCTATAACCTCACGGGTCAGCCCGAAATCACGCGCGACGTTCTCGCTTGTCCACCCCATGGCCTCCATGCAGTCTCGAGCTTCTTGGCTATGTTTGAGCACCTCCTCGTCGAATGGCGCATCAAGTGCATCGCCGCCGATTGACATCGATTCAGCGCCAGCGGCAATACCAACCTCGATCGAGCCTGCGGCGATGGCGTGTGCGATATCGGCCGTGGCCTTGAGGCCGGAGGAGCAGAATCGGTTCACGGAGCTTGCGCTCGTGGTGTTGGGGAAGCCCGCGGCGAGGGCTGCGGCGCGGGCCTTGTAGGCTGCTTTGCCGTCGGAAACCTGTCAGGCAAATGGACTGATTAGCATTGGCATTCTCACGGGGTTTGGGCGAGAGTAAACAAATCAGGTTGACACACATTTCCCATACAGATGTCGTCGACGAGCTCTGGCGAGAAGCCCATGCGTTCACGTGTAGCTAACAAGATAGCGTACATGATATACTCGAGGCTTGTGTCCTTGAACCCGCCCTTGCGGCCCTTGCAGAGTGGTGTCCGGAGGGCTAGGGTAATGACTACATCGTCGGGACTCTTGGAGGTTCTGATGTCGTGTAAGATGTCAGCGAGATATTCCCGGGAAAAGTTGTCGTGGGTGTCATGGTCTGGATAGTGCAGTGGCTCACTTACATCGCCGCCAACGAGCTGTTCGGCGATAGATGCTTCAGGAGAGAAGTAACACGCTCAGCCGCCATTTCGTCCGTCTCCGTACAAAGATGCAAATGATTACGGTGAGAGGTCGCGGAGTCAAAGAATGCTATGTCGGACACACCGGATGGTTTTGCGAAATGCAAAATGAATGAAATCAGATTACGAGTGACAGGTTTCGCCTCCTGAGAACAAGAATTGGAAAGTTTGTTGGAAGAGAGAGAGAGAGAGGGATTCGGCGTGTAGAGAACCCTGTCTTGAACATTCAGCCGAGGCTCTTCGGCAGATCCACCTTGTTGTGTACCGTTGCTACTTACCTAAGCCACATAAAATCCGGGGAAATAATATGGCACTTTGCGGGGATGACGCCAAATCGCTGACTCAAGTTAAACAATGACCGGCTTAGCAGATATAAGACAGATAAATACCTAATCCAGAACGAACATTCTGTTAGCCGGATCACAGTCTCGCCTGATATTGAAAGTATGATATTGCTTGAACGCTGAGGCATTATGTATCTCAGCTCAGCCCTTGTTGATCTATCTCATGGATCAGATTTAACTTAATACAGGCACTTTTCGCTATCACCTATTGCATCCAATTTCAAACAGTTTCATCTATGATTAATAACAAACAAGAATAATATTTCAATCTGAAATATCCTGCGGCTGTACTTTCCAGTCTGTAAGCGGCACCGCTGCTTCATTACTCGTAGGCTTGGCCAGCGCCGCCGTCATCCCTGCTAACTCTAGCCTTACCACCGCTCGACAGGCGACAGCACTGACTGTGTATCGCCCGACGATGATCAAACAGTCAGCCAAGCTGAAGAATAGCAACCCTGATAGAACAAGGGTGCCAAAAGCAACTTGAGCCAAGATGCCGATGCTGATGGCCCAAGTCAATGAGTAGAACCAGAAAGAACTGCTTCTATCTCGTCGCAACTCGAACACGATAGGGGGCTGGAACACGGCCGGGAGAAACTGTGCCGGTACCCATGTATTCAGGGGTTTCGTGCTCACAGTATATCCCGGTCCACTCCTGGCATCGACAGTCCGGATCCGGATGCGCACCCACAAGGCCGCACAACCAGCGACGTGGATGAGCGCAGCGCCCAGCGTCCACAACGGCACGCCGAAGATGGTATTAGGCGCGAAAATGGCGACGGCGTGGTAGCCCAGCTCCCAGGCGAGGTGCAAGACATTCGCCACGGCACCTCCCACAATAACATATTCGAGTATTGCGATGAGAACTGCCCATGTCGCGCGTCCCGCGCTCCAGCGCAGGCTCTCGATGCCGAGCTCTGTCGGCTCGCCGCCTTCAACAAATTCCGTCACTGCGCGCGCGAAGTCATTCGTCTTCATCATCGATACTGCTGGGCTACCGGCAGAAATGAGGAAACCTAACACTGGGCGTCGCAGCCCGACGAGGGCCGTTTCCACCGTCGAGCTACCAATAGATTGCAATATAGTAGGAATCAAGCCTAGGACAAGGGCGCCAGTAGCCACTAATAAAACATGTTAAAATGGAGCTTTCCCCAAGCAAGAACAGGTAAGTTGAGCAGTTGATACGTGACAGATTGGGCGTATCTGGTAATCCGGTAATCATACTTACATTCTGCTTTGCGAAACTCTGGGAATTCTTCCAAGATACAATCGATCACCGGGTTAACGAGGGACTGGAATCCAAGCGTGAGATTGAGATTATCCGCCAAGTATTCGGCGTAAGGCTCGGAGCAGTTCTCCCGCAGGATGTTCTGGACGAGATTATTCCATCCTGGGAAGAAGTGGTCAAATTGGTGCGTCGGCGAGGCCTGTACCACGCAGAGAAGACCGGACAGACAAGCCAGACCGGCTGTAAGCAGCTTCATTGCGAAAGTGAACGTATTGTAGTCTCACAAGCATCAACGAGAGGAACTCTGATATGAAGGTGTGTAATAACACATATACACGTGCGACTAATATTCAGGCGATTCTCCCCGGCCTTTTTAAATCAACTACTGGCACCTCCCAGAAGAGCAGCGTCCCTACCTCATATACCTATACCCAGACCGTAAGATGGTACCTACCTAGGCGCCCTGTCACAACCACGTGGAGTAGTGTATCAGGACTAAGGCCGTCAGCCCCTCAGGTTATGAGTAGCCCGAAGGATTCACGACCTGGCAGCCATTATACCACTTAGCAGACACTTAGACAGTAGGTTGCCGTCGGCAGCGGCAAAGATATGCACTTAATGACTAGGTATGACAAGTATATGCAGCGAAAAAAAGGCTGGATGTAGGTCTTTGCGTGATAATTCCATAAGTATTAACAATCACTGGTCGTGCGGCTGGAGCGCCCTTGCTATACTAAGGTTAGTCATATATGTGTACCCTTGACAATGATAAATGGATACTATATTTAGGTACTGTATAAAAAATGGTACTCTGAGACGGACAGAGGCACATGAAAGGCAAGATTGGTTTCCTTAGGTCCATTAACCCCGTCCCGTCCCATACCAAGCGCACCAATGTGGTGATGGGTAGTACATTATTCAATATTACAACAGATGATGATAGTATCAAAGATAGATGTCTTAAGAGGCCTCGAGTCCACAGGCCCTACATTCTCTAGAACACATAAGCTCATCCTACCCAGTCTTTACCTCGTATGCCCGGTTTTGAAGGGCGTCGACCGTAAGCGCTTTGAAATAGGTATGGTCTGTGACCACAGGGCCACACAATGCAGCCAGGCCGGTGTGTAGACATCCGAGGAATACTTCCTAGGTGGGATGAGAGAGTGGTATCAATCGACACCGCTTTCTTCCCGAGATGGACGGAGTGTTAGGGCTGATGAAACCAGGGGTTTCCCCTACCTTCCAGCTTCTTTGGAACAGAGAGAGTTTAGCGAAAGACGGCGGCATTTCCCGAAATGGAGGCTCTATCCATCTATTTAGCTTGGGTTTAGTAGATCCTACTTTGGCCCCCACCTCCACAACGAAAGAACTTCAAGTGCATGTAAAAGAGCTGACCTGCCTAGCGTCGTTGTCTGCTATCGTGACTATGAGCTACGCAGGACCCTGATTCCCGTTAATTACCTGCCGCGGTATTGAAGCCGTATTCCTGACCAGCATACTAGGTAAATAGAATCTCTCTGTACAGCGTATTTCGGGGTGGAGTCTAGGCTTGATTTCAGCAATTGAACCATACTCTACTTAGTATCAGTACTATTTCATGTGGCTTCTCGAGCCGCCCAGAGTGTGGACTCACGCTTACGTGTAGTGCTTACCACTGCGTTGAGATGGTATGTTACTTCTATCGTTAGTCTACTCCTTTCAGTGGGTAAAACGAACCATTCCTAGATAATACTTATAGTGTACATGTTAAAAGATTCTAGTAACTAGAGATGGGAAAAAGTCTATGGTAAAACTTGTTTTCTAACTAACTCTTTGTAAACTTGTGGCTTGCGACATATAGAATGCCAGTCGTATATGTGCCAGGGCTTGCTGTCTGACTACCTATCTATTATATATCTACTATGTACACGAGCTCTAGAATTCTATACTTAGAATATCAGCAGGTTCGCTGGGGATAGGCAGCTTAGATGGAGACTGGCCGTCTGGTCTTACTTAAGTGTACCTTTTCAAGATGTTAGGACTTTCAGCCACTCTGATCTCCATCTTTCTCATGCTCTTGCCCAGAGTTCGGAACATGGTCAGCGCTATGTTCTCCTTGTTGTTTCTGCTGCTTCTTCAACTCTGCCTTCCGGGCCTTATCCTCGCGCCACTTAACTCCGTTTTTCAGCACAAGCCACAACGCGGGAAAGAAGACCACGTAGGAGAGGCCAATAATAGTGAAAGCCCATCCCGGCCCAACGGCAGTCATGAGTGGGTTGATAAAGGCCGAGGCACCCGCTCCAACCAGACACCGAGTAAGATTGTTAGCCGCCGTGGCGGCACCAGCAGCACCAGGATTGATATCTACGATGAGCGTGCTAAGGAGGTTCGAAAAAGCAACGAGCGTAACGCCCTGTAAGAATAGTAAAACGATCTCAACAGCCAAATGTGCCTTGTACTGGACTGCCCAGCCAAACCCGATTAGGACCAACGTGAATAAGGCCAGAAACGGAAGACTGATCTGTAGGCGAGCTTGTTCAATAGGAAAGCCCGCCATGTTTTGCTGACGGCTCTTGTCGTATGGAATGTTGAGTTTCTTGCAGATTCGCCTATAGTTCCAGTTTGCTAATTTTCCCATGACGAAAACCGCCACGATAGAGCCCACGCCCAGAGGTATATATATGAGTCCGATCTTGAGACCACTGAAGCCGTAAAGGCTGGCGAACTGGGCCGGGATGGCCGTAGAGACGGCGTAAAAACCGGCGTATATCAAGCTGCTGTACATCAATAACAAAAACATTTCCTTCTCGAATAGTATGAACAAGGTCCGCGCAAGGTTTGGTCGCTGGATACGGCTGCTCTGTCCTTTTGAATCTTTCTCTGTGGCAGATGTACCCGGGATGGCTTTCTTCTTGCGGTTAGCATCTTTGATCAGCTGCCAAAAGGTGCGGTAGAACGTATGAGGACGGACTGACCCATCGTCCACGATGAGTCGACAAGTCTCTGGCATGAAGAGCAGAAACAGGACGAGGACAAAGCCGGCGAGTATTGTCAAGAACCAAAAGATCCAGCGCCAGCCTAGGTATTGGGATATGACGCCGCCTATGACGGGGCCGACTGAGGGTGCGAATATTATAGGGACAGAGGTGAAGCCCACGTAAGAACCACGTTCAGCCGATGTCACTACGTCAGACACGACAGCCTGGCATAAGGAGACGGTGGCACTTGAGCCGGCGGCCTGCAAAGCTCGGAGAACTAGCAGAGCAGCATAGTTGGGAGCTAAAGCACACCCAATACAGGCAGCTATATATATGATGAAGCACAAGATATAGGCCGGACGCCGTCCGGCCGAGTCGGCTAACGAGCCCACGAACATAGGCGCGATAGCTTGAACGATCTACTCAGGTGAGTCAGGTACTGGATTAGAGACTTAGGCTGAGCTATCTAAAACTTACCATGTAGGTAGTCACGGTCAAATTGACCTCGGTGATGGAGATATGTAGGTCGCGTGAAAGGGTCTCGAGAGCCGGGAAGTAGATCTGGGCAGACAACGGGGAGAAGAAAGCCCCGGCAGCGGCGCCAAGGACAATGGCCCTTTTCTCGAAGGTAGTGAAGACACTGTATTTCTTCCCTGAAGGAACAGGCATTTCGGTGGGCGGCTCTTCGTCTGCGGCACCTTCTGTGGATTTCACATCAGATGTCCTCGCCTTGACCTTTTCTGCGTTGTTGTGGTGGCCTCGGCCATTTTGTTCCGAGGTGGCATCTGGCGATGGACCAGACATGTTATATCATGAGGTGTCTTGCGGTTGTTAGTCGTCTGGAAACTGAGTGAATTGGCCTAGGGATATCATATACTAAAGGAAAAGATTGGGGGGGGCATCTTATTTATGTGTGTGTATATATACCTACATATAAGTGATCGATGATGGAATAACTACATGACCGGCTCGGACACGGCCAATGGGTATATGATAGGACTCCGAACGAGGCTGCTAGAATGATCATATGGGCAACTGCTATTGGAGATATCCATGCAATGCTAATAACAGCCATCGTTCGGGCATCTAGTGGGTAACTATCGGCGTGCGTAGGTAGATCTAGCTTCAAATCAGAGTGGTGGTCTCGGAGCCGGTTCGGCTATAGAAACAAGATGCCATCAGATATAAGTAGAAAATCAGCATGCAGGCCTTGCCAGGCACCGTGTGGCGAGATAGCTTTTATCTCTCCATCCTACCATCTTGCTGCCTTCGCTTTAGTACTTCTTTCTAGTTCCCCTAACTTTTTTTCATAGGTAATGCCTGCAAATCTAGGGCTTTTGTGTAGATGGACATACCTACATATCATACTATCGTGTATGTTTATAGATGACATCATGACCAGACCCTTTGTCAGCCGATATAGAGGCAATGCCATCTAGATATGGCATTCGAACAGTCAATGAAGAAAGTGTACAATTTAACCTATGAATTCTCCTGCAGCTCAAAACAATATGTTGGACGATGTTGTGTGGAAAGGGTTGGCCACAGTGCCAATTCATTAACATGGCACGCTACCCAAGTGGGCACAGGACACCTAGCTGCATCTCATAAGGCACCGAAGTTAGGTATCTACAGTACAGTGACAAGCACTGTACATACATTTTTGAGAACTCCGTGTCCAGTATTCAGGCTACATACATACTTCTTGGATGCCTTAAACTATTCCGTTCACCATTCATTCCTCTCTACCATACGCCCAGGGGATTCCGGATTCCATTTCACGATAACATTATCATTCTCAACTAAACTACAAGCATTATTCACCGTACAACAGGGACTCCTAGGCAAGCAAGGTGCCTCGAGTTACGAGTTACCTGCCTCCAGGGTTCTGGATTGTATGCGCCTCGTCAGGTTGCGAGATCAGGGCTTGACCAATACAACTATTCCTCGACTCCTCTCGGCCTTTTCTCATTTACTCGAACCAGTCACCACCATAGCTAGACATCATGGTAAGACCACTACTACTTACCATTCTTGGCCCCCTATAGCTTGGACTCGGACTGTGAGAGCTGTCGGCTAACCCCTTGCTTCTCTCCCAGAACACCCAATTCAACTCTGCGTTGAAGCAGTCGACGTCAATCAAGCGCGACCTAGCTAACCTCTCCTCCTCCCCCGATGGCGCACCCACACCCGCCGCCCTCGGCGCGCTATCCGCCTCGCTGACCGCCTTCTCACGCACTCTGGACGAGTACTCGGCGCTGGCAAAACAAGAGCTCAACCCCGCCAAGCAAGAGAAGGCCCACGAACGACTGCGCAACTTCCGCAGCGAACTCACTCAATTCCGCGAGGAGATGGACGCCCTGAAGCTCCAGCGCGAAAGCGCCGTCCATGACGCAAGCCGCTCCGAACTCCTCGGCCGCCGGCCCTTCACCACCTCGACGCCCGAGAACCCGTATGCGTCCACATCCAACGGCGGCGCATCCTCCTCGCCCACCACAGTCCCCACGAACCGGTATGGCAGCGGCGTCGTCGCGGGCGGTGGCCAGATGAGTATGGGCAGCGGTGATTACACGCGCGAAGCCCACGCCATGCGCGAGCAGAACTTCTTCGCCAGCACCAACACCGCGCTCGACGAGTACATTGCCCGCGGCCAGGCCGTGCTGGGCGACCTCGGGGCCCAGCGGGACATGCTGAAGAACACGCAGCGCCGGCTGTACAGCGTTGCGAATACGCTTGGCGTCAGCGGGGACACGATCCGCATGATCGAGAGACGGGCGAAGCAGGATAAGTGGATATTCTGGGGTGGTGTGGTGGTGTTTTTCGGGTTCTGCTGGTTGGTCTTGCACTTCCTGAGGTGATATTGATGTGCGAAAATAGGGAGATTGTGAGCTTTGGGGTAGAGATTGGGATTAAGAGGGAATTGATTGATAGGACGGGGTAATCATATGTGTATATACCGTCATTTTTCTTTTTTCGGTGTGGAAAAAGTTTGGCTAGAAGCATTGGCTTGGGTCTGTGTAGCGAGGAGTCCGGCGTTTTAGCATATTTGGATATTGGCAGAAAGGAATATATATTCAAATGCTTCCAGGTGTGTTGAATCGTTTAAGTATATCTATGTTGCCCAAAGCTATTTTCACAAGCTCTATCTACTTATCACCCCGTCTTTCTCTATCCCTTCCACTCGCTCGGTTCATATGGCTGAAGACATTCTTCATTCATGAGATGCCCGATCCTGGATATATTTCTATCAAGTGAGATATAGCAGTATGCTTTTGACGTCAATCTAAGATCCGCCATGTAGTCATCGGCTAGATGCCAGATGGCCATTGTGCAAGTTCTTCCCATATACCCTTACTTAACGGCAGAGTATGGAATGTTTATGCATAAATGGAATGCCTGTGGGTAAAATTTAGTCATTCGAGGCCTGTTTCAACGCTATCGTGAATAACACATCCTTATCCGCCTGAACCTCGACGACCTCCGAGTCCGGCAGAACGTGATTACTCGTGCTCATGCGGTACCCAAAGGCCGTATCCCAATTCTGAACATCCCATTCGAACCCCTTCGTCGAGATGACAGCGGGCTCGCCCACAGGGACGATGCCGACGTGCTTCGCGAAGGGATCGCGCGAGACCCGGCGGAAGGTATCGGCGACTTTCAGCTCTGGCTCGCGCACCCGGATCCGGTGCCTCACGCCACCCTTGAGAATGAATGATAGCGAATCCCCGGATACCAGATACATCCGGCCATCCGCGTACGTCGGTGACTTCTGGAATAGGTACAGGTGGTGTAGTTGGCTGAGGCCCTGGTCCACGCGGCCGCCGAGCCCGCCCATGCACACGATGTCCCGGCCGGGAGACTCCTTGCGGGCGAGATGCACGGCCTTGGCGAAGTCAGTGGAATCCTGTTCTCTCTCGCGGATGATGCGGCTGCGCGAGAAGTACTGGCGGGTCTCGTCCGTGAGAGAGTCAAGATCCCCTATGATGGTGTGGAGATCCGTCTGTCAAGCATAGCTTGAGATCAGCTGTTCATCCAATTATGTGGTTTATTACGGATGTGCAATCAAGCTCACAAATGGCCCCGAACTCCCAGCGGTGCCCTTTTCAGGGACCACTCGCTTGCTTAGGTCGTAGATCCGGTTGGCACCTCCATCTGCAGCAATTTTGGTCTCGGCTATTTTTTGAGAAACCTATCAGTTCACCCTGTTGCTGTGCAGAAATCTAACCAAACATGAATATTCGGGGGGGAAAAAAAAGCAGAAGTTTCCAAATAAGTAAAGCCACATACCTATGCTCCAGAGATCCCCAAATAAGCAGGGATCTCGGATGGGCTGGTGTAATACTATGAGGATGAACTCGTGTCCGGGATATCCTAGAAGCTGTCTCACAGGGTACCATTCTATGCACTCAGGGCCTGGTGGTGAGTTTGAGCCCATCTCGAACGAAAAAGTAAGTAAATGAACGGAAAGATTGATCACCGCAGCACTGATATCAGTGTTATGAGAGGATGGATAGAAAAGTACGAGAAAAGGCGCCAGATTTTAATGAAGAAATCACCCATTTACTCACTCATGTCGTTGTTCGAGTCAAGTGACGTTGTATTCTTCTATCTACGGTTATGAGATAAAGTAAGCCTAGCTATCCATTTGTCGTGGCTAGCGTCACTTTGAACGGCAGTGGAGCGAGCGGCTTATGCAGCAGCAAGTTTGATAATGAAGCTGTGTCTTTACATAGGAGTGTTCACCCGCCTTATCAACGGATACCTGCATTGATGTTGTTCATACTCACGTTGAGTTTACCTAATGCATACTTGGCGTGTGGGTGAATCTTGGAGGGGAGCATGTAAGGTATGTGAGAAGCCAGAGGCAGAAGATCATCTAAATATGTCGATGACTACTAATTAATTCCTTCGTATATCTCTCGAATCTCGAATATCTTTGTGGTACCCAGGTCGCATCCGATACTGAGGGACAAGCAATCCTCAAGTATGAGGGTTTTAAGCTGAGATAGCTACAGGGCATTTGCCATCTCTCATATTGAGAATTGAGCATAGTAGTTCCTTCATATGTATCGGTACTTGTCTATTGGCGCAAGGCACAAGGCCAAAGACGGTAGCAGTACTTTATCCTCGGACTTTGTGGGTCCAGGCACCGGCGGAACATTGGACGGCTTTGCCCGGCGCATTTTGGGTTGCCCAAAAATTTCTCGGGAGCTATGACGATTAACCGAAACAGCTTACAAACCCAGTATCACCACTTCCAATTCCACTCAACCTCCGTTCACCCTTCGCTGACGGGCCCCTCCCCTCCCGTCATTCTCCAATCTCTCTATTTTCCGTCCCGTCGCTCGTTCTCTGCTTTCGCCGACTAGATTACGACTATAGGAGTACGTACGCCATGTACAGAGCAGCTCTACGATCCGCGCCGCGGACGATAGGTCCATTGCGCCAATCATCCCGCACCCCCGCCGCGTCCGGCCGCCGTTTTGCCTCGACCGCCCCGGCAGACAAGAGACGGACTTGGAAGAGCTCCGCCGTGAGGTGGGGATTGGCTGTTGGTGCTGTCTACTATTACAGCACGAGCAACGTCTTTGCCGAAGAGCCGAAACGTATGCGACACCCTTGGTTATCAGCGTAAACATGTTGAACGCCTCTCTATACTCTACTACCATGCTATGTGCTGACGCCATGCAATCACAGTCGCGACAGTGCAGCCACCTCCCGAGTTCTCTGACGAAGACCTGCCCACTATCGAGGCTGTCGTTGCACAGAAGCGTCGAGAAGCCGAGGCCCGATCACGAAAAGCCGCTGCCGCCGCCGCTGCTGCCCCAGAGTCCAAAACTAGTCCCGAGCCCGAGACAGCTGCATTGGCTTCTCAGACTTCGCCCGAGGCACCCGCGAAAGAACTCGATGGTAACGTTTCGCCGGCGCCGGAGGATGGCAGCCCAGAGGCACTAGAACAGGAGGCGGCGCAACAGGGCGCTTTCAACCCTGAGACCGGCGAGATCAACTGGGATTGTCCATGCTTGGGCGGCATGGCGGATGGCCCCTGTGGCGAGCAGTTCAAGGCTGCTTTCAGCTGCTTCGTATATTCACAAGAAGAGCCCAAGGGCATGGACTGCATCGATAAATTCCAGTACGTGATGATCCTGCGCTTTTTGCGCATTGCGTTTGGTATAACAACAGTAAATCAGCTAACGCAAGATGATAGGCATATGCAAGACTGCTTCAGGTTACATCCCGAGGTGTACGGTGATGAATTAGCCGATGACGAGGAAGCCGGGGCCGCCACGGCGGATGGAGCGCCAACAGACACCGTAGCTGCTAGAGATGTTTCGGCAGAAAGTGCTTCTGTCGCTAATGCAGCCCCGACGGAGCCCGCTTCTAAGAGTGTAGCGCCCACGACTAAGGAGACGACGAAGACAGATGCGAAGATAAGTGCAACAAAGCCAGAAGCAGTAGAACAAGTCACACCTTCGCCGTCAAAATCTGCGAAAAAGGATCCCTGGTCCAATGCTGAATAAGAGATGGGATGTTTTTTGAGTTTTCAAGAGGGGAGACACGTCTATCATGAAACGGGGGCTGTACCACTACTTCAAGCGTCTGTGACATAGAGCATAGAGGCGCTGGCGGGATTTGTTTTTGTTTTTTTTTTTTGAAAAAAAAGAAAAACTACCTACATTTGTAGATAATGTGTAAATTATTTTGCATGAGATGACAGCGACGTTGTTAGATACACTAACACAAATTACCTACCCATCCTCCTCCAATTCCTCCTTTCCTATTCCTATAAGCCTATGCGTTCGGGTATTGTGTTCATGACCCATGACTGCTCGTTCCTGCGTAAGGAATTAGTGGAAATTGCATTAATGTAGGTTCAGACTCACATTCATTGCTTGAATTGATGTATGGCTCTTTTTGACTACTTGCTGTAAGTATAATATATGGCTCGTAGCGGTGTGAAAGGATAAGAGCGGCACGGGGCGATGAGGTAGAATAAGCGAGGCAAAGGCATCAAAGTCTCATTATTGAAGGATTTGAAAATATATATCTAAGCTAACCCTTCGACTTGACTTTCCAGGAAGTCAGTCTAGCTAGTATCTAGTAGTGGGGTGTGGTATATGATACAGAGTTGATTAGGGCGGGCTTTTGGGGGGGGCGCTCTCTCCCTTTCTCCTTTTTCAAAAATCATTCAGTTGATGTGTGCCGAGTTAAGCATACCTCAAGAAGGTAGACCACATAGTTCATTTTGTCATCAAAGACGACAGAAACGGATGTCGTAGAGCCTCCTCAGCGGTTGGTCGCTTGCTAGGATCAATGATAAGCAACGACTCTATAAAGTCAATGATAGAGGACGAGATCGGCGGATCTATTGTACGCGCAAGCTCTTCCCGCAAAGGCTTGTATTTCATTAGTTTGCCACTTGCCAGTTCAGGGGGCGCGTCCATGTCTTTCAGCTGCTCAGCAATATCCCACTGGTCCTCGATCTCAGGATAGCCGTTATATTCCCCCATTGGCCCAACCATCAACATAATCTTAGCTATACACCATGATTCCTCATGACCCTCGACGATCTTATCGGAAGCGCCGAATAGGGGTTCCTGTCGCAGCCAGTGCGTAAGCTAGGCGAGTGGACCGATACGTTAACAGTCATATCATTCAACAGCTATACATGCGGTGAGAAGCAGCTTACTGTCACGCCCAGGGACCATATATCTGATGAGTGGAACACGCCCTCCCCTCTAAAGACTTCAGGTGCTCGACAAGGGGCGCATTGGAAGATATATCCCTTGCGACCTTCTGAAAGTACTAGCTTATAATGTCAATTACGACGGTTATGGTTGAGAGTTATGGGTAACTAGAAGAAGGGAAGAACTCAGGTAACTTACGCATTCCTAGGTCAGCTACCTTAACCTCGGGGTTGTTGCCTTCTAACCCTGAGACTAAGATATTGTTTGGATTGATATCTAAGGCGATGATCATGTTAATCGATTACAGCTTGAAAGGACGCTCGAAGATAGATAGATAGAATCGTACCGGTGTGTGCTTTGCCCACCTTACGGAAGATCTCGAGGGCTTCTAGGACCGACCTGCTCACGATTCTAGGAAATGGGTGGTCCCCACTGCGAAACGGTGCAGAAGGCGTCTGCCATAAGTCTTGGTCCATCCATTCGAATACAAGATAATGCTGGCGATCAATTTCTTCGAGCGGCTCATCGCGCTGAAACTCGCGGTGGAAAAAAGCCCCAACGGCTTCATGTAAGCGCCGAATGTACGGCGACTGTCGAATCTCTGGTATCTGGTAGTTGGTGAATTCCCTGTGTAAGACCAGACGCTGAGACTCGGTGGTCGAAGTCTTAATGACTGCCCTGTAGGCCAGATCATCAATATGTAACGGTTCACATGAAGTTGAATAGTGTGTAGTGACATGCCATTTTGAATCTGAATGGGAGTTGTCGAGGATTTGAGCCTTAAATACGGTGTCGCCTTTCAGGGCCTGTTGTAATTTATAGGTTGCTCGTGCGCCTTTGAGGATAACTCCTGGTCGGAGCGACATAGCGTAGTGCTCTCTTTCTAAGGTGAGAAGTACTGAACATATATATGTAGGTAGATATCCACCTTCCTCCCTCCCTTCCTACCTTGGTGGGTAGGTAGTCTAGATAATATACTGTAGCGACAAGCACGCACGTACATTGGTAGCGACAATTTCAAACCAACAACCCGGTCCATTAACCAATCACTATCACTATCTCATGCACTTCTCCACTTCTTTGCTGCTGTGCTAGGAGTACTTGGGTAACATAACATAACGGCTATGTAACAAACAGCCTGACTACGAGGCTACTTACTTAGTAAGTTTCGGGCACGTGTGTGAAGATACGCGACGCCGAGCTACATAGAAGGCAATAATAGTAGCTCAAAAGGTGTAGGCAGTTTGGGCTTTGCTGACTGTTATTGCTTCCGACTATACTTCTTACCCAAGCTCTCAAGTGCTTGAGGCAAAGGGTATCCTGTCACCACAAATATGATCATGATATCTATAGATATATCTCTTACATGGGTATTTTTACCAACCATTGACATACGATAAATAGAAGCTCTGCTTTCGAATCCTCTTGTGTTCCTCGATTTGCAACTGTCCTTTATTGTTCTATAGATTAGAATCGTAAAAGACGACGAATGCCTAGTCCTCCTATGGACGTAAGGGATCAACTACGAAAGCGGCGCCAAACGTGAACCTAGAGAGCGGGACCAACGGGAAACTCTCCAGTTGCTGATCCAGGCTAAGGGATGGTAGATAGATACGGGCTGCTGTTAGAGTGCTGCTCAGCTATACTCAACTGCAAATTTATCGTTAATTGCGCGAGGAAGGAAGTTCTAGCTTTGCCCTTTGCCCTTTTACTTCGCCTTTATGGGTCTGGGCTGTGTATTGGAAATTAGGCTTAGTTTATTCCGTGACAGCTGTATTTCCATGCCCCCAATTGTCACGATCCTAGGGCTATGGATAAAGAGACTCGCAGTATATAGCTTTAGCCTAGGCATAAAGCCTTTTTTGAGACCCTCGTCCAATAACGGTATGATGAGTAGAGTATAAATCAAATAATGTTTCGTGACACAACCACAGCGTTAATAGCTAAACTATTAAACTTAATTAATATTAAAACAGAGGACTAATGGTCATTACAAAATTGTTAATATTTCTGTTAAAATATTAAAATATGTGATATTACCAATATAAAAAGAACTGCAACTATGGGGGTAGCAGCTTGAATTCGTGAGGTCCAAACCCATTTTGGCGATCTGCAGAAAGCCACACTTCCTACCACTTGCGTTCAATGCGGTTGATTGGTTCCATCCGTAGCAGAAGGATAACGACAGTGCTTTTTTGGATGGGGTGCAGAACTTGCAGCCAGATGCTGATTAGCAAATTGCGATTCGTTCTGTTATCGATCTGCTCTGACGTTGACACAATTAATCTAGATATCCTAACTGTGCTTCAACTCTTTCACCCAATAATTCGTGTGAGGAAACGTATCTGGCGACATTTCAATTTCTCAGCAAATTTTCTTTTGCGCCTTTCCTTACCTTTCTGAGCTCAGGCGAGTTGGAGGCTTAGGACCCCAAAAGGTAACCAACTCAGCCCCCCCTCTCTCTCACCCCTTTTCTTCTCGTTGCTGTACATTGTATCGTTTCCCATAGCTTTCTATGTACTGGATCATATTAATTTCTATAGTTAATCGTACAACTACATACTATTGCATTCACATTTATTCACTTCTCATGAGATGTCTGACGAAAGCTATGGCTCTACTTTCAGCGGAAATCCTTTCATTATTAACTACCTCTACTGGACAAATATTACTTGCTCCGACTTGGCAGACCCGGATCAGGCCGGCCTCGGTGTAGGTATCTAGTCCATTTCATCCTACATTTCAGCTAATTTTAGCTTCTGTGAGGCAGATCTTGGTTTCTAGCATTATCGCAGCACTTACAACTATTATATTGTCCTTGTCAAGAAGCCAGCAACAACCCCACTGGACTGATCAAGTCATACTGTCTTTCTCCGATCAACAGCTTATTACTGGCTTTGCCTTGCTGCTCAGTTCATATGTCAATCTATACGCCTACAAGGAAGACTTTGTCATAGAAGACGCTCTGGACTACCAGGACGCCCATTTCGTCTTAGTTGTCTACCTCGGCTGTTTATCAAGTAGCTCTCACCTCATCTGTCTCCTCCGATGGGCTCAGTTATGTGAAGTGGAGGAGCCTGGGCATACGAAAGTCGAGGAAATGATGCAAGTTCGAAAATGGATCATCCTGATATTTGCACTTTTTCTTACCGGATCCGCTGCCACGAGCTATCATACCTTCAGACCGATTTTTTGGCTCTTACAAGGAGCTCCGGGTCCCGGCAGCGACGATATTGTTTATGCAGAATCATGGCTTATAGCGCAACGTGTTATCCCGGCGTTCTTGATCCTCTACGTATTCTGGATATGCTACATGCAGGTCTCTTCGGAGCTGAAGGAAAAGCTGGAGAAGGCTCTATCACACGTAGAAAATTGCCTTAAGAAGACATTACCCACCAAGCAGACCAAACGCGTCATGTGCTTAATCCAGTTCTGTCTCTTTTCTCGCCCGAAATTCGCTTTGGGAATTCAGACTTTTGGCGTCATTATCTCCATATTGTTCGTCCTGCTACAGAAATTTAGCCAGCCACCAGAAATTACGGACTATGCTTTGGAGCTGGGCATCCAGGAGTGGTGTGGGTTGAACAACCCTGGGGACAATCGCTGGGGGTTTGGTCAGACCGTTGCTGTTGCAATGCTTGTCCTCCCCTTCCTCTCGCTTATCGATGCTTACAAAGGTAGGGTAAACTCGATATGAATGCCATTAGACGAGACAACTGACGATGTAACAGGTCGAAGGGGGCCTGCGTTATCCTTTAGCCCTTCGTTTTATTACGAACAGTCCGCTTCATCAGAAGACACAAACATTCAATTGGGGTGGTGGTAATTAGTGGCTATACCCCACAGATGGGATTTCTTTTAATGGACTAAATCTTTGACTTAACAACATCAACAACTTACTACATATGAACAATTCGCATTGCCGTACCCAGTTATTGTCCATATCAAGCTGAATATCTTTTTTTTTTCTCGGTGACTTTCCAGGTAATATTATGGATAGTTCATGTGAAAAAAAAAAAAAAAAAACCTCTGTGAGGTCGAGTCTGGGCAGGGCAGCTCTACGGGCGCTAAACCAAATTGGGACGCACATACATACAGTAGTAGCGAGAGTTAGCAGCAAAGTACAATGGATGCAAATGGTCAATTCTCATACCAAAATTGAATCAAACGCAGCCAGAAACAAATCACCACATACTTACACAATTCGCTTACTATTTGAATTCCTAATCTGAGATATAACAAGACGAGAAGAAGAACAAGAACAAGAACAAGATTGCTGCCAATTCACGTGAGTAGTTACTGAGGGGAGATATTCCTAACGGTGACGGTGAGTTGTACGCGGACCGAGTTATACCGCATTAGGCTAAGTGTCGAGCGGTTAGAGGGCACCTGACGTCACACGAGCATCGAGGAGCTTCTGGCCCGCGATTCGGTCTGATTTGGTGTGATCTGGTCACGGAATTGATACGTGGGGACAGGTACGTACGCAATAGCCATTGGCCTGCTTGAGGGCCATACATTGCAGGTATCATGTACTTACATGGACAAGCAAAGCAGGCAAAAGCCAGCAGGCAAGCCAGCAGCTTGGATGGGATGGGGACGGCATGGGAACTGGATGAGAACTGATACCATCACTCACCACCACCAACCACAGGCAGTGCTCGCGAACCTTGAAAACACACAAGCGCCATATTTTAACGACAAACCCATCTTTCCCTCTCTTTCTTCCCTCCCACACAACCAACCTATCACATAAACAATCATAGCCTCCAACAATCTCCTACACAGCACCCGGGATACCTTCACCTGCAATCATATCATATTGCCCACTACAACGAAATAACAGAAACAAAGAAATCCCCGAGAAAAGTAAGTGAGTGAGGGAGGGAAACTTGTGCCGTCTCAATGGTGGTCTACGCATCAGCAATCCGCAGGATATCTAGCATAGACAAGCTAACAAGACTTGTGTCCCCAGTGTCATACGCAGACGTCGCCGCGTCCGGTCCCAAACAGACACCCGAAGAGGTACATTGATTGCGTCACCATCACTTTCCCCCCAAGTCTTTATTTATCGCCTACAATCGGGACTACAATCAAGACGAGAGAAAACGAGGGAAAGACAAAGCGAATAGTCAATCAGCCTAGCTAACCATGGTAAAACAAAAAACAGGCCGCAGCCCCTCAACCCCCGCAAATCGTCCCCTCCGAAACAGCGTCGACGTCGTCCCTCATCGACGTCGACACCCCCTCCGTGCGCACCGTACCCTCCGACTTCCTCGAGCAGGACGTCCAGACGGAGACGCAGCAGCAGCGGAAAGAGCGCGAGGAGAAGGCCGCCGATGCCGCCGCCCGCGCCGAGGCCGACCTCGCCAAGAAGAAGCGCTCCGCCGCCCGCAAGGCCCGCAAGGCCGACAACTTCCTGACGCAGTGGTTCGGCGAGCTGAGCGATAACGCGAGCACCGCCCTCGTCGCGGGAAATCTGGCTGCCGTCGTTGGCGTCAGTGCGTACCTCGGGTACAAGGCTCTGGGCCTGTACGAGCGCGGCCAGCTCACGTGGAGGAACGTCGGTCTTGGTGCTGGTGTTGCGCTTGGTGTGGGGTTGTTCGAGGCTACGCTTGGAGGGTAAGTTGGCACCTGATTGATCTCTCTTGCTCTTTTATTTCGAGGGGTATGGGTATATGGGATTGAAATTGCTGGATTGGGCTAACGTGATTATGTGCGAATTAGATATCTCTACAAGGGAAAGAAGAGCGACCGATCGTAGAAAGAAAAAAAAGGAAAGAATATTCCTCTTATCTATCTTCGGCATAAATAGTTGTTGAGAAATGGCTCTTGCAGAGACTCAAGTCCTTCATCTTGATCTACAACGCGGGAGGGAGAGAGAGGATCAAAGGAACATGAGGGAAACGGCGGTTGTTTTCGGCGGCGTTCTTTAATTACGGCGGCGACACATGGGAGTCTTTTTCTGTCTGTCTGTCCTTGGGGGGTTTTTCTCTTAACTTGATGGGTTTTCTTGTTTCCTGAATTCCTCACGGAAACTCGCGTATACCGTATAAGAAACTTCTCTAGTGTGTATATCCGGAATCTGATCCTTGCATTGGGAAAGAATTAGCCAATTTCGCGCGTTCAGATATTATCCTACCGCTTCTTCTCTTGTATCATGCATGTCTAGTAATACGTAAGTCAGTTAGTATGTATTGAAGCTGTGAAAGTGCACTGCCGCGACGTCCATTAGAAGTTCATATGGAAACCCTCATTTCATGCTGTTCTCAAGGGAATGGTTTGTTGATGGACAGGAGGGTTAGCAAAAGTCGGAAGCCGCCGTGTGAGGGTTTCACTTCATATCGTCTCTGCGCTCGGTGAGCGGCATCTCATGAATTTTCTTGTTGGTGAACCTGCTCTGGGTTTTCATCATATCTTTTCTTCTCATTTATCTCATTGTGTCTCCTACCCAGATAGGTTTCAACTTCACGATACAGGGATGTTTAATCCCTAGGCGGATAAGGGTCACGTTACCTACCCGTGAATTTGATGAATCAATCGTATTTTACGGTATCGTATGTAAGCTTACATATAAACCTATATGGGGTGAGATTACAGTTCATTATAGTTCAGTTTACTTGTTGTCTTATGAGATGCCAGGTTTCTAAGTCCAACCCATCCATCCATCCATCCATTCATCCGATCGTTCATTCATTCGTTCCTTCCGTAATCCTTCCCATTTATGGTCCTTAGAGGGTATAGAGTGATGAAGACTTCCTTCCTTCATTGTTCATGTATACCTGGGTACCTTTTTCACCAAGCCCCGTCGGAATATGAAACAGCGCCTTTCGCCTGCTTTTATATCACCGTCTCATTATCATCGCTGTATCGCTGTCCCATCATTGTATAATATTTGTTACCCGTAATCATAATCTGAAGATTCCAATATTCTTCAGATATAGGTTGACCTACCAGCTCGAGAATCTGATAAGCCGTGCAAAGGTATGCCCTATAGGGCGAGTCGATATCCTGGACAATACTACTGTAGCAGCACTATGACTCCGCTGCCAGATCCGAGGGCATGTGTAAGCATTAAACCAATGCCATCGCGGTGCGCAAGTCTCTTTAGGCTTGAACTATACCGTTTTGTCTGCCACAGCTCAAGAAGCCTCGTCGCCAACCCTTCCTAAACCAATCCCACCACCACCCAGATTCCTTATGTGCACCTCTCTGAGCCTAGTCATCCAGTGGCGCCGCAGAACGGGTGACATTTTCACAAAGATCATGGCCTTGTTCTCGTCGCAGAGCGCCTTTTCAGCAATCTTGAGCTGCAGATCCAAGTCTTCGTCAGCAAACTCGCGAAAGAATATCTCAAGCGCCTGTTCAGGCCATCGAGGTGCAACGCGAGCCTTGAGTGCCTCTGCCAGTGACAAAATGCCGTTTTCCACTAGCCCAGCTGGGATGGAGGGAGGAGGTGTGGACTGAGTGGCATTGGCGGTGGAAGAGGATGGAGCGCCAGTGGACGAGTTGGAAATGGCGGGTGCAGAATGCTGGTTGTAGAAGCTGGGAGCAAAGCGGGAAGGCCGACCTCTGCGCTTCTCAGGATTAGCAGGAGTAGAGTCAGATTGGGTTCGCTTGCGCGACTGTGTATTTGGTGCCGTCTCTTCGGGTGGCGTGAGAGCAGTTAAGCTGGCAGCCGTGGATGTGCGTGGGGGAATGGTAGTGGTTGTCGGGCGTTGAACTGGCTGAGCGGAGGGTGCAGTGGGTGGTTGCTGTGGTGATGGTTGCATCTGATTTTGGGAGGAGGCTTGATTATATGCGGTGGAGGACGTGGGCGAGTCTAGGTTCGGATCCACGGTGGCAGTGTCGACATCGGTCGGGCGTGGTGGCATCGACCCATCAGGATTCCTGCGCCTCGGTTTCATTATGCGTTTAGGCGCGCCGCCAGATCCAACAACGTCTGGGAATAGAATCTCCATGTATTCTTCGTGGTCAAAGGGCCGGCCCCGCAGCGCCTTCGATAATGGCTCTTTCTACCATGAAAGGTCAACTAACTGTAATCCTAACAACCAAATGACGGAGAGAATGATTGGTTGGCAATTGGAGAGGTTACGGCCACAAAGTATCAACTCACCTCGAAGTGTCGAGCCCAGGCCTCCTCGCTCGCTGTGACCATGCGCGTGTTTGGGTTGTACAGAAAGTCGGGATCTTCTCTTAGGCCCCTCCACATGCGGAACTTCTTGCGCGCATTGTCGGCCTTGTTGATGAGGTGACTCTTCTCGGGATACGCGCCGTGTCTGTCGCGCAGTGCTACAGCGGCTCGCTCCCAGGCACCGGCCTTGAAATTATGGCTGTCCTTGTAGCCAAGCTGCATTGACTCGCAGAGGGATCGGAAGAAAGTGTCTTCGTATGCAAGGTTCCAGCTAAAACGCGGTGTGCGACGGTCAGCGTTGCGGCGGGACGGAGTCCGCGTCCCAGTGGCCGGCGCTGCTGACGCCGTCGCTGTTGTTACCTGCACATCTTCGTCGGCCATTATAGTATTATCGATACAAAGATACAAGTGCGCACTTTCGCGACCATGCACCGCGGTGCGCGATCCTCAAGCGGGAGTCGGTAGTCCGTAATATGTACTCGGTAGCCTGTAACTCGACCAGAAGGAATAGGTGGCGGCGGACAACCAAGCGGCTCGGATGGAATGGCTGTCCGGCCCAGGCCTGGCGTGAACAGACAGTCTACCTAGCTATATGACCTACAGTAGGTACCTATATAGAGGCAACGGACTCGTCCTGGGTGAGCCTGACGCTCCCCTCCCGGCAGCTGTGGATAGAGGGAGGTGGAACGGCGGCGGTGGTTGGGGTGGATACACGGCTCTTGGCCGGGGTGAGGGCCGTGACTGTTATCTTATCGGCACCTGGCCGGTTGCCCTTTGTCCCTCTCTTGGTCAGTTTCTATAAGCGCACACAGTAGACACGAACTGGAGGTCTGGTAAGCAAGCTGGGATGGGGAGGATTAATGTTTACGGTGGGGAAGATTTGGTTCCTTTCAGGTTCAGTTTCAAACGGTTGGGAGTGGGTCGGTCACCGCTCGGTACTTCTTCATAAGTACTTAGTACATTGTACTTGCAGAGGCGCATCACGTGTCAGTTGGAAGTGATCTGTCTCACTCTCCGACAATCAAGCAATGGAGGGATATCGACTAGGTGTCTTACGAGTAGGAACGAATTTTCTTGGTAGGCACGATCAAACAAATTATTCTTTCTGTACTTCGGCAAATTCTGAATCTGACATGACTGAACTTCGCAGAAGACTTACAAATAAATACCGGTATACCTATGCTCGTACTTATGCTAGGTAGAACGTACATATAAAGAGAAGCAAGCTCTTTTCCTTCGGCTGAATCGCGCCATGAATGCCTCCAATATGCTACGGCGCAATTTGCTCAACTCTTCTTTCAGATACGAGTTGCTATAATCATGTTTTGGACCGTCCCCGAAATGCGCCATTTTTGCACCTTCAGAAGCGAAAACCCACCTCTGTTGACGATGCGCATAGCGTAAAAAACTAACCCCAAAGTCCCAACCAAGCCGATTATTTCCGCCATCATATTTGTATCCCTAGTTACCCAGGGAGGTAGGTAGAAAGAATGAGCTAATAGTAGTGCTGAATCAAGCTAAGCGCGACCATAATGGCATGTTTGCCTTTTCAAATAGACAACATAATCCGAGATCGGCCAGTGATGACAAACTTTCTGTCTACTTACATAGTAATTACCTAGGTATCGTAGGGGGTGCAATCCATGTCTCTGCTGCCGATCTGGGAAGTACGGTAGTTGTCATTCTGGTCCGCTTGGGTCTACCTATCTATTCCATGTGTTCGGTGAGAGTAGGCCCTTGGGTATGTATGTACATAGATGTAGGTAGGTAGTGACCGAGATCATCTGCATGAACATGAGGGAAGGCATATGCAGGCACTTGACCTGTACATATATAAGTATGTAGGTAAGTAGCGGCAGTGTGCCGGTACATCTTATCAGATCCGAACCCCGGTCAGACCCGGTCAACCCAGTCCAGTCAGCCCATCAACAGCTTCACAACGCAACATCCTAACGTGGTGTGCCAGGGCCCCTGCCTCATCGGCTTCTAGCAAACACTACTCTGCACTACCTACTATGTAGGGAGGTGAGTAGGCGAGTAGGGACCAGCCTCACCTTGTCTCTGCCTACTTACATACCCCTACCAAGTGCCACTTTTTGTAGGTAGTGCTGGCGCCGGCGGAACGAAACCGCTCCATAAAACAGTCATGTTCTGTACACGTCGAAGCCCTACTCGAGTCTGCTCGAGCTACTGTCATAAACAACACCAGGGTGGGATCGCCAAGCCACCGTCTAATGCAACCGAAACGCCTACTACAGGCTACCAACATCCACTCCTGCCATCATGGGTTATCTGATCCGGCTCTTACTTATCAGATCCGAGCCAAAAACGGTCCCTAGCCGGCCGGCTTCGGGTCGTCTGCGTCGCATCAGCTTGTCAAATGCCTGCAACCCACCGAGCCCACTCACAAGGTGTGGGTTACCTTGAGAAATCTGCCCCGATGAGGCGCGTACGACAACCCCAATCCGGAAAGTCCCCTTCGCGAAGAGGGACCGCTGTCGGTACCAATGGGAGTACCAATGGATAGGTATAAGCCGGCTGAACCCTTCATATAGGTAGGCTATGCGTCCTAGGTCAATAGCTCCCTGCGTCGTTTCTCGCTTGCCTCTTCACTCACTCAACGGGGAATCGCTTTAGCTAGTAGCCATGGCCGCTTATGCTGGAGTCGACAGCTTCAATGACGCCTTCCTTGCCGACGAGGGCGCCTCTATTGGCCTATCGACTCCCCCTACCGATGTAGAAGCAGACGGCCTTTCTGCTGAGCAACTCGAACAGTTATGGACCTGGAACTCGCCCCTTCCCCCTACTCTGGCGACCTGTATGCACGATATTATCAGGGAGCAGGCACAGAAACAACCGCAGCAGATTGCCATCGAATCCTGGGATGGTCGCTTCACCTACCGTGATGTCGACTCGCTATCCGATCTGTTTGCCACAAAACTGGTTGCACTAGGTATGCTACCAGGCGCCGTTGTGCCTTTGTGTTTTGAAAAGTCTCGGTGGACTGCTATCGCGGTTCTAGCTGTCATGAAAGCAGGAGCAACGTTTGCACTTACAGATCCTAGCCAGCCCGAAGGGAGGTTGCGAACCATCGTTGAGCAGACCGGCGCAACTGTCCTCGTCACTTCGAGGCTTCAAGAAGACCTTGGATGTCGCATCGCACCTAAGGCGACTCGCCTCACTTTGACCCAACAACTCCTAGACGAAGTCCAGACGCCTTCAGCACTACCCACGGTGCCACCAAGCACAAATCTCTACATACAATTCACATCAGGCAGCACTGGCAAACCTAAGGGTGTGATAATATCTCATGTCAATTATACAAGTGGTGCGATTCCTCGTGCAGAGGCCGTCGGGTATAAGGCACACTCCAGGGTTCTTGATTTTGCATCTTACGCCTTTGACGTGTGCATTGATTGTATGCTCTGTACACTATCAGTCGGCGGTTGTCTATGTATCCCCTCTGATGCTGATCGGGTCAATGACCTGAGTGGTGCTATCCGCAAGATGCATGTGAATATGGCTCATATGACACCTTCTGTAGCCCGTGTCCTCGACCCCGACATTATTCCCTCCCTCGAGGTTCTGGGCTTGGGAGGTGAGGCCATCTCCGCCGGTGATTCTGCGGTTTGGAGCAAGACCACAAAAGTAGTCAATGCCTACGGGCCCTCTGAGTGTACGGTCGGCTGCACCGTAAATAGCGATGTCGGCGCTGAATCCCATAAGCCTCATATCAGCATCGGGAGAGGCGTAGGCGCCGCAACTTGGATAGTCGAGCCAACAGACCACAACCATCTCATGGCCATCGGCGAAGTTGGTGAACTTTTGATAGAGGGCCCGATAGTAGGACCAGGTTACCTAGCCGAGCCGGAAAAGACTACAGCGGTGTTTGTGAATAATCCAAAGTGGCTGCTTGCTGGGGGTCCCAAATATCCAGGTCGCGAGGGAAGGCTATACAAAACTGGCGATCTGGTCAGATACGATACTGACGGCACAATTATATTTGTCGGACGCGCCGATCAGCAAGTAAAACTGCGCGGTCAGCGAATCGAGCTTGCAGAGATTGAATATAACATGCGGGACAAACTCCCCCCAGGTACACGCATAGCGATCGAAGTCATCAAGCCCGCAGGGTCTTCAGGTGAACCTTCCTTAGTCGCGTTCATCTCCGACAAGGCAGGCTTAGTATCCGAATCTGAGTCTCTTCTGGGTACTCACTCCTCGCAAGTTAGAGATGCGCTTACGACCATGAACAGCCGCTTATCACATGATCTTCCCATATACATGATTCCCGCAGTTTACATCCCCTTGTCGACCATGCCCTTATTAGTTTCTGCCAAGACAGACCGCAAGCGTCTACGAGAAATAGGGTCTTCACTGAGTCGAAAGGATATTGCTGGGTATGCGGCGGCCGCCACTCCGAGGAGAGAGCTTTCCACTACTATGGAACTGGAGCTAGCTGAAGCATGGCGCAAGGTACTCGGTACTGATATGGACCTCAGTGCCTCCGACAACTTCTTCACAATAGGCGGAGACTCGCTCCGGGCGATGAAGCTAGTAGCTGAAGCGCGGGCCCGGGACATCTCCCTCACGGTTGCCGGTATCTTTAGTAATCCAGTATTGTCCGAAATGGCCCTGGTAGCAAAAGCCGGTGTCAAACATGGTGCGACCGAAATCGCGCCCTTCTCACTTCTTGATGCCCAGTGGACGGAAGATGCTGCGCGCGCCCAGTGTGCGGCGTTTTGCGGCGTCGATGCTCATGAAATCGAGGATATTTACCCATGTACACCACTTCAGGAAGGTCTTATGGCTCTCTCTGCCAAGATCAGTGAGGCGTATGTGGCGCAACGTGTGATAGAGCTCGAGAGCGGGACCGCCGCGCAGGATCTATTGCAAGCGTTCCGCAGCGCTTCAGTCGATTGTCCTATCCTTCGCACCAGAATTGTTCAAGTCCCTGAGCATGGGCTGATGCAAGTGGTTGTCAAAGACGACTTTACGTACGAAGCGACGCCTGGAAGAAGTCTTAATAAATATTTGGAGGATGACATGAAAATCGCCGTTGGTCTCGGCAAAGCCTTAGTTCGATATGGAGTAATTTGCAGCGAGGAGAGCCAGGGGAAAGCATACTTTATCCTAACAATGCACCATGCCCTCTATGACGGTTGGAGTATGCCTTTGGTGGTGGACCGTGTCAACGCAGCGTACGATGGGAAGTCGATCGAACGACCGGCACAGTTCAAGCACTTTATCAAATACTTGCTCGAGATGGACAGAAAGGAATCGGAGGAGTACTGGCGGGAGCGTCTCGCCGGGGCTACCGGCGAGCAGTTCCCCGCGTTACCGTGGCCAGGTTACCAGCAGCAAGCTGATTCCTTACTAGAGCACTATGTTCCCACTGGGAAAATCACAACGGGGATGACAGTGGCTACAATTATTCGCGGTGCTTGGGCTTTTCTAGTGTCGAGATATACCGCCTCGGAGGATGTCGTGTTCGGCGAAACTCTTACAGGACGAAATGCTCCCATCCCCGGCGTTGAGGAGATTGAGGGCCCGATGATCGCCACTGTGCCCGTTCGCGTCGCCGTAGATCCAGATGTGACAGTAGAAGAATATCTGCGAGAGATTCACGACCAGTCTGTTACCGCTATTCCACATGAGCATTTCGGCCTGCAGCATATTCGACGCCTCAGCCCTGATACCCGAGAAGCCTGTGAGTTACGGACGGGCATAGTGATGCATCCGAGCACCGAGAGCGAAGATATCGGTCAAAAGGAGAGGGGACCAGCAGATGGATTCGTACCCGCGGGTGACACAGAAGCGGCACAGGAAGCTCTCAAGTTCAATACATATGCGCTGATGCTGGTTTGTTCGTTGGATCCCCAAGGCTTCCTCATTATGGCTAGTTTCGATTCGAAAACGGTATCTATGCCGCAGATGAAAAAGATTCTTATTCAACTTGAACAAATTACCAGACAGCTCATTGAAAACCCTAGCCTGTCATGCAGCAAGCTTGATATGGTGGTAAATGAGGACATAAATGAGCTTGTGCAGCTTAGCCGCACTGGTGGCTCAAGCTTAGCTGGCTCGCCCTTATCCATCTCGGAATCCGCTATCACGGAGACCTGGATCGTGGACCCTTTTCAATTGCAGCACCTCGTGCCTGTTGGTGCTGTAGGGGAGTTGCTCGTACGGAGTAAGGATAGTCTTTCGATGGAGCAAGTCAGGAATCCTGAGAGAATAAGCGAATTTCTCGACGGTGTTCTATATCGAACGACGCAGATGGCGAAATACACGGACGATGGCAAGATTATCATCGTGGACAAATCAAGAGGGCAGGCCTCAGCGCCTAGCTTTAAGCAGAAACGGGTAGCTGTTAATTCGACGAAGCAGAAGATTCTGCGCCAGGTATGGAGCAGGATGCTATCAATAAGCGAGGAAGAGATCGGGCTCAACGATAGCTTTTTCCAACTGGGCGGTGACTCGATCGGGTCGATGAAGGTCGTGTCGGAGCTGAGGGCGAAGGGCATGGAACTGACGGTTCCTGAGATCTTCAAACATCGCACCCTTTACGAAATGGCCAAGGCTGTAAAGGAAAGAGACGCGCCGGCTTCAGAAGTGATTCCGCTCAACTCAACCCCTTTCTCCTTGCTCGATGTCGACGACGCAAAGGCTTTCATAGCTGAAAATGTTCAGCCAATGCTTTTCCAGGAAAATCTTAAGATCTTGGACGTCCTGCCCACGCGACCTTTACAACAGGTTGCTGTTAAAGGTACAACAGAGCTGCCTCGGTATTCAGCCAGATACGAGCTCTTCCACCTCTCCGGACCCGTGGACACTACCAGGCTCTTCCAGAGCTGCCATGATCTAGTCGCTAAAAACGAGATTCTAAGAACAGTCTTCGTCGAAGCCGCCAGCAAGTGTTACGGCGTCGTCCTCGAAGCACTGCCTGTCGCCATCGACCAATACGACATCGCGGGGGATATCAGCTCATTCGTCCACAAATTGTGCGATTTAGATATCCAGACCCGTATGCCTCTCGGGTCCCCTTTCGTCAAATTCTTCTTTGTCCGGGGCGAAGGCGATAGCAGTTGTCTGATCATCCGCATCTCGCACGCACAGTACGACGAGATCTGCCTCACGGGGCTCCTGCGCCAACTCGCCGCCTTGTACGACAGCCAGCCGACGCGAAACTCCGCCCCGTTCTCGTCCTTCGTGTACTATGCTGTGCAGAAGGGCATCCCGCAAAGTATCCCTTACTGGCGGGATTTATTAGAAGGCAGCGCACTGACGGTCCTCCGTCCGGATCTGCCACTCACTTCGAAGACGCCTGCGGCTTTGACTCGCACCGTCGATATCGCTGCTCGTCTGAAGGACATTACTATCGCCACTCTTCCCACAGCGGCGTGGGCGCTCTGTCTTGCGCGCCGCCTCGGCTTGCGCGACGTCGTCTTTGGCGAGGTCGTTAGCGGGCGTAATATCGATCTGCCTAATGCCGATGCCGTCATGGGGCCTACATGGCAGTACGTGCCCGTGCGCGTCAAGTTCGAAGACGGCTGGACGGGTCTGGATCTGCTTGAACACGTCCAGTACCAGCACATTGCGAGCGCGCAGCACGAATGCATGGGCCTCACGGAGATCGTACGCGACTGCACGGAGTGGCCTGCGAGCGTCGACTGGTTTGATTCAGTTGTCCATCAGGACGTGTATCACGTCGAGGAGCTCACATTCGGCGCCGCGGAATGCAGACTCGAGACGGTCTATCCGCATCTCGAGCCGCTTAGGGAGTGGAAGGTGCAGGCTTTTGTGAAGGGCGATAGTTTGACGCTGGAGATTGTCACTTTTAAAGACTGGATTGGTGTTGCTGGGGAGCTTCTGGATGAGCTGGAGGGTATTATGACGGCACTGGTTAGGAGGCCCGGGGAATTGCTCTTTTGAGGGTTGATGGTGAATGATTGTGAGGATGTGGATAATTGGAATTTAAAAGCTTACTTTGTATCTTGGTTATTATATACTTGTCATTTTTCAGCTTTCTTACGTAGAAAAATATGAGTTGTAACGATTAGGTGCCATAAGCCCCTTTTTATTGCTCTATGTATCGGTTGTGTTTTGCGATACTATACTTGTGTTGCACTAATCTAGGATATTGGAAAAACGGTCATATGATAAATAAAATATCCACGAGGCGGGCGGTGGCTATGTTGAATTGGAATGAAAAGAGTATATCCAACCCCTAGCGCTAATAGGTCCGTGTATGCACAGTTCTGTCTCTAATCTAAATAAACGCTAGTAGCTCCATCTCTATTTATAATCCGCAGTACCCAAAAAAAAGGAGTATTTCTACAAGGGCTAGTTGACGTCTAGGACCGTTGGTCAACAGGTAAGAATCTCAATTCCTGGCCAGCGAACTTGCTAGCCCGCGGCGTAGTTGGAAGCGTGTACAAAGGGTGGAAGATGACCAAGAGCGACGTGGCAATGGCGATGGGGAATCCATCGAAGATGATGAAGAGGACCTCATTGTGCCCGAGAGACGAGAATATCCCCTGCGAAAATTCCGCGACTCTGAACGCCGACCGGCCGATGATCAGGAGGATAGCGACGAGAATGAAGATGACGAATCTTCTCGTCCGCCTGTCTTCTCGGTTGAGTTTACCGCCGTACGTGTTGGGGCGGAACAGATTCGCCGGCCAGAGGACCCCGAGAAATAAGATGAAGAATATCGTCAGTGAGAGCACTTGGAGAGCGAGACCGGCGATGATGATGCTTTGGCCCGTGGACACGCCCCCGTCTGCAGGGGCTGTTTCGCCGAACGATATCCCGCCGCCAGAGGCCTGGATGAGCAGCGCGAATACATCGCTGGGAATGAATATGCGCGCATACAGCCGAGGTCGGATGTTGAAGCTGCCCCTACCCAGGTAGTCTGCTATTCGTCCAATGCAGACGTAGACTCTATATGGGAAAGGTTGTTAGCTGTCGTGTATTTCGCTGAGCAGAGCAGAGCAAACGCGGTACTTACGCCGCACTTGTGAAAACGGGAGCAAAGGTGATGAGGGAGTACTGGATGATCCATCCGATGCGAACGAAGGGGTGGAAATATCCATGTGACCGGAGCACGTAGCCGATCAGCTCGAGCAGGGCGCCGAGGAGGATCGAGATGGTGTAGCTGAGCCACTTCCGCTTGACGATGGCGACGAAAAGACAGTGGGCTATGACGGCGACGTAGACGATGGAGAAGAATATGTCGATGCCGAGGTTAGGTCGGTAGCCGTAGTAGGATGCTGATAGGGGACATGTGCCCAGGGAGCAGTGTTGTTCAGGTGAAGACATCGTGACGCACGGCACGTTTTTGTCTAACTTGGGGGATTTGACGGTGCTGGTCGGAGACGATGGGAATCCTTTATGTTAATTATTGACAAGGACGATTGATACTGAAAATCGGATTTCCCTCGGTTCGTTGCTAGTCGTGCTAGCTGGAGATATTCAAGTCATAGGTAGATGAAGCGACTCTACGGCGAAAAGACATCGCTCGAAACATACGAGCGTCTATATATGGACGAACAAGATGGTGACAGCCGCACGCAAAGAATTCTTTAAACGTCTGCCTAGCCCTAGCCATTCTTACTACTACTCATTCAATAGGACTTTGATCTCTTCGAATCAGGCGATTCAGTTCCCATAGTCGGGTGTATAGCCTCATTACCATGCGCCTAACTCCTGAATAAAGCAGAAACTATCCGCGTATTGGGGGCGGGTCAGGGGAGAACTTCGGTAGTCTAGAGGCGCATGAGAAGGGCGTCTAATGTCTATCTAAAGTAGTTATCAAGCAAGTCTACGAATTAGTCTCGGCATTAACCCTACGAACTGGGCGTTGGTATCATCACGGCGACGTACGGACATGTAGTCTGAGAGGAGGGTTGTCTTGCGTTTTCCGCGTATAGAGATTCTAAAAATTAGCATAGTGGATCTTGTCTATGTTCCGCGTATTGAGATGCCAAGAAGGTTTACGCGGAAAGGAACGGTTGCGATTGGCTACGGACTCTAGGTCGATCCGCAACAAGGCTTGGCTGAGAATTGAAGCTGTTCGTCTTGTCATGTAGCGGCGCACTATTGTGCTTAGTTCAGAAAGTTGGCTGAGTATTGTGCAAAAAATGCCCGTTCCCGAGATCTAGTTCAAGGCATCTCATTTCATGCAGTCGGTCGTGTGCTGCTATCGCTAGACCGACGCAAGCTAGGAATGAGATCTAGGTATACCGACTTTGCCGGTATTCCGCATGTACACACTTCTGTAGTACATCATACATCGCCTTGTGTGTGATGTCTTTCGCGAATTTCTTTTAATTAACTACCCGACCAAGCTACAACAACGCGCCGTCCAAATAGCTAACCGAGGAATTCGCCATCGCTGAATTATCAGACTTGACTTCCATAAAGGAAGAAATTATTGAAAATAAAAACAGATCAGATAAGTACCATGTTGGTCTGTTAACGGCGCGCTGTTGCAGTTAAGCAAGGGAATCCAGGACACTTGTAAACGGACAGTCCCAGAAAACAGGTCCTCTCGAGTGCATGCATGTTATGTTAATCCTCCACGCAGTCTGCAACAGTATATCTCCCAATATGAGGTTCACGTGTGGCTTCTTAGAAATTCAACCCACCGATAGCTAGCGTGGTACCATCTCATTGACCAGATTCTCATTCTTGCAATAATCCGCCCCTTCTTCGAAGGCCTGATATGCTCTCACCATATATAGATTATACCATCCAGAATGATTACGCCGCATTGATATTGCAGGAAAATTTAGCCGGTCAAGCAGATCTGAGGTCCAGACTTTGAGTGCATAGCGAAAAGGTAACTTGTTCTCGAAATCTCACTCCATGATACGGATGCACATGTCTGAAGTAAGCCACATTCAAGCTTGTCAATACCACTCACAATTTCTACCTAGCGGAATCTATAGACGTGTAAATAAGAGCCACGTTCTTAAACGAAGCCTGCTGCAGAACTCCATCATGTAACTTCTGTCCCTGAATGAATTCGCCCATAAGAGCATTTCAGGCAATCTACGACGGGGGAAGGGGTTTGGACGTGTTGTACTCGAGCTTGCTCCGAACTGTATCTAACAGACTTACCTCGACAACACTGCCGCTTGGCGATATACTAGCAGCCTTGATGTGTCGACCGTGGAAGTACGTTGCGGAACATGTGATTCTTCGGCTACATGCTTGCGCAGTTCGCTACTGAGAGAGAACGAAACGACTGTGCATTCGACCGAAGGCGCCGTCATTTCTTGTCCTGGCTACCAATTCCCCAAGAGCTTCCAGCGTCGAGGGCGGCATCTAGTCGAAGCTCTGGGTTACAAGACCGATAAGACTAGATGAACCAACAGTAAATATCGCGAGTCGTCCGTTATTATCATTGTCCCTGAATATGCGACCATAATACTCCCCTGGTTCCGACAGGGTCACGCGTTCTTGTAGGGCTCGCTGATTCAGATGTCCTCGACTGTCAGCGCAATGACAGTCCGGTATTGAATTTTCATGGACAATTATTCTACGAGGATGTAGATTGAGAAAGGGTCCTATCGAGGGTATTTAACGAGTTTACCGCATACAGAAGAGCGTGCGCTCGGGCCTATCTGTAAGCATGTAATTGTCCATTCATCACCCACTCGTTTGGTTCAGGGATGTTGTGCATCAGGGGAGCCACAGACCGTGAGAGTCTGGGTCAGGGGAGCTGATTACGAGATATACTCCGTACTACTTACATACTTAAGTATTAATTATGAGCAAGGAAAACCATGAAAGGGGAAAAGTGCATGTAAAGTGAGATAGGTAGATCTGTTGTACACTACAGTAGGTACTTAGGTTGCGAGCTCTATTGCTTGCAGGTACCATGCAAATACACATGTAAGTATGTATCTACCTTGATTCATATTCCATAAATACAGAACAACTTACTGTATTTTCTAGGGATACTATTGTCATTTGATATGATTGTTTCTTGCTCATTCGAATCTCAGACCATCCTGTCATGAAGTTTTCTCATATGAGGGGATCTAGAAACCCGAGGAGATTTCTATCGTGTGGCTGTACCTACCTACCCCTTGTCAGTCACATTCAGGCAATGAATGGTGCTGGGAAGCCAAGCCCGTTTTGCCCGTCGCAACATTCATTCTCTGCAGGCTTCCAAGTGAACCGGATATGACTCTACTTAATTAAGTATAAACACACTAACTAGATGGACATACAAGATACCTCGACACTCGCGATGTTCCCGCCTATGTGCCGTGCAGAGCCAGTGTATCAGACCAGTAGATGTAGATAGGTATTCTATTAAGCGCTGTGTCGGGTCATAGGTCGGGACGAAGCGAAACGACTCAGAGACGGGATACGGGGCTGATTAAGCATGTGGTTTCTTATCCTTTCTTATCGGTAGGGTCCCAGCTACTAAAAGCCTATAACCGGGGCACTTATAGGCCTGTTCGGGGGTGCCTATGACCGCTGTAATTGGATGGTTTTGGGTCGGGACCCTGGTCTCGCCTGTGTCAACCTATCCGACCCCTCGAAACCACTTCATTTGCTCATCAATCCACTTCTCCGACCGTTCCTGTTACATCGTCAGTCGATCCGACAACCTCAAGGCCCGCCCCAAACACCCTCTCAGACACCCTCGATTACCTGATTACCCATGCGGAGCGGTGTGTCCCTCACACAAACCCATCCGTCCACTACATCACATACATCACATCATGTGAGACCCCATGAGGGGGCCGTGGTCTCTTCTGCCGTGATGTGATGTGATGCCCTGCTGCCAATGTCTTGCCAAGCGCGCTTCCCAGGCACGCCTCGTCCCACCCTTGTCTCAAGGATAGTGTACTGAAGTACATAGTATCGAGACTCGTGTATCAACCTCACTTGCTACCGTCGCAGATTATCGTGACTGGCCCAACTTTGGTGCCTTGGACACCATGCTACCACGGAAAACGGGGTCGCTGCCACCCCCGGCCCTCGCCAGGGTACAATCGACTGACGGACAATGATAAGACAAGACAAGTACAGTAGAAGCAATTACCTACCCTCCCCTACCCCCCCTTTGCAGGCCTGCGCCTTGACAATTCGCTGCAAAACTGTCTGCTACTTAGGTGAGATCCGTCATGATCATGGTACCAGGGCATGTGACACGATGCCTCCTCCTCAGTACCTAGTATAGCGTACGATGACAAGAGAGGGGGTTTGAAAGGGGGAATGGTCTGGACGGCGTGTCATGTTTCTAGTGTCACTCAAGATGGGCTTCGACCTACCTGGCGAGCTTGGGTGGTTCACAAGTTTCGTTTCTCACGTCTCCATCGAATGATAGCTCGAATCTAATAAACTAACCTTGTTTCCCACTCTTTCTCCTTAGCTCTCTTTCGCTATGACCTTCTCTTCTTCACATTGATCTTCACCCTCTTTGCTTGAAGCCAAGCCGACCTTTCCTTTCTACCTGCCGGCAGGCTTCTCTTCTTTTCTTCTCTTCTTCTCTTACTTGCTCGGGTTCGGTTCTGCGCTCCGCCGCCAGCAGTCGGTCTTTTTCACATTCTATTGCTTCGCCAAGTGGACTTGCTTGCCTTGAGAGCTTGACACAACTAATCGGTGTTGCTCCTTGACGGATTTTTACTCTTCTTCGACCGCGGGACGGATTTACGCATTCAACTACAACAGGATAAAACTTAATTACGAATAGATCAGTGTTATATTTCCAATCCTAAAAAGTATTTCGGTATATCGGGTATCACAGCACCAACATGATGTGGACCACCGCCGCCGTTATGTCCCTGCTTGCCGGGTATGTGTATGGTGCTCCAAGCACTATCGTCGTGAGAGAGGTCGTGGGTTCAAGCCGGGTATCGTTGGAGAGTCGAATGGAGGATGCAGCATATGGAATGTTAGAGAGGAGGCAAAGCAACATGACTACTGGATCCGTCAACATGACACAATGGGACGCCGAGACTGTGGCTGCCTGCACGGATACACTCTCAACTCTCTCTGCTGCTAGCAATCCCTCTGGCATGGCAGTTTGCTACAACTTGGTCCAGTTAGATACGAACCTAGGAGAATTCATGGCCGACTTGCGACTTTTCGAAGTATCGGCGCCGACTGGCAATTGGGAAGGGATCCCTTTGCAGCAGATGTCAGGCGGTATCAGATTCAGTGGAGCCACCGCTTCCGAGATCAATGGACAAAAAGTGTCGGGCCGTAGCATGGGGAATGACGATCTTCCTAAGCGTCAGAACGCGAGTCCTACTCTCCAGCGGACGTATATGATTGTTGGAAAGATTAACCAGGATCAGATGATCCCGCCCATGACAATGTATGGCTGTCCAATTTCTCTTCCTTTAGCCTCCTTCGTCCTTACTAATGTTGCCATCAGACAAAAAATAGAACCATTAATCATGCCAATCTTCACGCTCACAGCCACAGATGCCACAGGCAGAACCATCAGCGCCAACGTCTCTTCCAACGAAGCGGCGTTCGTCAATGGCATTTTCTCCAAGGAAGTCGTCCAATCGCGATTCGGCCAAGCCAGCCTCGCGCAACAGAAGATCACACAGGAAATGGAGGCTGGCAGCGTTCCCTTCGTCCTGCCTGGCGTCAACATCCTGATTTTCCCAATCGGCTTGGTAGTATCGGGTGTCTGGCTCCTGCTAGGAATAGGCGCGTACGGCTACGGCACTTACGAACGGTATAATTACCGCGAGACATATCGCAGGAGGAAGGCCATGTCGGGAGGCAAGGCGTACGCTTCGAGGATATAGTGCGCGATATTATATTTTATCGTATGTGTCAGCATACACACACACATTCTCTCCTGGTTTAAAGCTTCTTTTTTTATACTTCGATGTGAATAATAAATACCCTTTTTTTACGAAAATATAACGAGGATGTAACATTTGCTTTACATAATTCTTTTCGGCAAGTGAGTGTTGCAAACGAGGTCATCACACGGCTATTGATATTTTTTTCTTAGTTAATTGATCCTGTCGTAGAGATAAAATGCAAAGTCCTTATAAGCCTCCCCAGGTTCCGAATCCTAGCGGCTGAACTGGTCCACTCGGGTAGTGTATACTACCTACTGTACTTACGTAGTATGTTGGCGCAGCGTGGTGTGGTGTGGTGTGATGGGAATCCTGCTCGGCACCATCCGATGTAGGAATCCATCCATTCATCCATCCTTTTCCCCCAAATCGCGTGTCGTCGCCGAGTACATGGGACAGCAGACTAGGTAGGTTCCCCGGAGCGCGTGCTGAGACCAAGGATCGGGCTTTGTGCGTTTTAGAGTAAGATGCAGTGTCAAACTTCATGATTTAAGATTTCTACGCGATCTCATGATAATTGTATGGAGATTGTCGTTGATTCAGTGCTTGAAACGCGAAAATGTTCTTATTGTTCCCTTCGTGTTATCTACATAGGCGCCGAGGGATTGGTGCCGCCACTGGCGTGCTTTACATACTGCATGTAACCCGTACCTAATACCTAACGTACCCGTTACTACACTCCCAATTGTCGGGAGGGTGACGCGCAGGGAAAAAAAGGCTGCATCACGGATCTCAATAGTTGCGACGCCAAGATATTCTACATTTGTTGTTCATTTTTCCTGAGCTTAGCGTAGGTATGAGATCCTGATGTTGGTGAGACTCAACCGACTCACCGGCTAGCTAGTCCAAATCAATTCCGTTTCTATCCTCTTTCTCATGTCATTTCCGTAGCTATCCTCTTCTACTTTCTCATTCCTGGCATTACTCAAACGGCGTACAATGCCATCTCACCCTCATATCGTCACCCTGGGCCAGTCCGCAATCCAAAGAGTTCATGCCATTTCGTGAGCATTTTGCCACGTACGTTTCTCTTCCCCTCTGCACTCGCTCCGCCCGTTTCTCACAAGGCTTGTCATGGAGCTCCTTCACCACAATCAGTAACAGCAAGCTGTTGCTAGTGTTCTTCATCATCACGGGCGGGTATTTGCGCTTCAGTTGGTTCATGTAGCGTAGACTTCGTAACAGCGTCCGTCGTGCCCATTCCATCGCCAATGCTGTCGTCACCCAGTCTTCGAGCCGGAAGGTTGCACGGTCTAGCAGGCGCTTCATTCTCAGGATGTGCATAGCATAGATGCCTTCCACGAGGTCGTAGGGGTGTCGAGCTGGTGGTACAGGTGTACGCAGAGGGAAATACGTGTTGATCCGGTCTGCATCTGGGTTTCGGGTCGATCGCAATTCCTTCATCATGTTATTCAGGTCATCGTAAGTATCACCTTTGAAAACCTGATGGGATGCCTCCCACTTCAAAATCCCCTCGTCCGTCCAGTGTGGCTTCATGAGATCATGATATATCATGTCCTCCCGGTCGTCGAGGGAGTCATCATATTTGAAATCGAAGCAGTGGGCCTTGATGCAGGAATTGGTTGTTTCTATCAGGTCTGCCGCTTTTTCACTGACGTATCTTTCGATGAGAGCCTCATTCTCGCGCCTCCACGTGAGCATCTGCGGCGTGCGCTGGGCTTTGCGGACGGGAATGGTCTCGAAATCCGGGATATCCTCTTCGCGATACCATTCATCCTCGTCGTACTCCATTTCTAGGTCTTCGTCGAATTCACTTTCTTCCTCTTCTAATTCATATGTGCCATCACTGTTGTCTTCTTCGGGGAAGGGATGGGCGAGAAAACTTGAAGTAGCAGTGTCATTTCCACTTATGCGGGCTTCTTGAGTCGTAGAAGGCTGTGCCTGGCCTATTTGGTCTGCCTCCATCTTAGGCTCCCCCAAAGCGTGGACGACCGGATCCGGCATGAATTGTCAATGGTAGTGGTGTTATCCTTGCGTTGTCTCCTCGTAAGGTAGTGAAGCGGTCGATGTTCGTTTGGCGGGTTGAATGCTGGTAGGAGAGTTGCGGTGTGCTGTTGTTGGGAAGTTCGCGTTCACCCACCCCTGGTCTTGTGCCTCTGTCCGTTTGCTTCTTCTTTGCCGGCTATATTTTCATCCCACATCTAAACTTTTATCAAGAAATTCGATTGGATAGCTCCCACGTTATGATGATGCATGTTATGACGGTGTAGAATTCGCTACTCAGGCTTGCCACTTCTCCTCTGAAGAAGGCATTCTTCTGATTGTGTTCGAGTCTATGAGCACATATATGTACATATGCAGGTAGGTACTCATGAGGTACACAATGTGCATTTGCAGGTACTTGAATGTACAGATAGGTACGCATGTTTTATTGAGCCAGATACTCACCGATACTCTCTGAGCACTCACAGATAGCAGTTGTGCCTTCCAAGTTGTGGACTTAGGTACATTAGGTAGGTAGGTAGGTACTTACTTCAGAATCACATACCTTTGGAAGGAACTCCCTCCACATAGCATGAGAAAAGTGAAGCTTGAAGATTTCACCTACAATTATTGTTATACGAAATGTTATACAAAAGACAGGTAAATATGGATAGTTGAGCTAGCTTTGAACCATTCACCATTCTCTAACTAGGTACCTAGGTAATGGTATATTTACAGGGATCCACGCCGGCAGTAAAACGGCCGAACGCCCCGCCAATTCCCTTGACATTGTCCATGATCCACCTCGGAATCTAGCAGCGTTCCCTTTCAATTCATTCGATCATCGACGACGATTATTGGAGCATGACATACTTCAAGAATTGACAGTCAAGACAACGCAACCAAGGTGCACGAGAAGCACACACGACTAGAGCATCCCATTTCTGGCACGGGAATCACACTCCTATCAAACTCTAGATACCGCCCTACATGACGAAGCTATCCGACGCCGTCAAGGCCCTCGTCAACGCCGCCCATGCAAAGCCAGGCCACACTCGCGCCGCTGCCCGCGTGAAGCCCGCTCTCGAGCGCTTTGCAAGCGATGCGCAAGAGAAGAGGGTCGGGGTTCTGCCCTGGGTCACGCTCTCGGTATGACAGTCACTTCACCCTTGCATCACCTTGCCTTGCCTTCCATCTTTGCTCACAATCCCGATCCCCGCACAGACAGCCGTCTCGGCAACAATGAACTGTCCCGAGGCAATGACACAAATCTACCACCTCGCCAACGCATCCCCGCACCAACCTAGGCGCACGGCCGTCCAAATCGCCGAATTAATCCGCGAAGTCGGGCTGAAGTGCATCTCGTTCAACGGGATCCCGCGCACCATAAACACGCTCGGCGAGTTCCACGCCAGTCTCCCGTCCGAAGTTACGTCCGCGCTCTCCACGACGCCCACCCGCGAATTTACGCCTTCTAATCTCGAACGCCGCAAACTCGACGGCCTGGTGCTCTGGGACAGCGTGTACTACGGCTTCGAGCGGAAATTGCAAGCCAAGCTCGCCAAGTCGCATCCGGACCTGCCCGTGCATATCCTCGATGCCCATTACGCGCATTTACTCTCGAATCCGCCTATGGAGTGGCCGCTGCCCGTGGGGAGAGTGCTCACGTCGCTTGTGGCTATCGCTTGTTTGCGCGCGCAGACGGGTGTTGGGCCGCAGGTCCTGTCGCATGTGTTTGGGCTGAGGAAGGCGTACGAGCTGGAGGATGCGTATGCTGAGGACGAGAGACATATTGACGGTGGGAAGTGGCTTGCTACTGATGATGGGAATCTGTGGTTGTTGGAGAGCGTGGATAAGTTAATTCATGCGATTGGGGGTGGCGAGGGGACGACTTTTGCCCCTGGGTTTCGGCCCAAGTTGTGATGTTGAGGGGTCCTGGAATAACAAGAGTTTTCGTATGAATGACTTTTGTGTACATATGCCTGTACATATACAACGGGGAATTGCAATATATAATCAAATAGACTGACGACTTGATTCCGTAGTGGTTGAGCCTGTGGTGATGATATGATGTATGATATCTAATTCCAAGATGTAGTAATATGGTATATATACAACATAAAGATCTTCATATTACAATATAACGCCCCAAGTAAGCGAAAAGACGAGCGAAACAAAACACACCACTCTAAATATTAGAAAGTGCCCAAATCCTCCGCAACAGAAAACTCAGCATCCGTCTTCGCCCTCACAGTCTCTACATCCACACCTTCAGCGACCTCCGTCAGCGTGAGCCCGCCCTTGCTCCGATCGACCTGGAACACAGCGAGATCGGTAATGATCGTGCTGACGACGCCCTTGCCCGTCAAAGGCAACTTGCAGTCCTGCACGATCTTGCTGCGGCCGTTCTTGTCGACGTGCTCCGTGGCCACGACGACCTTGGTCTGGTCCGGGTTCGACACGAGGTCCATGGCGCCTCCCATGCCCTTGAACACCTTGCCCGGAATCATGTAGTTGGCGAGATCGCCCGAGGCAGATACCTGGAAGGCGCCCAGGATCGACACGTCGACGTGGCCGCCGCGGATCATGGCGAACGATTCCGCCGAGTCGAATGTTGATGCGCCGGGTATGAGCGTCACTGTCTCCTTGCCTGCGTTGACAAGATCGGGATCCGCCTCCTCTTCCGAGGATGGGTACGGTCCCATGCCCAGGAGGCCGTTCTCCGACTGCAGCCATACGTTTGCGTTCTCTGGCAGATATGACGCCGCGAGCGTCGGGATGCCCACGCCCAGGTTGACGTAATACCCGTCCTTGAGTTCCTTTGCAGCTCTCTTGGCGATGCGTGATCTAGAGTCTTCCGTCTGTTTCTTGGAGCTGCTGTCCGATTTTGGCGCTAGTTTGACCACTTCGGCTGTCTTGGGCGCTGTGGCCGGGACGATCCGGTCAATGAAGATACCTGGTAGATCCACGATGTCCGGGTCGATTGAGCCTACTGGGACGATGTTCTCGGCTTCGACAATGGCCAGACGTGCCGCCTTGGCCATGAGGGGCGCGTAAGTCTTGGTTGTGTATCTGTTTCACATAGGTTGGTGAGCATTAAGTCTCAAAAAAATGAAACCGTAAACAAACCCGCCTTCCTATCTCATTTAAATAAGGGAATTTGATCACTTGTTCACATGTGAGGTGGTGGTATGGTAAGTTTGGGTTACTGACTTGAAAACGCAATTGCCCGCTTCGTCGACCTTCCACGCCCGCAGTATCGCCACATCGCCCGGTAGGGCCGTCTCCATTACATACGACTTGCCGTTGAATATCCTCGTCTCACGCGGTCGCCCCTTTTCTAACACGGCCTCGGGCGTGAACCGCATGGGTATCTCACCCGTTTCTATGAATGTTTCTGTACTCATTCACTCATCATTAGCTGATCAGGCTTTTTTTTTTACCCCACTATGCGACCCCAAGTTCCCAAGATGAAAAAGAAGGAGAAGAGAGAGAATACAAGACAGAACGTACTTCCACCGGTAGCAGTATAAAACGCAGGAATTCCAGCACCAGCAGCACGTAAGCGCTCGGCGAGTGTGCCCTGCGGACATAACTCGACGGCGATCTTGCCCGTCAGATACTGCTTCTCCAGCGACTTGTTAGATCCCAGATACGAGAGAACGATGCGGTCGAGCTGCCCGTTCTCCGTCAGTAGCGCGAGGCCCTTGGAGCCAGCTCCGGCATTATTGGACACGGCCGTCAACTTCTTGAGGCCCTTTTTGTGAATAGCTTGAATGAGAGTTTCTGTGCCGAGCGTCAGCTAGCTTGTCTGATTGATAGAGAAATAGAGCATATGGGACAAAAATGAAAATTAAAATCAAGGAATAAGTAGGCTCAGAGTTCCCGTACCAGCTACCCCGCATAAGCCAAAGCCAGCACTGAGAATGACCTGACCATCTTGGACGTCGGCGATGGCCTCATCAGCCGAATTAAAGACTTTCGAGGCTCGCTTTGTCGCCGGGCGCTTGTCAATTGAGTAGTAGAGGCGCTGAGATAATAACGGCGATGGTATGGGCTTAGCATGCCGTCGTCGCGTTGTAGGTGCCACCCAGCGGTAGGAGATGCGAACAGGAGCAGCACGCAGGAATACATCGTGCCATTGCGCCATGATGCCGATGTCGCAAATCGCGAAGGAAGGAAGGAAGAAAGAAAGAAAGAAAGAAAGACAAAAGAATAAAATTAAATAAAAAGAAGGTAAATGTATCACGGTGAGTACGCCTCTGAAGGGCCGCGTTCGCAACCTCTGGCTCTCTATATGCGCCGACAACCTGAGACTTACAGCTAACCTACCTACGTCACGACATGCCCGTCGTTAGAAAGTGCCTAGAACGGCCTAGCTTAGAGGGAGGCGGGGGTAAATCAACCGCCGAGCTATTAAGAGTCCACTAAGTAGGTAGGTAAGTTACAGTGCATTAGGTAAGTGTGCAGTAAGTTATGTGTGGAATGGAAGAAGTACATCACATATTCCCTTTCTCTCAATGCATTCAAGTAAATAAACCCAATTTTTAGAGTGCTTAATAGTATGCAGTACAACGCTCATATTCTAAATTTCTACGATAAATCAATCGGGTGGTGGTTTCGAGTAAGTATATCATTGTATCTAGCTTCGCTTGGTTATTCCGTTGTCGCTCATGCTCTTCAGGCCAAATACGTGGTAGAACACGAGCACATACTTATTAATTTATACGTAAAAGAATAAAAATTAAAAATAAAATAAAATAAAGTGACCTGGGTCAGTAACACAGTAGAAAAAGCCCGGCTGGTCTTCCAATAATCTCAAGAATTCATAGGTATAATGATAATGATAATGCTTTACCTCTTCCCAAAGCTTTACCTTATCAATTACCCGAACACAACACAGAAAAAGCAAAACACACGAAGTTGGAAAAACAGTACACATATATCAATAGATGCCTATGCCAGTGCAATAAAATGACAAATGCCGCCGTCCAAACCATCCCATCCGACAACACCATCCAAACACCACCTAGGTATTTATTTCTAGCAGAGACGGGCCGTGCAAATGGTACAAAAAAATAAATCTGCATATCTAGGCGGTACCAATAACAACAAAACCTAGACAGATAGACAAGAACAAAGAGGGGGAGGAGAAACGCCAGATGCAAATTGAATCATGGTCATTCATTCATTCACGCCATTGTGTCAATGCCCCCGAGGAATCTCCTGACCCGGCCAAAATCGAGTTCGCCCTTTTCGCTCTCGACGGCCCGTACGAGGTTGTCCAGGGCCGTGTCCACTTCATTCTCCGGTGTTCCCGTGCACAAGGTCACGAGCCTGCGGTACTTGATTTCAATGTCTTTGCTACGGCTCTTGAGTGACGCCACGCCAGTTCTCGTCAGCTCGGTGCGGTTCTTGAGCGCCTGTATCCGAGCCCGCAGGACCGTGGCGCTAGGTATCGACCCATCATCCCTCCGTTCTCCGTTACTGCCGAGCTCGGGGAGGGATTGGAGCCCAGCCTCCCAAGATAGGCTGCTCTCGTCGAGTGGCCCTTGGTTTTGCTCGATCTTGGCAAGACGTTTCTGTTCTTCCTCCCGGCCTCGTGTCAGGTTGAACACCTTTTGCCGAGTGTAGGATTGCGATTTGGCCGCCGCCTGTAATGACTCGAGGGTTCTTCGAGCATCGTGGAGTTGTGTAGATGTGGACCGTAATGTAGCGTGCAGCGAGTCGAGATCCGTTTGTTTCTTTTTGACTTCTGCTTGGAAACCATTCGATGTTTCATTGAGGAGATGCGTGATGGCTGGTCAAGGTCAGTACAAGTCCTATCAAAGAAATCACATGATACCTACAAGTAATGATATCGTCGCTGCTCTCGCGGCTCATGTTGCCGCTTCCAACGGCTTTAGTGACGCTACCATCTGCTACATCGCCATTTAAGCCATTAATTCCGTTTGTGCCACTTATGCCGTTTGTGCCGTTATCAACACCCTCACTACCTACTCCAAAGTCAGATGGTCGTAATCCGGCTGCATTAGCAATACTTGGATCTGCTCCAACTTCGAGCAACTGTGATATAATGCTTCTATTGCCCACGCGGGAGGCGATACCGAGGGCCGTGTCGCCTGACTTATCTTGTGCATTGACAATCTCGCTCATGAATCGGCCTATGCTCATTTTTGGCGCGGCACCGTTCGCTACTGTAGTCTGACTACTAGGAGCACTCCCATGCCTCACCACCCATTCAAGAAGGCTCTCCAGATAGTATCTGCTAGAGTGGCTACGGCCTTTAACGGCGCTGGACAAGGCGATGTGATGCACGACAGTGCGTCCCCGCTTGTCTCGGATATCAATGGTGTTGCCCAAGACGTCAAGCAGCTCAGGAAATGATACTTGTTCTGAGTTGTTGGTGACCGCCGAAGCTCGCATCAAGGCTGTTTCGCCAGAAGCGTTTACCCTGGAGGGATTTGCACCCGCTGAAATCAGAGCGCGTAGTAGTGGCATGCGAGCTAACGTTGCGGCCCAATGTAAGGCAGTGTTGCTGGAGGCGTCAATAGGCGAATCAAGATCAACAGCGCTTAATGACTGAAGAGCCTCCATTGGTACGTAGTCTACGTCATTTGTCCCTTTATCCATGAATAAGCTCATGAGTAAACTACGCTTGCGCTCAGCCTCTGGGGAGAGGTCAAAAGGTAAAGGAGGGAGAAAATTTGCGTCCGGATCATGAGTATTTATGCCGGCCTGGACGTATACAAATGATTCGTTTGGCTCTGTGGGTGATCCTGGATAATCGTTGGCGTACATCTCCATGGATTGCGAAGCATATCCAAAGCTTTCGGAAGGTGTAGCAATGCGCTGGCGTTTACGTGGTGGTTCATCTCCCGTTATTATCTGCGTAGGTTGCGTGGAGTATACCGGGTCCATGCTTTGCCCGTAGTCGGAAGCAAAGCTCTGCTGTGAGTTGGCTGGGAAATCGTCCACATTCTGCGATGAGGGCTGGCGACTAAAGCTCGGCGGCCTCGTCAGCCCGGCCGGTCCATTACGACTCCTCGGACCAGGCGAATCAAACCGGGCCTTGCTGATAGCAGCGACCGCGTTGGACGCCGTACTTGATATATTCTTGAAAAAAGTACCCGACAGACCGTTCGAGCGCCCATCATTGCCAGCACTGTACATGCGTTTCCTCTGAGCGGCCATAGCCTGCTCTTTTGTAGGGGTGTTTAGGTCGCCACGACCGGCAATGCCACCATCTTGTCCCATATCGTAGGTTAGGAGTGGACGTAATAGCTCCTCAACATGATATTGTTTGCACACTTCCACGCCCCGCTCGAAGCAAATCCATGTGCCTTGGTATTTTCCGTAACCCCCCTGAACTTTTTCGTGTTCGCCCGTCTGAATCTCTTTTTCCAGGATCTTGGTACGTTTTCCCTTATCTATCCGGGCAACCTTTAGTATTTGTGTCGCATTAAGCCAACTGTCATTGCGACGGCGCATAACGGCCACGTTATTGACCTCCATTTCGTAAACATCGACACCGGAATATACGGCCTAACGAACAGGGGTTAATGCGCTGACGGAGTAATAAGGCAGATGAAAAAGGGCATGGGACTGACCGAGTATATAATGCGTGGTTGCTCCCGCGGGTTGCCCCTAGGGTGATCAGGCAGTTGATGCCGAGAAAATTGGGATTGTGACTGGGGTTGACTCATGGTGAAAGATTGCTGAGAAGAGGGTTGCGACTGTGATTGAGACATGGCGAGGTCTCTGCCGGCAGCATCGAAGCTGCTACTCCGACCAGCAGTGATATGGTTGGGTGGAGGTATCGAGGAGAAGGATCGCTGGAGGGTACCAGAGGCGGGTAGATGAGATGAGGACGAAGGCCCTATGGCAGTCCCTGTGGTAGTTATCGGGTTATGGTTTGCAGTTTGCTGCTGACGGGCTGTAACAATGGTCGACGCCATACATGGACGTCAATGTCGCCGGAGAAATCGCTCAATGGGGCGGAGAGAAGGCGAGGGCAACAATGGTAAGGGGGTGGTTGTACGAGTTGTTATTAGAGTCGGGTGCGACGGCGACTGTGGTTACGCCCGGAGCAACATCCGCGAGAATAGTATGACACTCTGTAGTCGAAGATTGTGATAGGAGCAGTAGATCTCGCCGTCGTCTCTACTACTTGGTGTTGCTTGTAAAGAGCTGGCGTATCCGACTAGATCAGGTCTAAGAGGAAGACGAGGCGAGGGAGGCGCACAAGACAGAGAGGCTGTCGAGTCGAAACAGAAGAATCGGTAATTGGCTCGAGCGAGTGAGACGGAGAGACAGACAGACAGACAATTAGAGGCGCAGTAGGACAGGCAGCGCATGCACATCTACGGATAGAATACTAGCCAAAAGCATGAAGTTAGGATGAAGACCCAGGCAAATAGTGTCGGCAGGCAAAGAAACTAGGGTATGGGAAGCCACGAAGGTACTTACCTATCTAGGGTATTTGTGGAAGACGACCTGGCTCGCTTGTACCAAGATGGGGGAATAGACTGTGGTGGATTGCGACAAGTCGGAGAACAGCCAAGGTGGATGACAATTGGGGCTGAAATGAAGAAGAGACAGATAAAAGAGATAAGAGTTACACCTGGACTTAGAGTATGGGCAAGTGTAAGGATAAGGGAGAGGGTGAGAGTGAGGTGAGCTAAGGTGAGCCAAGGTTAGCACATGGCAAAGAGGCAGCGCACTCGTGTGGAATGATAGCAGCCCCTAGACGATGTAATGCCTAGGTAGGTAGATAGATAGATAGATCTACGGAAGTGCGAAGAGGGCCGACCAAAAATAGATATGTCCAACATGAAAATACGTGGGTATGTAGAGTAGCAGTAGCAGAGAGAAAGGGAAAGCTCAGATGACAAGGAGATGAGATGATGTACAAAGGTGGAAGGATTAACCTCGAGCTTCTAGCAAGTAAGTATCTACCGTACCTAATCTGTAGTCTGTAGTCTGTAGGTAACCAAGCAAGCAAGCACTTTGCTTCATACACACAGGCTTGTGTGGTCGTCGGCAGTCTTGGAGGAGCCAGTCTTTTCGCAATCTTGGCACGGTCGATTCAATTAAAGAGCGAGGATTGGGAATAGTGTAGGCCAGGGCATGGACGTGTCACTTTCGTGTGTTTCGTGTGGGCGGCGCGTTCAGAGCGTGGAGGGGACGCGTTGAGCTTCACGGACTCGGTCACGGACCTGGTCAGACCTGGTCTTTGGGGGCCCTTTTCTTGTGTCGGTCCTGGTCTGGAGTTGGTCGCGGGCACGGGGCAGATACGGGAGATGATTGACTGATCAGCTCTGATCAGAGGTAGGGATTCCCAGCAACGGAGCAGACGGTGGTGCAAGGGCAATGGCATTACATCGGCTAACCTAAAGGGATAAAGTCCCTGGCTGGAAAAAGACGCGACAGCCCCCAAAAAGAGAGAACCCGTGGAGCGTCGAGGGTTGCTGCAAGCGAGCGTTGCGTGCGTGGGCGCGTGGATTGTGGAGGACGTGGGCGCGTAAGTAGATTCTGCAAGATTAATTGGCTGCTACCTACCTAGGCAAGTATGTAAGTACCGAGGCGCATATTTCTACCGAGTAAGCTGCCCGATCTAGCCTAGCTTGATGATCTTCTGGGTTAGATCATGGGAAAAGAATGGTCCATGCTTTTTACTATGTACCTAGGTACATTCAACGACTACGACTGAGACTGAGACGAGATACATCGTGAAAAATGTGCCTCGATCTCGGACGCACGGAGCTCTACATCTCGGCCTTCACGAGCAATGCCGCTTCAAATTCCCCATCCCAAGACCCCTCTTCACCTCTACCGGCATCTTCTCCGCGAGTCCACCTATCTCCCGGCTCTATGCCGGCCCTGGGTCGCCTGGCGCATCCAACAGAGATTCCGTGACTGTCGTGATAAGCAACCTGCGACCACCAGTATCAATAAGGCCCATACCTCGCTCCGTTATCTGCGCTCCGCCAATGCTGGCAATATCCACCGCATCGAGCGCCTCTGCTTCATGGCCACCGGCCGAGTTGGCAAGCGCCGCCGTATCCTCACCTCTTCCCAGCTCGCCCGGGCCCCTCCTACCGATACCACCGCGCTAGAGCAATCCCGTGTCCAAAATGTCGTCACCTCTTCCCCGTCCAATGGCGCACCCGGTGTCACCAGTGCTTCCGCTACGCCTACCAGCCACGATTGGCTTGAGAATTGGTCAATCGACATGATCGAGGCCCTCGCTCGGTCCCAAGTTTCCCAGCAAGCCCGCGACTGGCCCCAAAACATGCGTCGCGCCCTCGATACCAGGCACATCACGACCGGTACCAATTGCTTCGGCCAACCCTACGGCCGTAAACTGGTTCGGAACAAGCTGAAGAAACACTGGGCCAGCGTCCTTAAGCAAATCTTACCTCCGCTACCTCGCGGTGAATGGGATCACCTGGCTGCCCTAGTCCAAGCTCAGCCGAGCACCGACGAGCTGAAAATACCCTCGAGGAGGCCCGTCGCACGGCCCGTTCAAGGCCATAGTCTTGCCTCTATGAGTGAGCCTTGGGATTGGACCCAACACGTCCTCAAACCAGCACGTGTTATAGAGAGGGGAAGCAGCCGCAAGCAGAAGTCTCTCACTGGTAAGGAGGACCAGGACCCTCGCGGCCATGGCAACCCCATAGGTGTTCGAGTCATTAGTCCCCGGGTGCTCCAGCGCCTATACGCCCGTATCTGGAATATGTCGCCCCTCATGGAAAAGAAACCCGGAATGCAGAAGTGGTCTGTGTCTTGGGGGAAGGAGGAGGATAGAATCTCAGCACCATCGCCTAGAGATCTCTTTTTCTTTGAAGGTGTCGCAAATGACGGAAGCCTACTGAACGGGGGGAAACAGTCATCGACAAGTAAACAACATCGAGAAGTTAAGGGCGGCTAAAGATATCTATGCTACTGCTGTCGTACATGATCTTAACGTCAACCCCCTCCCCCCCTTCCCCCTCGATTGAACACTGCCGAGGTTTATACTGGGTAATCTATGGCTTGTCCTGACTGTCTGTATCGTGTACAAAATGTTTCGTTCACATCAGCCTAGTCCAACAGGGAAGCCAGTTTGGTCAGGCCTTCACGGTCAACACGCATACCAACCCACTCGTTCATGGCTGTGGCACCGATAGACTCGTAGAATTTGATGCTCGGCTCATTCCACTTCAGCACACTCCAGTCCAGCCGCCCACCACCCATGGCAACAACTTCCTTGGCCAGCTCCACGAGCAGCCTCTTGCCATACCCCTTCTTTCTTTCCGTTGAGCGTACAAACAAGTCCTCAACTGGCCGATCTAGGTGTTAGCATTCGTCCTTTTGAAAGAGGACATCCAGGTAGCTCACGGTAAATACCGGCCTTGGCGCGCCAAGTGCTGTAGTTGTAGAAGTACAAGGCCATGCCCGAGGGCTCGTCCTTCTCGTTAAAGAGTATGAGGCAGCGTGAGGGCCGCGTGGGCGTTATAGGCTCCGTGTTGGGCGCGGCTGTGGAAGACTCAACACCATCAGGCGCAAATGCTATTGTGGCATCTAGCGAGGCCTCGGTGGCCTCGACAGCATCCAACTCATGTTCATAGTCGGCCAACTCGCGAATCATCTGCAAGATGGATGGTATATCTGGGGCCAAGGCAGTGGTATCAATATCTGTCACGCAGATGGAGTCCCGATCGGGGGCGTGCGAATACCTTCCCGGCGCGCGTGCCGAACATGACAATTAGCATGCGCCATCGTATAATAGTGTGTCTAGTATGAGCGCGTAGGTACAGTATGGTGTAGGCTAGATTAATACCGAAGACGTGGCCTGAGATGTTCAAAGCCTTGCTAGAGAGCAGTATGAATGGGGAGGTGAGTAAGTGACAAAGTACAGCACTGGCTCAATTATATTCGAGCTCTCTACGCCCTTCTCTCGACTTGCGGGACGGAAGGGGATAGATTCTTCGGGCGCCGCACGAGTCGGTCGACCGACTCCGCCGTTACCGGATTCCACCCCACCAGAGGCGGGTCTGCATTGACCGAGGTAACCACTCACCGATGTTAAATCACAAAATACTGTAGTTTATTTCAAACTGGAATATAGATGAAGGAAGAAGGGGAAAAGAAAGAAAGAAAGAAAAGCAGAACCGAAAATAGGCCTGATGCCTTCCAATTTCCCAGCTATATTGAGTTTCGATTCTATCAGTTTTGAATGAGACGCTGGTTTTATCATTCATTATTCATATACATTCATCACCTGTAATTAAACGACCGCCTGTGCCATCAAGATCCATCTCACCATTTCTACCTACCTGCCTACCTACCTGATTACGCTTGAAGCCACATCCCAACATCATCTTCCAAATCGCGAAATGGCCTCGCAGGCGGCACCTTTCTCAGCGTAACAGCTACATGGCCATCGCCCGTGGTATTCCACTGCAAGGACCACACCTTCTCATACCGCGTCGGCACCGCATACCACAGACTACGCAGATTATTATCCCCGCTGCTCGCGTGCAGCATCGTTGCGCCGTAGAATATGAATCCAGACGTGTCCATGTCTGTGTCAGGCTCTAGCGTGAAGCCGACGTCGTGCGATGGGGATCGCGCGGCCGGGATGTAGAATGCTTTGTTCGACCATGACGGGGGAGAGGATCCTCCCTCCGGATTGGCGATTAATTCGTTATTGGGACCCCATTTGTTGACTGTGCATTCGCGCATGAGATAAGATTGACCATCTACATGGAAGAGCAACCTAAAGCTGGGCAGAAGGCTCGGACTTACACAAGACACTAGCGGCTTCTTCGTCATCTATTTGCGTCTGGTTGCCGATGAAAGCCAGCTCTGTGGAAATATCGATCAGTCATTCGACCTGTTGCCTTAGCTGGAGTACACGGTAGATAGATATTCCCGTTTTGGGCTAACCGTTGGAATAGAAGACCCGGGCGCCGCTGATCCCGGGCCCGTAAGCGTAGAGCCCGAAGGGGTCGATGGGCGTGGCGGCGCCTACGAGTACTCTCGTTGCCTGCAGTAGAATGCATGAGAGCAGGCGCCACATCTGATGGCTGAACATTCTGATAAGTATTGCCTGAGATATTCGATGATGATGATATGTTTGTTCAGTGCAAGATGGAAGAGGGAGAATAGTGTCTGCCAGGTATACAGCTTGTGTGGTGATCGTAAGAAGCGCGATAGTCTCTGAAGCTCCATAGCCTCGTCGCCGTCGAAGTTCTACGGATGAGCAGAAGATGACATGTAACTTAGTCAGGAACCGATCTTGTAAGTACTTTGTTATGGGGGGTGGCTGGATCGCAACCCCACACAGCTCGAAGGGGTTGTCGAACAAGGGTGCTCAGCTGTAGCAGCGCGTAGCCACCCCCAATAAGTAGCCCGCACACGGAGGAGGCAATACAACCTCAAACCTTCTCAAGGGCGTCGCTATCTCTTAACTGCTGGGGGCCCATTCGCGCAAACAAGTTCGATGTCTGGCGTTAACATTGTTACGGGGCGTGCATATCCTGGAAGCAAGTAGATTTTATTCTACTCGCCCAAGCACGCTGTGTTCAGCTTCATGCTAAGACCGTTGAAAAAAAGAACTATTTGTGTATGCTAGTACGATTAGCCTTGATGAACTTCTTGTGATATTGGGTAACGCCCTATGATAGTTTAATTGCTCGCTATTGTGAGTTTATTTGATCAGTTTACTAGCAAGTGCTGTAGAGAAGTTGAGTGTTAGTTTCGAGTAACTATAAATACTGTTTTATATTATCAGCAGATACCGTTCCTTCTCAGTTCCTCAGCAATTCCTCTTGCTCAGTACGATTAGATAGCCGTCATTTGCTGAAGCTTCTCGGGCGTGCCTTAAACTGCCTAGAGATCAGAAATATAACTATGCAGTTGGCATAAGACTGGTGTTAAGATCAAGAGTAAAACAACAGTCTTCGTCATGCATTGTCACTACCTGTCTGCTGTAAGCGTCCAATCCGGATCGATTTTCAGAACAGTTTTATCAGAGCTTGGGTCGACACATGGCATTAGTCATGTTAGCTGTACAATGAGCTCTTATAGCTGCCAGTCAGACCAGTGTTCATGTCCTCCGAGGTCCGCCGGCATGTCTTACCTTAGCGAGGGCCGAATACCGGTAGCTTCAAATTCGATGAGTTCGTGGTTCTCTGAGACTGGGTCTCATTGGGCTTTGAATACTACATGTTAAACGCATACAACATGTGCATGTGTAACGGTGTTTCCTTTGTTGAACCAAAAGTTTCATTAAGTTATGACATTTACTTGTATATCCATTTACGTTTATAAGATAAACAGTATGACTATCATGCTACCTGAACCTAGATCTCAAGAAACATTACGCGACGGGAATATCGTTGGCGGTATAAAAAATCAGTTATACCAAAGAGTTTGACCTAAAACCAGTGTGTAATTGATACCTATTCAAAGTCGCATATGGAGCCAATGCCAATGCTCGTATTGTAAATCTCATGCACATCTTTTTGTAATTCCTTCAGCTCGGGCTACTGGAGCTTGTGATACAGTGTATTGTTGATCGATTCGACGCCATATGCATTGCATCAAGGGATACATAAATTCAAATTATGAAAAGGGTTTAGTAGCTGCCAGTAGTTAAGCTTCGAGATTTGTTAAAATACTCAACATGAAAGCTATGAACGTCGGTAAGAACACATCTCAGTACTTTTAAGAGTGTCTGCATCCACGATAGCCGATTGCAAATCAAAATACGTCCGAGTGCTAAACGGAGCATATGTCGAAGCTGTAAACTAAGGGAGGTCATATTTTTAAGAATTCCTTACACCCGAACCAATCTGATTTTACTCATTCAGAGCCTAGCAACTCAGCGCATGCTGCCGAGCATTACAAAATTCATTTTCGGAGACGCTCGCAGACGATTTCCCCGTCATTCACTGCGGTAGATGCTTTCGCCAAGGAGTTTGTCGCACGTGCCTCTAGTCGGATGGCAATCTAGAGCCGCCACAATATCATAGGCATTAGTGCTTCCACCGTGCGAGATTCTAGAAGTTCTCAGCAGTCGTATGCGACGGCAGAAAGAACATCTTCATCACGCCTCGATGATGGACGGGTCGTCAGCGTACGGCTAATCCCTTGCAGCTCTGCCCATCACATCAAATGCTGGAATGCAGGTCTCGGTGACTTCTCGGACCGTCTCACAACACTATTCAATTCTCTCCCATATGAGACAGGGACTATTTCTTTTAGATTGTAGATGTATTGGCTATGGCTGACTTGGCCAGTCGGCGGGCGTCATTCGTACGACAGTCCTAAAATCATATCGTTACACAGCTTTATCATGACCACATGTCCCGTAGTTCAGGTAGCATCATGCTGTGTAGCCTTGCTCACAACAGCAACCCCCCTCCCCCGCATAACGATCTGACATACAGGGCCAGTGATAGTCTTGAAACAAGCTCAAGCTAATCATGACGCATAACATAAGTTGAGACACAGCAAGCACAGAGATACCAGTAGAATGGATAACAAAGCTACAGCTGAGACCTGCATGCATATTCTACAGCGTATTCTACGTAGTTAAGTCACATAGCGAAAGCAAGTGTGCATCGCAATCTAAATGTCGTGCTTACATCGCTGTCAAGGCGTGCTCTGGCCGGGCCCAATCACAAGCCGGATGAACCAATGCGATTTCCACGATCAGTTGTGGCGCTATGGAGTCCTCTTCAACTCGGAAAGGCAGCCGATCTTGCGACGCCATCGTGCCGGCAACCCACACAAAAGAAAGTCAAGCCCGCTTAATTGCGGACTATAAAGATTGAATGAGATATGTGATTTATTTGTGTCGGTGTTTCATCAACAATATTTACGTCTGCTGCTTACTCGGTTTCAGACGTAGAGTAATTACTTTTGGTTTTCGAGTGCGGATTGCTTTGTGAGAATTATTGTCATGATGGGGGAGATAGAGAGCGAGAAAGATCAGGCGGGGGTCGTCTCCCGGAGTCCTGATGATGCCTCGGTTTCACGGGAGTCGATTGGCCCTGCCATCAATGAGAGATCTCTGCTGCGAAAGATAGATGGCCATTTACTGCCTCCGGTTGCGTGAGTATTTCTCATTCAAATTCGCTGGTTGAATTGTTTTCGAGCGGGATCTTCATATGATATATACATTGATACTGATACCCTGGATCTTGCAGTATACTATACCTTCTCAGTTTCCTAGACCGCAGCAACGGTAAGATGAAGATCAACACTAAAAACAACTTGCTTGTGCGCAAACGACTAATCTGGTCAACCTTTTGCTTCAGTGGGAAATGCTAGAATTGAAGGTCTCCTTGACGATTTGAAAATGAGTAATTAATCCCATCGATGACCGCGAGATGCTTTGAGATCGGCTTTTCTGACGACGATACGTATAGGCGGGGATCACTATCTTATAGGACTCAGTCTCTATTTTGTCGGATATACTTTATTTGAGGTAAAGCAAAACTTTTCTGTCTCCGTCTTCTCATTGAAGTCAACTAGCTAGCTAAGTATTTAGCGCGAACCAAAAGGCTTACGGAGAATAGGTTCCATGCAACGTCGTCTTGAAGCGGACGAGTCCTAGAGTTTGGCTGCCAACTCTGACTATTGCATGGGTAGGTACTCCTGAATTCCTCTATACACATATGCTCACCTAACGGCCTTTCATAATTAACTTTCCTTCTTAACTCACAGGGCGTAGTCTCTACGCTGATGGGCATAGTGCATAACGAGGCGGGCTTTCTAGCAGCTAGATTCTTCCTCGGCGTAGCAGAGTCAGGCTTGTTCCCCGGTGTGACGTACTACTTCTCTATGTGGTACAAGAGAAAAGAGCGGCAGTACCGTGTAGCTCTTTTCTTCAGCGCGGCGTCACTGGCCGGTGCTTTTGGCGGCGCCCTTGCCTATGTGAGATTCTCCTTGCACTGCTCCCCCGATTTAGGCGTCCTGTGACTGATAATTTCTCAGGGAATTGGAAGACTGAAGGGTACGGTGTGGGAGAATGGATGGCATTGGATCTTCATACTTGTGCGTTTGATCCTTTCTATTTCTGAGACCCCTGGATTGGCAGCTTGACTAACGGCCGTGAGCAGGAGGGTATAGCGACGGTGGTCGTCGCCGCGATAGGATATATCTTTATACACAACTATCCACATACAAGTAAATTCCTCACGGACGACGAACGGAAATTCGTGCACCAGCGGCTCGCTTCGGACTGCGACGCAACGCACCAGGAAGCTTTCAGCTGGGACGGTGTAAAAGAGGCTCTTAAGGATCCCAAGTGCTGGCTTTATGGACTGGGATTTCACACGATGAGTCTCCCGCTATACACGCTGTCTTTATTCCTGGTACGTTTGAGTCGCGAGACGTAACATCTTACAGCTTCTTGACTACCCGTAGCTAATGAGTTATGAAACATTCTAGCCAACTATTATTAAAGATCTGGGTTACAAAGCTGCAACCGCACAACTGCTTACTGTGCCCCCATATGCCTTTGCGTTTAGCACGACGATTGCGGTCGCCGTGCTGTCGGAACGCTTGGGCAAGCGGGCTGTGTTCATTGGGAGCTCGGCTGTTTTCGCCGCCATCGGATATGCCATCTTGCTCGGTAATACTGATCCTGTCGCTCGACCCGGCCTGAGCTACGCCGCCGTATTCTTCGCTGCAGGTGGTATCTATCCCGCGACGGCGCTCGTTCTGTCGTGGCCTACCATTAACGTATCGGGCCAGACGAAGCGTGCGACTTCTACCGCCATGCAGATCAGCATCGGCAACCTCGGCGCCGTGTTAGGGACTCAGCTGTACCGGTCTCACGACGGGCCGCGATTCATCGTGGGACACTCGTTCGCGCTCGGCTACCTGCTCGCAAATACCATCGTCGTGACAAGTCTCGCCTTGCTCTTGAAGAAGGAAAATGAGCGACGTGCATCGGTAGCAGAGGAGGTGAAAGAAGTCGGGGAAATCCCGGACTGGAAGGGCGATTCTGATCCTAGATGGAGATTCGAGTACTAATAGGGTTAATGTCTGACCGACATTCCCACAGTACCTCGTCTGGGACAGTTCGGGCAATACAAAGTCTTGCGCAAGTCCCATTTTTGGGCTAAATAGATGTAGATGATACATATTACTCTTCTGCATATCGCAGCCCTCCATTTACATAGACGCTAATCCGAACAAAACCTATCATACAAAGGTCACCGTGTCTCTAGGTGGGTGAACGCCAGATCCTATCCAGTACATACATACTTACAAATATATGCCCTTTCGTAAGAGAGAACAAGAGGGATAGAAAAGAAAGACTCTTGCACCTCACTTTAAATCCAACCCAATCAGCCGTCTAATAGCGGAATTCTCATATATAGGCAACTCGCCAATCATGGCGATATCCTGAGCAGGACCAACCGCATGCTTACCCATAGCCATCTCAGTAAGGAACCGGCCAAGCGGCTGCGTAGGGCTGTGAAGACTGGGCAGTCCGACCTGGACAGGCTTGAGTAGGACAGGAGCGAGCATGCGGTACGCGAGCGGTCGCGTGGGAATATACGGCTGTATCGCCTCATGGGCGCTCGCATCGACCACGGCCGGGCGGGCGGAGCTGGTGTGTAGAAAGGGGTGTTTCTTGCGTAGTTCGGCGAGCGCGATCTCCGTCTCGCCCTTGACGCGGGCGAATATGGCTGAGAAACGGCCGGGCTCTTGTGTTGCGCCGTGGCCGGAGACGTAGACGAAGTTGAAGGGCTCGTTCTCGCGGGCCAGGTCTGAGAAGGCTTCGCCTGCGGCTAGTGCGTAGTCTTTGGTGATTTTGACGTAGTCCCTAGATACACGTATGAGTAATTGTATATTGCGGTATTCTAGGCGAATGAATGATTGATTATGACTCACTCTTTGCTGACTTGGGTTTGACTGATGCCCACTAAATAGTCAATAATTAGTTAGCGAGTGTATCACTCCTGTCTCCTACTTCCTACACCCTGCGTGAAGACCTCGCCTGGATCTGGGAATGCATCATTAAACTGGAGAGGGAGGCTAGTGAACGGTGAAATGAGGGTTGGCTTACATGCCCAGACACAACCTCGTGCGCCCCTGAGTTGATCAAGAATACTCTTGTCGTATTTGGCGAAGTCGTTGTGAATAATGACATTGATTCGAGGGTCTTTAGCATCCTCTGCCATTGGTACAGGCCGTCGACTCAGGATTGAGATTTTTGTGACGTCTTTCATCTTGATCATGGCATCTAAGACGCCAGATCCTACAAGACCCTAATAATATGTTAGGTTTACTTCGAAAAAGTCGGAGTGGAGGTACGATATGAAATGTTGGAACCTACCGTTGCCCCTGTGAGGATCAAATGCATTTTGCTCGTGTTTCAGTAAGATTTTTTTTGTTATGGTATGAGGAGTATGAAGGATATTAACAGATTGGAAGCTAATCTACTCTGGAAACGAATCTTATATGGAATGATTGCTGGATTTAAACAACCACTTCGAGGGTATTCGACATGGTCAACGCCAATGGCTTATATAGATAGCTTATATAAGTAGAAATAGAAGGCTTATGTCAGGCGCGGCTTATATGGAATCGCTTAACTCCGTACGCTGCCTGTGGCATTGCTTACCGATTTGGGTTTCGCGCGGGACCCTATCTCCGTCTGGTCCGTCTGATTGCATGAACGGCTGATGATAGAAGAACACGTTAGACTTCTTCTGCCTGCCGTACTCTGGAATGAATCCAATAGGAGCGAACTTGTCATCCCGGGTAGACTGTAGGCTATTCAAGTTACCGTCTCTATGACTACTGTGTGTAGAAGCATACATTAAAATGAACGGAATGGGTTGGGAATAAGAGAAATGCTGATCATGTGTAAGTATGCACATGTAGGTCATGGACCACGCACGCATTAGTGGCTTGGTATTGTGGTGCAAATCTGCCCAAATCGTTCCCAGTATTTTGAACCATATCGAAAGGACTCAATGTAAGAGCATACCTACAGCATACAGAGACAGGGAGACGAGGACCTGCTTGACTTTTACATGGACATAGGTAGAGGCTTGAACCCGTGTTTTGGGGACGCATCTATTCATGCCTTTCAAGCCTTTCGGGTCAGGTATTCTGACAACCAATACCTAACCAACCACACCTAATAGAAGACTATGTGAGTAATGTTATCATACTAAAAATATAGGTGAAAGAGCAAAAGACATATGATGTATAAAGTAGATAGATTCTTAGAGGCCTACGTGTGCCTTCATGTTATAATGTTGGTCTATTGGTTTCGCTGTGTCAAAGGCCGTCTTCGTGTGAAGTGGCGACGTTTAAATAAAAGTCTGTAGGCGCCTATTTAACCTGCAGGCCTGCTGTAGAGTACCTAGAGGTATGGCCTGCGGAATACCTACCTGGGCACAAAATAGTGACAGTATATAGTGCCCTTAGTGGTCTGAAGTGGGGCTGCGGGACAAAGAAGCAGTACTATCATCTATACAGCCCACTCCAAGTTCCGACCACGATGCATATACATCCGGGCATGGATGGATAAGTATTGACCTAAGATACCCGGTAGAAACAACCATCTCACTGAGAACGTGAGCGATACGCAAGGCGCTGTCTCAGCCACCGCTCCCTTCTCACTTTGCGATATCTGCTTTGTGCGGCTTCTTATGTCTTTCGTCTGCCCGTCTTTGCTGTTGCTGCTGCTATGGTCGTCCGCCTGATCATAGTATGGATAACTGCTCAGCCGCTGCTGTCATGGTTGTCGCCTCGCTCGCTGCTATTCTCTCCTCCGTAATCTAGTTGTATGCCGGTACCATGTCGGAAGTCTCGTCCTGGGTGTCCAATAGCGAATCCAAAGATGAAGAGCGCTTGGCTTCGTGTTTCAACTGCAAAAAGTCAAAGGTGAAGTGTGTGCGCCCCGAAGGCTCGACAATCTGCTCGCGCTGTACCCAGCGCAAGCTCGAGTGCAGTGCGCCCCTGTTCCACGTCGGCCGCCATAAGGGCGTGAAAAAGTAAACCATCCCCGTCACCTGCCGCTTCTCAATTACATATCCTACCTATATACTAACACACATCGCGCCAGCAAACACTCGGGGCTGGAAAAGGCGGTTTTCCAGATCGAACAGGCCTTGAAGAGGACCCATCCCGGCTCTGATCAGATCCAGAATTCTGAACAGTCGGCCGAACTGAGATACTTACTCGAGAGGAGCCGGGACCTCCTCAGTGCGGAGAGAAGCCAGAAACATTCGGCTTCTGGTACGAACGGGCGCCGCCATGATGGATCCATTCCATCCCCTCAGCAATCGTCAGCCTCCCATGGAACGCCACCATCACAAGCTGAGTCGCGTGACGCTGCGACCGTGTCGCAAACCGTGGATGACGACCGCCAGTTGAACTTGGACGATGCTGAGAACCCCCTGCAACTGCTCGCGAGGACATCTGAGCTGTTGTCTTCCATCGGCGTCGCTGGTATCGGATCCGCTACGGGCCATCTGCCGTCCAAATCTCTCCCGAGCCGTGAACGGGCCCTCGGAGCCGACTACGAAGGCACTTTGCCTGCATTCTTTGGCCGGTTCCGACCACGTCTCGATATCGGCCCTGATCTAGACCCTGTCGAGCTTGGGCTCCTCACCCTTGCCGAGGCCGAGCATCTATTTGCATAGTAAAAGCTGTACCTTTAGGCTTCTCAAGGTGCTTTTGGTGCTGACAAATGTCTCAGCTTTTATGAAAACCTGGCGCATACGAGATGGGGGATCGACCCCGTCCTACATACTGTTGATTTCGTGCAGAGGCGCTCGGCTTTCCTCTTCACGTCAATAGTCGCGGCTTCGGCACTCTTTTCGCCATCCCTGGAAGCCCTTTATAAGCGGCTTTCAAGACATCGCCAGAAGCTCGCAGACCTAGTCATCTCGAAACGATACAAGTCTGTCGAGATCGTCTTGGCCTTTATGGTCAATATTCCCTGGATTTCGGCTGGCGAACATTGGGCCGACGACGACACCTCGACATACATGTCCATGGCTTCGAGTATCGCGTTAGATTTGTACCTGAACAAGATCATACTACCCTCATCGCCGGAAGCGCCTTTCTCAAAAGATAACGTTCCCTTGTCTGACCAGATCTCCACTAGGAAGGCTCTGAATGTTGATGGGTTCACTGAAATCGACCCAGAGTCGGAGACGGGCAGGCGCCTCATAAGGAGAAGGGAACGAACGTGGCTATCTCTGTTTGTTCTTGAGAGAGGGTAAATGATTCTGTGCTGCTGAGAGCTCCTTGCATACTTACTAACACGCGTCTTCGTCGCCTAGCGTATGTCTAGCTAGAGGGAGGAGCTACATGTTACCCATGTCACAACTGATTGAGAATTGCGACCAGTGGCATCTTTGCGAGCTTGCAGATCGCTGGGACGGGTCAATAGTATCTGTGGCTGTTCTCCGTAGGGACCTGGTAAGATTCAACCCTGTACGTTCCTTGGACCTACTCAACTGCTAATGGGCTGTTTTCTAGGCGAAGTTGATCACAACCTTGCGAGGAATTTGTGACAGCTACGTAAAGGGAGTCAGTGAGACGACTGTCATCGACAAGTATGTATATATCCCTGTTCCATCATTTGGAGCAATGACTCACGTTTCACAGCTTAAAGAATGAAATTACTATATTCTTTGATAGGTGGTATCACACTTGGCCCCTACAGCTCGGAGAGCGAGAGCGTAAGTTGCTTCCCTTGCTTGTGCGACAATCAATCCATTGACAGCATACGCAGAGTTTGCGCTCCCTCCATATGTGGAAATACTCGCTTCTCACACCCGCTTATCCATGTACTCTAGCATCATTAACCACAGCACTGCGCCAGTCGGAGCGAGACACTTTTTTCGAGCTGCCGGCCTGTCTTCTGCTCTCAACGTATTACGGGTTGCTGTTCAAGGAGAAGGGCAACTCCGATCTATGCCCAACAACACGGCCATTATGATCTCTTTCGCGGCATGTTTTGCGCTGCGAGTCAGCACGGTCGCGGATGATAGAGGATCCAGCTTGGCACCTAGTATTCGAGCGCTGATCGCAGAGACCATCGATGTCTTGGACAGAATAGGGTCCACGCCTGTACAGAGGAGGGGACTCTCTTGTCTTTTCGCCGGACAGCTCAGGCAGATCCTGAAACTTGCCTTGCGATCTGCTGAGACCACAAGAGTGCCGTTGGCAGAGAGCAACGGAGTCATGGATACTGGGCCTGTCTACCCCAGTAACCCTAGTGCCAATGCAACAGCGCACCTGACGACGAGCCAAGTCTCGGCGCAGCTGCAGATGCCTACAGGCGGTGACATGCCATCCGATTACCTGCTGTTTTCTACCATGTCCAACGACCAACTGAATGAGGCCATCAACAACACCGATGTGGGACTCGATGCCCTGTGGGAAGACTTCCAATTTCAACAACCGTCGGAATTGGACTGGATGGACTGGAGTACGTTTACATGATGGAGTACTTGTATGACTATCAAGTGTCCTTGTGCAAAATGGACATTCCCTGTGTTTATATGTAATTCATGGCGATGAGAAATGGGTAGGTAAGAGGGGCGAGCGGCGCTGTAGATATTGAAAGGCCTATTCATGAACTCATACTCAATACCGTAAGCAGAAGAATCAACGGCAGTTTTTGTTCTCCCGAATCTAGACTCTTTCTGCGCCCCTAAATAAAAAGACCAGGATAGCGGCGCCACGAATTGCTTCATTGGATGGCCACAACATTTGGTTGCCGGGTCTAAACTAGCATCTCTACCATACGTAGTAGGTAGGGATCTGGTAGGGGTAAGCGTATTTGACCGTATTTGAAAAGAAAAAAACCATGTCGAGCATGTCTCACCGCACCATTGCTCATTTCCCCTCACTATCGGAGCCTCGCTCACCCCCAGAGCTCACCCCAATACCAGATGACCTAGGTATCTCCTTTCTCGCTAGGCGACGAATCATAGTGGCGGCGCCGTCATATCCTAGCATCCCGATGTAGCGAAAGATCAGCAGATCCTACCCAACCCCGAATCCTTCCCCCTCTCAGTCATGTAATAACAAAAGAATCTATGACATGGTCTGGATATGTGAGGACATGGTATCTGGCGAGTCTGGGCGAATGACTTGACGCAGGACTTGTTCTCGTTGCATACTTCGGTAGAATTTGGAGTCCGACCCCCCTGCCTTGTCCAGGAGGGTAAGCGGGTCGACTCCCCCACAATCCCCATCCCCATTTTCTGCCCATTGTCTGTGCTGGCTTCGATGATTACCAGCGCTTACTTAGCGTAGCGTATTAAAGTCTGTGCTACCCCGCAAAAACCAAGACCGCCGGTCTCCTTGTCTAGAGCTTGTCTTGTCTTGGTTTCCTCGTCGCCAAGATCTTGGTATAAAAGGTGAAAGGAGCGTGCCGTTCCTCCCTTTCTCACTGCCGGTGTTACTGCCTTCTTGGTTTTCTGACTAGTATAAGCCACCCGCCGAGCCAAGTCCAGGTGTAAGAGAAACAACAGCGACGGAAAAAAAAACATGTCCGAGAAAGAAGAATCCGACTTGCGAGCGTCCAGAGGCGGTGCTGATGAACTGGAGAGTGTGGAAAAGGGCGAATTGTCGTCGCCCGAGGAGCAGGATGTCGTCGATAAGAAGTTGGAGAGGAGAGTCCTTTGGAAACTAGATACCAGGTGTGTTTTTACGAAACTTATTCAACTTTTCAACTATTTTCGACACGCGACGCATAAGAAGTTGAAAGAGAAGGAAATGAACTTGTTCATGTCATGGAGAGGGGACATCTAGGAAAACTGCATGGTAGAGATGAGTTCACGAGCTAACAAACGCACCTCTTTCTTTCCAAACATAACAGAATCCTCCCCATTCTCGCCGTGTTATTCCTGTGCTCCTTCTTCGACCGGACCAATGTCGGCAACGCGCGGCTGTACGGTCTCGAGGACGAGATCGGCATCTCGGACCACCAGTACGACGTCGGGCTCGCCGTCTTCTACGCGACGTACATCTTCGGCGAGATACCCAGCAACCTCATCCTGAAGAAGGTCACGCCGAGCATCTGGCTGCCGTGTCTGGCTTTCTTCTGGGGCATTATCGCTATGAGCACGGGGTTCATTAAGACGTTTGCGCATTTTGTGGCTGTGAGGGCACTTCTGGGGTAAGTTCTATATTTCCTCAACATTCTTCGTTTCGTTGAAGTCTCTGTTTGTTATCCTGGCCTTATTGGAGTGGTACTGTACTAACTTGCTGCTTGATTATAGTCTGTGTGAGGGAGGATTGTTACCCGGCATGGTAGGACACATCGGGCTAGCCCGCCTCAAATTCGACACGATACAGCCAAAACTCGCTGACACGTCTTTCTCTCGCAGATTCTGTATTTGTCAAGTACTTACAGGAGAAGCGAACTTGCCATTCGAATTGGTATATTCTATACCTCTGCGTCTCTATCGGGCGCATTCTCAGGTATGTGGCACCCCCCCACTAGACAGCCTGTCATTCCACTCTGTACCAGATGACACATTCATCAAATAATATGAACTGACATCAACTCTCCCCAGGACTGCTCGCGCGAGCTATCTCCGAGTTAGGCGGTAAAGGCGGTCTAAGCTCCTGGAGATGGATTTTCATCATTTTCGGCCTCTTCGTAAGTTCATCAAATTAAATTTTTTTTTTTTTGCATAACATGTATAAAATTGAGTGAATTAGTGAGAAAGACCAATGGTTTGCTGATTCCTATCTTATCTTGCGCGCACAATAGACTACCACGGTGGGCTTCACGACGTTCTGGCTACTGCCCAATAACGTTGCGTCGGCGCGGTTCTTCACGCCTGAGGAGAGAGAATATGCTGTCCAGCGCTTACGTGCGCAGACTACTAATAGTGGTGGGCGAGAACAGTTCGTTTACCTTCAATTTCTTTCCCCCGAAAATCTATCGTCAATGATACCGGTGCAGTTTACGCGGCTAACGTATCCTTCATTCACAGAGAGGAAACGGAGAGGTTCGCGTGGTCCGAAGTTGCCCGCGGCGTCTTCAACTGGCAGACGTGGCTCTCTGCGTCAGCGTACTTTGGAATTCTCAGCGGACTGTATAGTTTCGGCCTCTTCGTACGTATTCCTCTTTTCGAACTTTCTCTCTATATGCGGGACTCCATTCCTAGGCATGAGAAAGAAATTATGAAAGAGATATCTAACGAAAATATTTTTTATAGCTACCTACCATTATTAAAGACCTGGGTTACACGGCCAACGAAGCTCAGCTTTGGTCCGTTATTCCTTATGCCGTTGCCGTGGTTGCTACATGTTAGTTTACCCCCTACCTATCTACATCCTCCCCTGTTTGTTCCTTGGTCTGTATACTTGGTACGTTCGATATTGACTGACTGCTTATCAAGTGTGCACCGCATACCTATCCGATCATTTCCACGTCCGCGGCATCATAATGCTGTGCTCGCTGCCCATTGCCATCATCGGATACGCAGTCATAGCCAACACGCCTTATGCCAATGTGAAATACGGCATGACATTTCTCATGGCCACGGGCTTGTACAGTAGCGTTCCGCCAGTTTTGGGCTGGCTTTCGAATGTAAGTGGTTTTTTCTTTTTTTCCTCTCTTCATTCTTGAATATAAGGGGAAAATGTAACTAATTAGAAAATCCCCCATGCAGAACTCAGCAGGTCACTACAAGCGAGCTACGACGAGCGCCCTCCAACTCGCCATCGCCAACGCCGGCGGATTCGTCGCCGTGTTTATATACCCCAAGAAACAGGGCCCGCAGTATCACAAGGGTCACACCATCGTTCTCAGTCTTCTAACGGCTGGCTGGTTCCTGTGAGTGTGCACCATTTGATAATGGGTGTAGAATTTGTTGATAAACTAATCGCGCGAGTGAAAAAACAGTGTTCTCGCCAACGTCCTTTACTGCTGGAAAGTCAACCGTGACAAGGCTAGGGGTAAATACGATAAGTATGCGGGGTACAGAGATGACCGGGATCCCACGTTCAAGATGGTGTTGTAAACGGGAAAGAAAAGAAGGGAGGAAAGTCGGGGTTTTTAATATTCTATCTATAATGGACATGAAGGTCTGTCTGCCCGAGGCTTTTCTTCAGATTCAGACACCTTGCATATATGGACAAAAGTATATGTAGAAAGAAAAAAGTGTCACGAGTCCGAGAAACTTGGAGTCTGCTTCTTCTCAACATTGATCCCAATAGCTAGATGTAGATAATCACGACACAACATTACGTAGTAATATTTGGGATATCACAGCATTGGAAGAAACTACATGATATGGAAAAGACATGCTTACTTAGAAGCCGTCCTGTCAGCTCCTTGTAGTATAAAAAGAGCTAATAACACGTCTTGGAATTGCATCTATTCGCAATACCTACCCTCTAAACTTCAATGTCTTATGCTAGCCACGGGTCTATAGAATCTCTAATTTCCGCATGTCTTATAAAGGGCCTTTTGTAAGACATGCATGTACCCATGCACGTAGACGTACATACTTGATCTGCATGTTCAGCCGCAGGTGGATGTAATATGTATTAGGTAAACCGTGCTTAGGCGATGAAATACTTGGCGATGGTCATCCTCAGTAGCAGTTGATATATCTATATATATACGGAAATGAAGGCATCAGTTGAGCGCTTAACGAACCGCTCCTCCGAATAAGGAAGTATCAGGTTTACTTGGCTGAGACACTCGGCTGTCTTGCTATTATGGATGCGGTGTAGAAGAGCGGTGATTATAGCACATACAAACATATGTGTATATATGTAGAAAGGGCGCTGAGGTGATGAAGTAGGATTCGCATTCGCTGTCAATGGTGTTTACACTTCTATATATCCTCTTGGCTGAGCCTGTCTGTCAAGATTACAGAGTATAGGCGGCTAGGCGTATATAGTCATCTTAACCTATCTAGACTTCTGCTTTGTTTGATAAGGTACAGGGGTTTATTCATCCGTTCATTCAATTAAAATAAGTAGCTAAGGTCATATTGTAGGTAGAACTACAGTCCGCAGCGTGGAGAAATACCCCTGAACCCCTTAGCTTCGTAAGCATTCCCTATGCTATTTTGGTCTTTTCTTCGAGAGGCCCTGACTTGATCTTAGTCGAAGGGGACATTTGGTTCGTTATATAAAGGGTATGGACTGATGAGATAACTCGAATACGTATGTCCAAAATACCGTGATACGTATAATGAATATACGTGGACTAAGCTGGCGAGGAAGCAAGGCATGGGTGGTAGAGACATAATCCTGTGTCATCAAATATCATTCACATTATGACCTGTAGATTCGCCAGCTGCAGCGCACTCTGACTCCATTCTCGGCCCTGGGCCTTGCGCACCAGGCTGCGCAGGAATGTGTCGATGGCGAGGTCCCCATGCGTATTATTATCATCACCTCTACCTCCGCGAGGCGCGAAGACCTTCACCCGCGTATCGGAGAGTGCGAAGGCGTCGCAGACCACGCGTAGCACGCGCACGCCTGGGTGCGTCATGTCCAGCGCTAGGTGGTGGTCTAGGTAGTGTGATAACGCGTCTGTGAAGGGCTGGGAGAAGGTCTCTGGTATCCCGTCGTCATTATCGGCTATAGTTTCTTGATCTTGCTCGCGCGGACTCTCGCGCCATGCCCACCCCTCTTCGTCTTTGCTCCCTCCTAATCTCCGGCGTCGGAGTCGTTCCTTCTCCTGCTCTTGTGCGGAGCTTGTGGCAGGACGTTTCTTACTACCTGTTTGATCCTTGCCGTTACTAGGATCTGTGATAGTCTTCTTTCCAACGCGTAAGAAACGCCGGATTTCTTCCGAGGGGACCACTATGTCGATAGTTTTCAGACCTAGCGCCGTTGGCTTTGAATGATCGTGGGCCTTCTGCTGTGCTTCTGAGCCTGCTATTGCCGTGTCTGTCATAGGTTCGAGATGAAATCCAAGTGTCAGCGCAATGTCTTTGTCTAGCATTTTTCCTGTACTCGCGCTGCTTTCTTCTATCCACCGTTCCCAGCTGCGGACTAGAGTCCGTGTACCGAGATGGAGAGGGCTGATTCGGCAATCGAAGGTGCTAGAGAGAAAATCTACCAGGACGGCCTTGAGCGGAGCAGGCATGCGCATCAGTAGTAAGGGAAAGTGGGCGAAGGAACTATCCTTGTACTCGTCTTCTGTTGTCTCTCTTCGTTTGTCTTGCGACTTGCTTTTAGACATTGTAATGTTCTGCGTCCACGAGGGAGGTTGCGATAACCCAGCTTCATTTTCATCTCGAATATCGTCGTGTATTTTATTCCCGCTTAGTTTTCTCCCGTCATCGAGTGACGGTATCATGATGGCGTTGAAGGCAGCATTTTCGTACTGTAGATCTAGACATAAGAGCTGTGGCACCTGCTCTGACTGTGCGCCTGTGTCCTTAGTTTTCCCTTTATTCCTCCTGGGCTGCATGTATTTGCGGCCCTGCGTCGCCTCGTCGTGTATGCTTCCCGTATCTGCTAATGTGGGGAAAAGAAGTACGGAGTCACACTCTCGCCATTCTACCCTCTCTAGTACGCCGAGGCGGCCGAGCGTGGTATCGCTCTCGAGACCAACTTGTACGCCACGCACGACGTCACCCACGAGGGTGTCGCGCAGACGCCTGGACAGTTTCTGCAGCCCCTCGGGTGTGAGCGAGTTCTGGCCTATGTATAGCGGGGAGACGCGAAAAGTGGAAAATGTTGTGTTGAAGAATTTGAAGCTTGCGGATTCGGCTTCGCCTTGGCTTATATCTGGATCCGAATCTTCTGCTTCTCTGTTTGAGGCAGCGTCGCCGTCGCTGTCACCGTGGCCATGGCGCTCATGATCAGCAACGGGCTCTGGTTGCGTTGCTTCTGTTGCCGCAGGACGTCCTCGTCTCTTAGGAGGCATGGCCCAGTGTGCTGTTGTGTGCCGATGAATTGTAGTGATAAATAGCACAGATGTTAAAGCCACACTTTTCGAGAGAGAAAACTCGAAGAATGGCGACGCATGAATGATTGAATTGAGGTCTTGATGATGCGAGGCTGCGATAATCTATAATCCGTGTGGTGGTAGATGTGGGATCAGACAGAGGGAAGCAAGGATCTAGCGCATCAACTTTGACGCGTACTTTCACGTTTCAAAACAGTAATGATCCCGTAATCACAGCCAATGTCTGTATGTCTAGAAGTAATTACGCGTCGTATTGATTGAATCTTGAAGAGTTGACGCTTTACTGTTCTTCAATCGTGGCTCATAGGACGATGACATGGAACGAGCTCAAGGGAATACCTATTTGGCCTGAGGTGCAAGTTGTAGGTACAAGTGAGGATGTACCTAATGGTTCGCTACAGGGTACTTATAGGTACCTTAGTATCATCTGATAGCGCAGCACAGCGCAGAGACGATGCGATGCGGGGGAGGGGCGCGGCTATTCGAAAATGGAAAGGAAATGGGCTGATGACCTACATAGTACCTACATGTGCATGGATGATGGATGGGTCAGGATGCATCCATCGTATCTCTGTACATATTCCCCAGATCCGAACGGCTTATCAGTACCAATAGCAGTGGCATGAGAATAACTCTGTTCCAGTATTGGGTACATGTATATAATGGTATTCGGATGCAATACATTTGGGCATTTTCGTCGGGGCAAGGGATCACCGTGTATTACACGACCTCGGCTCAGCAGTTTACTTACAGTAGGTATTACTATGTAAGATCTATCTATCTACACTTGCACATCTGATCACACATCGAAAGCAATCCATCATCACATCTACTCTTGAATATAACCCATAAAAAGCTATAAAAAATATATACAGCAGTCCTGATATCATCATCCTGACCAACTCCCGCCAAAATCTCCTTCCTTATACCACAAAATGACATCACCAGCATCAAGCACCGCAGACATCATCGACACAGCTAGCGATAACTCGGACGAATCCAACTCCAGCAACTCTCACACCACATCCGAGACAACACCGCCCCAGTTCCCGCGCTTCGGGGCCCTACCCGCGGAGCTCCGCCACCACATCTGGCGTCTCGCGGTGCCGTCGCCGGGCGTCAACTTCTTCAACGTGCACGGCTTCCCCAACGACCACGCCAACTGCAACCGGAGCACCTCGCCTCCGTGGCTATACCTCGACCTGCGCCGTCTGGACATCGACGACGACGACGACGACGTCTTCGCCTACGACCCTTCGTCGTGGCAGGCTCGCTCCGCCGTGCGCAGCGTCTGCCGCGAGGCGCGCATCATCTGCGCCATCCCGGAATCGAAACGCGCTGACATCGTCCTCACCCGTCCGACACGAGGTCTCTTCGTGCGCGCTGGCGACGGGCAGTTACGGGGTGTCACGCCGCTGCGCATCGAAGACAGCGACGGTAATGGATCGAGCGTCGTCGAGCCCGTCGTACATCGGACCGTGCAGGTCCATGTGGACGACATCCTCTGTCTGTCCATCCAGAACTGCAGCTTCAACCTCCCGCACGAGGAAGCCCCGTTTCTGTCACCGGAGGATGTTAACGACGACGGGCTGGGTGCCGCCGACATCGACGAGGGCTGGGCGTACGATCCCCAGCTGGAACCTGCGTTGCCCCTTTCCATACCCACGACGAATATCTGTGTGGGAATGGCGCGGTGCAGCCCGCCGCTGCTCCGGAACATTGCTACGACGCTATTCGAGCTCGTGCACAGCCACGTGCCCGACGACCTCATGCCGGACAGGTACGCCGGCGGTTATCTCCTGGGCCACTTCTACCTCATGTTCGACGCCTTCTACCAAGATCTCGGCGAGCGCGACGTGCTCGAGGTGACGGCCGAACCGGCCGTTGTCTGGGATCGCTTCGGCGATGCCTATCTGCGGATACTCTGGAGAGCGGGACATCCCAACCGCCCCGACGTTCCTCCCATAACGTACCGCTTCGTCAAGATATGGCCGGAAAAGACCAACATACGCGAGAGATACCTCCGCTCGGCCATCCTTCGTTCACCAAAGCGGCCTGCACGTTCTTCGTGAAAAACAAAGTCTGCCTCGCTACTAGAAACATGAGTTGAGAAGAACAAGGTTTTTATACAAAGTAAATAAATCTAGCAATAGCAATAAAAGGCAGTGAATGTGAACAATGCTAGGCTTTCAAATGTAACACCATGCGTGCTCATATATGCCCCTCAACCCTTGAAAAACAACCTAGCGCCGTGCTATGCAAATGATATGGGAAGACTAATTCCCCCAAACCCCTAAAACCTGAAAGAAATCAGAGCAACAACACAAATTCGTTGCGCCAGGGTATCACTGCCCGTACAAACTGTACACGGTCGTGATTCAGGGAAGCGTGGGCCTGCCGTTGGCATATAAGCCCTGCCAGCGTTGTTCTACGCTACTTACACTGGCCTTGGCCGCCGCTATCTCTTGTTCAAGCTCCTCTACGTTGCGTGTGAGGGCGCTCACTTCTTCGAATCGCCGCGCGCCCCTCGATGTATCGATCATTTTTTGAACCATATACTTTTGTTCCTCGAGCACGATGAGACGCTCTCGTAGGTCCTTCTCTTCTGTCTCTAGAGCAGAAATCACAGTACTCCCTTCGCTTGTTTGACTGGCTGTTTCAGAATTATCTGCGTGCCGTAATGGGCTCGCGACATGGCCGTTGGCAATGAGGCGGTGTTTGGAGCCATTTGAACTGTGGTGCTTTAATAATCGGGGTATGTTTTTCAGGGGTAACATGTGCATGTGAAGGAAAGAGGACGCCGCCTGATAGATTGCTTTCTGTAGCTGCTGCTGATACGGGCTATCTGTCTTCAGATCGCGTATCCGTCTGGCCGCCACATCATACTTGGTGAAACTCTCCGTCAATCGCTTTCGAAGTTTAGCAGCTTCTTGTATCTGAGCATGACTAGGTGGGTTGTTTTCATCTTGGAGAGGCAGAAGAGCGCGCTGGAACGTAGGCAATAACAATTGAATACCTCGCTCGAATTGCCTCAATGTCTCATATGCTCGTTGATCGGGCGGCTTGCGCATGACGGACTCAACAAAATCGCGTTTGGAGAAAAGGGTCGATTTGCAATCGCGACACATTCTTATATCGACGCACATGGACTCGCCTTCCGCTTTCTCTGATGGCATAGGTGAATTGCTTGCTACGTTCAAACCTACCTCGGATGAACATGCAGTCTGGAGATCCGCGCATACCACCCTCCCACATATGCGACAGTGATGACGCCTGAAGGTCCATGATCCAAATTCCTGCTGGCAGAATGGACACCTGGGAACCTTGGCGTCTTCCTCCCAGGTTACAACCGACTGCTCCAGAAGCTTGCGCTGATTTCGCTGGCCGTTGAGAGACGAAACGGGAGATAGCAAAGTTCCACCGCTACTGGTCGATACCGTACTGGGAGGATTTGCCAGTAAGTGTGTCAGTTTGGTGAGCCGTTTTTCGAGACGCGAAACTTCGAGTGTCTGCTTGTCCACTCTCTTCCTCCGCATGGCTGTAAAGCTTTGGGTGTGGTCCCTCGTAAAGCCATTATGATCATTGTAGCCCTCTCTCGACTTGTAGCATGTTTCACAGACCCTATACCAGTAACCTCTTACGGGTTCGTGCGCAGCCAATCTCGAGAGCTTCATCTGGTACATGGTATGCTCCTCACAGAATAAACGACCGCATTGCCTACAGTTGATGCTGCCGTTGACGGCGCCAAGGCGCTTGCCACAAGCCGGGTCTGTACATAAGTCGTTGAGCCCTGACCTTTGCCAGTGTGAAGTGTTTATCAAATCGTCAGGGTCGATGTGGGTTTCAGGAGCGGGTGCTCTCGAGGTTCTCGCAGATACTGGCGGAGGAGGGGACGCCGACTCGTTGGATTCAAAGACGTCGAGACCTCGCAATTTCTGATTGATAAGAGAAAGAGGCTGGAAACGCTTCGCTTTGAGGACCTGTTTATCTATCCACGACTTGACCTCGTCTTGCTCGAACTCGGGTAGTTCCTGGTGGTTATCGTCGATGTGGCGGTTTAACTGCAAGAGGGTGAGCATCTCCTCATTGCAGATGGGACAGACGAGGCTTGAGCTCGCATTGCCTATGTCGCTGGGGCCGGCGAGGCTGATGTTGGAAGTCAGGTCCTGAGAGAAGTCGGGCAGGGGGCTCGAGGCGGTGGGCGAAACAGAAGCAGCAGGCGAGCCGAGAGACAAGGTGCTATCGGATGGTACGGAGGGACTCGTTGCGCTCTCTCTGCGAACGGCGGGCGACACTGGAGGCGCGAGTCCCCTCCCACTCCCCAAGACCCGACCTCCTCCAAGCTTGCGTCCAGACATGGCAGCGGGAGGAGGAGCCTACAGCACGGGAGAAGGGAATAGAGCCATCTGGCTGGCTCGAAGGCACAGTCGGTAGAACGGTGAACGGTGCTTCCCTTGAGGTGGATAGGACGCTGCAAGAATGAGCGGAAGATGCTACCTAGGAGGTAAGCTACGGGAGGTTCTTGAGGTTGTCACACTGCCTACCTAGGTAGGTAGGTAGGTAGGCTTGGAGAGGGGAGAACGACGAATTGAAATGTCGATTGTATAGGCAGACAAATGAGCTAGCTAGGCTAGGTAATCTACCTAGGTTTCAGCTTCAGTACCGGTATCCACGGGCTTCTCTACAAGGTCGCAAACCGGTGAATGGCAACGAAGTGACGAGGCTGAACTTAGAAGGATTGGGATTCGTCAGACATGGCCCTGTAGAGAACCAACATGCGCAATGTAGTGAGCGGTAAGGCACTTTACTTTACTGGTATACTCCAGTCATTACAGGGGGCCGGTAAGCGCCAGATCCACTAAATCCGCCCCAAGTCCATTCCGCATTAGCGACGTCATTGGCGTATATTCTCCGGCACCCTCGCCAAAGCACTGGACAATTTCTTGCCTGCCATGGCAACGAAGCATCGATATCGCGATGCCACCACCATGAGCCAATTTGCAACTTGGCTCCTCTCCTTCCACATCGTCACATGTCGAGGGCCTCTGTTGCCATGACCTGTCAGCCAACATGACAAACACCGACAAGCACACCTTTCCCGACGTCCAGGGAGGAGGTAGTTTGATCTTGGCCTGGCAAATCAAGAACAAAACCGTCTTGGTCGTCGGCGGCGGCGAGGTCGGTGTTATGTTTTTTTTTTTTTTTCTATTTCTCTCATTCTCCTATATCATCTACACCTCCAGTTGACAAGGAACTTCCATTAATTACTTTAACTAGGTCGCCGCCGGTAGAATTCTCAATGTGCTCAATGCCGATGCTAATGTCATCGTCGTGTGCCCGTCTTCCGGTCTCAACCCCGAAGTACGCCATCGCATCGACACCAACGACAACGTGACGCACATAGATCGCGTATTCGAGCCTGCCGATCTAGAGACTCTTCCTCCCACCAACGCCCCTCCCGACATGGTTCTCGTTGCGGTCGACGACCCGGCTGCTTCGACACAGATTTGGAAGCTCTGCAAGGAGCATCGTATCCCGGCCAACATCGCCGACGTCCCCTCCGAGTGCGACTTCTACTTTGGCAGCGTCCATCGCGATGGGCCACTCCAGATCATGGTGAGCACCAACGGCAAAGGCCCGCGTCTAGCCGCGAGCATTCGGAAGTGGATCGGGAATCAGCTGCCCTCCGGCGTCGGCAACGCCATCGAGAGGATCGGTGAGCTGCGTGTCAAGCTCCGCAAGATGGTGCCTGACCCAGCCGATGGGCCCAAGAGAATGCGCTGGATGACCAAGGTGAGCGACGCCTACAGCTGGGATGACATGTGTGCCCTCACCGACGAGGATATGGACAACCTCTTGAAGTTTTACCAATCTGGAAGCGCCCCTGAATTACACGTCCTGAAGGCCATGCGTGGAGGCAAGGTTCCTGAAGACTTGGATATCTTTGACGGATCGTTCGGCTTCAGTATTGTTGCATAGCTCATATGTAAATTGGGGAGGCCTTTTTTCCATACGATTAAAGGCGTGGATCTCTTACACCTCCTGTCTCCCTGGCAGATATCTTTCCAAGGCCTGTAGTTATGTGCAGTTTAGTATGAACCTGTCACGCTTATGGACTCTGGTTTCGGTATTTTTTTCTTGTATCAAGGTTTTGGTTCACGATTATGCTCTACTAAGGCGATTTCAAGCGGATCACATGTACATTCAGAAATTTAAAAATTTTTGTAAAAAAAATATTCTCAGGCCATCATCTGCTGGCTCGTTAATAAACTCATATTCACTTTTTTTTTTGTTCAGATAATTATTCTCAAAATCACATCAGTCAAATTAAAATATCTGACGATTGTCTATCTTCATGCAGTCTGATTAGGTCATCTCGACAAATCTCTCGGGGTTACGTAGAACTTGATCGAAAAATAATTATCAACCATCGACATTCACTGTCCAGCTTGATTCCCATTAACGCTGGGATTTCCATGTCACAACGTATGTACAAGGATTCATAAGTGAGGCTTGAAGTTTCGCCTGCTACCAGTTGATACTATGTTATTCTCAGTCAGACGTGCAGCTATTGCTTATCAAAAAGTAACAATGTTTACGACTGCTATGCTTTCCACAGGATTCTTGTCCCGCCGTTAGATTTGACATTCCCGTATTCTCCCTAGGAGAGAAAGACGATAAATTATACAATAATTACTATATAAACTACGAAACCCTTTCGCTTAGTTCTGTCAGATCCCATCAAGCCATATTGGCTGCGGAATAGGCGCGAGAGTCTCTTACTATTTGTTGCCGTGATAGTTCTTTTGAATTTCAATATTACAGTAGCAGCACCATACAAAGTTCTGCTGAAAGACAAATTTAATACTGATGCCAATTATTAATATTATGGACACATGCCTAGTTGATGCCGATGTAAAATAATAGACATATAGATAACAATATCATTGGCAAGTTCCCGTTTCTAACCAAGAGTTTGGGCATCATGAGCCCGCTCCCCCCTCCTCTTTTGCTGCTACCAGAAGAGCATAGTTTCCCACTGTTTGAATTTTCGAGGTATGTCAATGTGCGCTGTGTGTCCACCTAGAATTCATATCTACAAGAAGTTCTACAAAGATAGAAAGATATGATGATGTCAATTTTGCTCGGAAATAGGGGTAAAAAGCATTCGGCGTACTACAGTACTGCTTACGTGTTTGTAAAGTAACTCGCTGAGCACTATGTTTGGTGGGTTCCCCTTGTGGGATTCTAAACTTTTAGCTCTCGTTGGATTCGATACCTTCGCTCCGAGGAATTGCGTAATGGTCGCGGGGGATAAGAATCCTGCTAACGGCAAATGCTCGTGACAAAGGGATTATTATCTGTGTCTCAGATAGTCTTACTATTGCCTAGATTGATGCACGAAGGTGCCTTGCATGCCGATTCACCCCATACAGTTCCCTCAATAATCAATAGTGCAAGTAGTGCATGGACTATCCTCACAACTTGATTCTCTATCCTATTCGTTGCAATCTATCAATGGATCCTTGAAGAGGAGCGGATGGCTTACAGCATCCTCGGACGTCTCGGCCTCGAAGCCCCTGCTCATCCACACTGGTTCTTGCCCTCCTCTAAAGAGAGAATGTAATCACAGGGACTCTATGCTACATGCTAGTTATTACCACTCATTACGCGTGTAACGATGTGGATGGGCGAGTTTAACCCCCTCGTACACAAAATGTCAAAGTCGGATAAGCGGAAGTTATACTTTGTTCGTTTCCTTATACACTAGTTTTGAACTATAAGAATAAAATCAAGATAGAATCGAGACTGATGAGGCAAGGGAGAACCCCTAATTCATAACTGTAGATGTCTTTATTGATGCTTCGATTCCACAGTAATGACGGGTCAGATTAGCTTAATGATACGTAGTATAGATCCTGCGGTATAGGAGCCTATAATGCGATTCTTTTGTGGCACAGAGATCTTATGTCTCTCTGACCAGCAGTCTCTACTAAGAGGGTCCAAAATACTCATCTTACAGTTGACTACAGAGTGGTGACATTGCCAAAATAATAATAATAATAATAATAATATGACAGCTGTCTGGCTTTCGCAGTAAACGTAGCTGAGATATGAATGGCGTGTTGGTGATGGAGCCAATGGCAGCCACTCGATGATACTGTTGCGCTATTTCTAGCAGAAATTTACGCCGCACCACTTTGTTGACGCTCCATATGTGACGTTACCTTGAGATGTAGCAGGTGGATGCTCGTACAGCTTCCGAACTTCTATATATCTCTCTCAGTTTCTTCCAGGTATCAAATAGGTAGGAAATGATTTCTAAAGCAGCCTACTCGCTATCCAACAATTTACCATTGATAGACGGTATAGGAGGTACATATCTCTGAGTCTCGGTCATCTAAAATCTAACATGTTAAGGCCAACATTTGAAAACAATCTATACATACGCGGGCTCGCATGGTGTTGACCAAGTAATCAAGTACTTACATAGAAAGGCGGAATGAGTTGAAAACCAGATGGACCTGCCCATTCGCCGATCACAAAAAGCCCCTCTTAAGCCAAGCATCCAAGACCATCCAGCTAGCTATGGATGTCGGAAAAGAAAAACGAAGCATGAAAGTAAGGGAGGAAAAAGTGACAGCGGACGCTAAGCCGACAGCGTCAGTAGTCCTATCTCGCAACATACGTGCGGATTTTGGGCGGACAGTTCCACTTCTACTAGGGTTTCCCGACCGGAGGGATACAGAGGTTCTCGGCAATCTCCTTTGAAGTAATACTTTGAACTCGACGGTATGGGTCAGTCGGTCTGGCACATCGTGAAGAACTCGTCTGATTACACGCTGATCGACTGCCTCTGGCCCTGCACAAGATATACAGCACGACAGGGTACCTTCAGATGTGTAATGCATTATGGATTTGGTGAGTAGCTTATTGCTTTGCTCGTCTCATCGTCTCGGTGGCCATATGGTGCGTGGTTTGTCACCCGATATCAAGCAGTGCTTGAGTCCGATCCAGTGGTCCCCTGTATTTCAGAATGTCTACTGTGCGGCTGCATGCATACACTCTACCCTGGTCCTGCTACTCTTTGGCGGGTGCTTGAAGGCGACGCTTTTTATATCTGTGATATCTTCATATTTATTTTTTTGCGTAATGACTGATCAGTTACTTTGGACCCGGCAATGATCTGATGGTTCGGCCCTTCGGCAGTTGATAGAGAAACAAAGGCTTCCTTAAGGGAGTTCAAACGATCTCTTTCAATATCCCTGGAACTGGATCCAGGGTTCGGCACTCGCTCTAGTTTACTGAGGGCGAACATTAACTCCACGTGGGGAACTCTCGCCGTAAGCTGAGACATCGACTCAGCTTCTCTCTTCTCAGCGAGAAGCCAGCACTACTTGATCAATCTTTGTTTTAAGCCGTTGCCATCTTGGAAACAGAGAGAAGAGATAAAAGTCTGTAGCGTCTATAACAATTCTCATGCAATTCCTGCTAGAGGTTGGAGACTGGAGTACCTGACGCTTGCACGAGCTTGAGCAGCGATTTCTCCGACGTAGTGTGAAAGTTGCAAAAATGAACGAAGAAGAATATAGCGCGCACATTGGGGCCCAAGAGTATCATGAAGATCTGTAGATTCGGCGGTAACATACATGGAACCCCGTTAAGGCTTTCTGTTGGCCATCCAGTTCCAGAATGCCGGTAGACTGTTGCACCACTATAATCAAAGTCACGTATTTAGCCGAGCCCATGTCAAGAACGTCGTTGCGTTTGGCGCCTGGCATGCAGCAAGACTGAGCAAAATCTCTTCACGCGCTTCAAACCCCCTAGGAATAGATACCAGGGGCCATGCTTGTCGGAACATGTCCATCCTGTAATTCTTGCCCCCATTCTAGCTGCCCATGGCTCGCTGGGGGCCGTCATTTTTCGGTTATGGCTATAGCCCACGGCCACCTACGTAACTCCTCGGTCATAGCTTCCTTACCTTAAACAGTAGCAGACAGAGTAGATAGTAGATAGGCGCAAGATACATGTCCGGGAATCTGGCTGCCGATGTGCCACATTAGACAATCTTACGCTTGGCTGTGATGATGAAAGCTGAGTCCTGCTTTTACAGTTCTCAGGTAGCTTCTGGCCAATCGTTGGGACTTCATTTGTTCCACAGTGCCGGCCCACCCCTATTAAATGGTGTCAACACCGAGGCTACACAGGCCCTCTTCTTCAAGCCCGTCCTAGCTACGTTACGGGCGTAAATATAGGCAGGCTCGGAGCACGACGCGTAGTTGCAGGATCGAGGGGCAGAACCAAGATCAGGTAGGTCGGACGGCTGGCTGCCTTTCCGCGCAGGACGTTCTACAAACCCAGGCCCCGGTCACGACAAATCAACCCAGTCAATGGCCCCATGCAAGGTCAGACAGTTGGACCCAAAGGTTCGGTAACCCAGAGTAACCGAAGGCTGTGTGAGTGATGGCTCGATACGCTGGCTGGTATAGGCGAGATTTCGTAACCCTTCATCCGCCCCGTGTAACATGACTAAGATGGGAGATGTGGTACCTAACTGTGTCACATTGTGTGTGTCCAGAGCGCTGCAGTTACTGGATGTCTAATCAAATTGTCATGTGTTCCTGTTCTTGATATGGGCTGATGGGGTTCGACGTGGTCTAGTCGCTTCTTGCGGGATATGCTATCTAAGCACGGATGTTCGTAAAATGACTACAGCAATGGGATAGGACGTGCCGTAGGCACCAATTACCGAGATTCAACCAGGATGTATGTGCTTAAATCACCCCTGACAGAGCATCAATCCGGGAGGCTTTGATAAAAGTCCAATTCATTGCTTTGTGTTCTCCCCGAAGTTGAGAATATTACCATGGAAAGATTGCGAGAGTGTTTATAGAATGAATTGTTGTGGCTATTACAGTCCAGTAGGAAATCCATTCAAAAGCATACCCCCTGGACCGTGGACATGGTAAATGGGTTGAGAGCATCGGGAGAAGAAAAAATAAAATAAAAGGCAAGTGTTAGGCGAGGTTAACCCCACGAACTTAGCACCATCGGAACCTCGCCGGCGACATTGACTCTTTTACCTTAATAGCGGCGCCATGCACATCTAAGTGCAGATCATGTGAGATGGTCGTAAGTGGTGAGTGAGCATGCTTAGAGTTGGTAATAATGGAATATGGATGGGACAAGCCTTTCTCAAATCAACCCCCAGTAGTATAAGCGCCTTGGATGGGGTTTTGGTCTTCTCTCTCTGCTCAACTGGACTAACAAGCGGAAGACTGCCATTATTGGCTAG